ACATATATACATATATACATATATACATATATACATATATACATATATACATATATACATTTGAATACATATGAATACATATGAATACATATATACATATATACATATATACATATATGCATATATACATATATACATATATGCATATATACATATATACATATATAGGGTCAACCTCGGTCTGCACCTTTTCTCCAGGAGATGAAGAGCTTGGCTCGAATGATAACAGCAGCGAAGTCTCCTGGACAGCGCCGTCTCGTTGGGATGGTGTGGGATGGGCTGTGGATTCGTTGGATTGATTGTGATCTATCGAAATTGATTGAACATATGGGATAAATTTCAATAGATAGCAATTCTCTATCCCAAGTGGATAAATTTAATCACTATGTTGGGATAAATTCATTGATCTATTGATTTGAATTTTGTAGCAAATCACTATTTGGGATAAATTATGATAACTTGGAAAGTCCAAAAACAGCAAGTTTCATGCTGTCAAAGGACTACAGACTGTTATGTAGGAGCACATGTTCATGGAAATGGCATGAATGGATGTCAACATGTATACTATTGTGATCTATGCTGGATGTGTTTGCATACAAACATAAGTAAAATGTGAGGTATCACACAAAACCCTCCTGGCAGAATTATGTGTGATAGTTTAAAGCATAAGTGGGACAGACACTGTAGTCCTTGGTTGTACATAAATATAGATATAATTATGTATATATATATACATATATATATATATACATATGCATATAATGCAATCAAATGTAACATAACAAAATGTCATGCATCCAAATGTAAAATAACGAAATGTCATGCAATGCAACGTAATGTATTCATGCATGTTATTGATACTAAAATATACATGGGGATCGTGTTTGGTTTAGGTCTGTGACAATGTGTACATTAGAGCGTATGTGCATCCTAGATGCGCATGTAATGTAATCCAACACAAGTCGATGCAATACAAAAGGTTATATACTTTGTTTCAAAGCAAGGCATGTGGCAAATACAGTGCAACCAGTTCTTTGCTTGTTTGGGGTGGTTGTTTCTGGCAAAACCTTGGCTTGATAGTCTTAGTACATTATATAATATGTTGCTAACTGGGAATGTATATTACTACTGAATACGGCATTTTTGCGCATGTACCTAAGATGGGCCATGTTACTTTCATCTACTTTTTTGTTGGCTTTCCATCTCCATCCTGTGTGCCCAGGCGGCAGTGGTTCCGCCGGAGGGAAACCCCAAAGTGACGAGGAGAACGGATCGAACTGTCAGCTAGACGTTTCATGACGTTTCTATGGATGGGAAGTAAAATTGTCCCCAAATTGACCCCAGAAATGAATGCAAATGACCCACATGGAGCAGTGAAGTAGTCTGGTGATTTGATGAACGGGGTTCAGACCTGAAATTGGAAATGTAGCCTGGTCATCCTTGGTCCAAGTCTGAACCTTCCATCTTTATACTCACAGAAAAAACCTCGGAAATTCTGGGTAACTTCCCCCGATGAGAACTTGAAGATGTTTTGCTCAAAGGAGGACAGGGGTTGATAAATGGTCCATTTCCGTCCGTCTTGGAGATCTCTGATCTGAGCACCAAAAAAACATGTCCTTCCCCAGCCAAAGTGGTTCCATTCTTCAAAAATACAGTGGGAGAAGCGTGACATTTTGCAGAATCCTACTCTTGGGACTTGGGGCAGTTTTGGACCGATTGTATCCCCATTTCTGCAGAATCTCAAATCCATTCTGTAAATTTCTGTCAAACCCCTTGTTTTGAATGGTTCAATCTTCATTTTGCCACAGGGTCGATCTCCGACTCGTGGGTCAAACGACTTTCAGGATCTCCCAGCTGGATACCATCATGGATACCATTAGCACGGCCATCGAAAAATGGCGAACCCATGGTACAATGGGATCAGGCCAGAGAAACTGGGCTTATTCCATGCCACAAATGAGTCGCAGTCGCTGCGATCTACCCTGTTGATGATTAGTTCGGGGACGCTGCTAAGCAATATATTGGGTAAGATCACAATCCATGAACGATGAATTCCGTTCTCAACCAACAAGTATAAAGGGACGACATAGGATTTAGAATGGTGCTCACTCAAGATATTTCAAGTGTCACTTCGCTGTGTGGACAAAAGTTGCACATTAGTTGACTATAGAGCGTTGCAGTTCTTTCGCTGGGACTTCTTTGTGTGGTGTGCAAAGTTGGTTTCAGAATGTTTCAGACAACACGCCCTAATCGTGCGATGTTCTGCTGTGAGGAAAAACGACTGCTTTCAGTATTTCCAGTCCATAAAGTTTCCCGGGATGCTATTGTTGGGTCTAGATTCTAGATACTAGTATGTCTAGATGGAGTATATAAGCTGCTACATAATATCATTATATAGATATATATATATGTATATATACATGGGCATGTCTGAAAATGGAGTACACCTTCAAATTGGCATTTTGTTAGTATGGGAAATCATGAGTATATTACAATACTAGCCATTATTATTACACATTGGAATTCCGTTACTAACCACTATTAACCATTACTCACTAATCAATACCAACCAATACTAAGAATACTGCCGTATTTTCAGACACCCAGTTGCCCCTCGGGGCGAACACAACCCGTGAGTAAAAACTGTCAGGTCTGCGTGACTCCTTGATGCAGTCCTGGTGCGGATGGGGTGGTTGTCGATTTCGGTGGATGAGGATCATTGAGGATCCAGTTGTTCCAGTAAATGATGAATTTAATGGGTACATGATGGGGATAGAATGAGGATATAATGGTGATACAATGGGTACAGTATATGATGGGGATATAATGGGTATATGATGGAGATATAATGAGGATATACTGGGGGTATCATGGGGATATAATTATATATATATATATTATATAACCAACTTATGAAGGGTATAGAATTGGGGATATACTGTAACTAATTTATGGTCATTGGGTAATTTATGGTGATGTGTGGGGGATTCTTCCGGATCAAACGATCAAATGGATATCTCAGCATCAAAGACGACCTGGGTCGTCCATGTTGCCAATGCACAAGGGATGTAGTGGTGGTTCAACCATCAAACATGAGGAACCAGTACAACTTCTTTTGTGATGGTTGAACTGCTGAACTGTTGAACCATGAATTACAGTAATAGCAAGGGTTTTTTCACCGACTAAGGGATTTGTTTTTATTTTACAAACATGAACCAACATGGGCGCTGGCGCATTGAGTGGAGGAAAATGAGGATGAAATATGAAGGTTGGGATACCCTGTTTCAGACAAACCCGAATGATCTGCAGATTCTTGTGTAATTATCTATACAGATTGACAAATTTATCAACTTATTGTTTGTAATCTATGCGCGTTGTTCATTGTACATATGATATATTCGCACATGTGTGTGTGTGTGTCTGCAGGATGTGTATACACATGGCACGTGTATTTATTGCACAGCTTCGCACACCGGCGATGCCATACGGATTCCTTATCCTCGTCGGCTAGCTGTTGTTGTTGTTGTTGCTGCTGTTGTTGCTGTTATTGCTGCTGTTGATCATGATGGGGATGACAATGGGGATGATGATGGGGATGAGGATGGGCTATGCGTGCATGCGGGGGACATGGTTTTTGAAGCATATCGTTGGCGCAAAGCCCGATGTGCAACATTGTCCTTCATCTGATTGATTTTTGGTGATATACCCCTTATTTTTGGCGGTTAATGGCTAAAATGTGTCAATCCCCAGTTTTTGGAAAGATTGTTTTCTCGTAGCAGTTCCCTTCATCTATATAATTGATTTTTGGCGATATATTTCCCATTGTTGGTGGCTTAAATATGCTGAACTTAGTCAAATCCCTTTTTCGTACATAACAAGGATAATGTTGTTTGCCAAATCACATATTTTGTTGGTTTTGGGAAAGTTGGTTTCTTATTAGTTTTATATATATATATGTGTTTTCTTCATGGTTGACATCAACATCTTCCTTGATCAAGTCCATGTCCTTTTCGGGGCGATCAAATCACTCCATGGTCCCAAACATATGACGCGCATCAAAACGCCAAGGGAGGGTTGAAGAGCAACTGCGGAGGACTGCTTGCTGATTTAATCTAGCTAGGGCAAAAAATACGATCAGCACGAAAGTTTCACACATCCCTCCTCCTTGAAGATTTGGTCCATTTAGCAAAACCAGAAAAAGGACAAGGCTGCTTCAGAAAAGGGTAGATGCTGCCATAGGCAAGAGAAATATAAGAAAGCATGGAAAAGGAATGAAAAGGATAAAAGGATAGCGAAGGGGTCACCGACATTTACAGTTACAGCAAACGCTTGCTAGCTCAGGACTTCCCCTCACCTGTTCTGGGACTTCTTCCCTTGTTTGGGACATGGACTATGTGCAGGTGGCTGCGCAGAGAACGGGTCATGTGAGATCCTTTGTCCACATGTGTTTGTATCCAATGCTGAGGGACAAAGAGTTCCCGGTTCCTCATACTTTGAAGAATAAGCACGTGGCGATTGACTTCGCTGACTGGCCTTCTAGCCAGATCTCCATTGAAACGGCCTTGAGCCTAGTTCACTTCGATGTTTCAAGCATTTCGAAGCGCATCCAGGCCACATTTAAGACCATAGAATCTTTTGACCCATCCCTAGATATATGGGACTCATACTGGCAAATATTCTACCAACTTTGACGTGATTCTTTGATTTGTGTGCAGATGGGATATGACCATGAAGAGGCAACTATAGATAGATGGGATCGTGTGACAACGATTGAGGCATGTCATGCGCGGCAGTGATTTTGATTGGATTGTATCTAGTCTTAGTGCCACTGTTTGTGATACACTGGTGCAACGTTGCCATATATGTGAGAAGCGCAGTAAAGTTTGTGCGCCAGGATCTTTTGGGATGATGGCGTTTTTGTGTGCAGGGGTTGGGCAGAATGCTCTTGTTGAACGTAAAAGAATGCATGTTGATTCTGGAAGTACACAGTGCCCGTTGCCATGGCAGGATATGAAGGTGACAGTCCGCCGACAGTTGCGCAGGATGCACCTTGGAATTGCGTGGCATTTCATGCGTTGAGAAGAAACACACTGTAATCGAGTGCTGTGGAAATACTGTTGTATGTAGACAACAGTGCGCACTTCCTGGTCACTTCCTATCAACTTCCTGCAAGCCAACAAAAATGCGGATGGGCAAGAAGTGCGTCTGTGAGTAGGAGCCCAAAAGCTAGGGGCACGCCGAACAAAGATCAACCTTCGCGGACGGATGCGCAGGCGGGAAAGGGAATGTATGTCATGGGCAGTTTGGTGACAGTGATAGATACGGAGACTTGAAGCAAGGGACTGACGTGGTACTGCGATGGATTTGTCAGTAATGGGCGTTGGTTGTTGTGGCCGCGCCGCATGAACAGGACATCTTGCCTTTTCCGGAGGATGGGCTGGTCAACCTGCAAGTTGCTGTGGTTGACATGGGCAACCGCGGCATGCAACAGGTTGTGGTAAGGACATTTGCAGCAGTCCTTGGTGTTTTTGAGGTGGAGTCTTGCACTTCAACTTTGTTCCACGTGATTCGGAAATAGGTTTGGCCGAGCTTTTGTCAGAAATTGCACTCATGGTGCCGTGACAAACTGGAATGGAACGCGCCTAAGGTCACATTGGCGGACGAGTGATTGCAGGGCTCACGCTGTGGGCGCTGCTGCCGCGAGCTGCCGCCCTCGCACGCAGAAGGCTTTGGATGTATCTGGGGCAGATTTTCCGTCGTGCGGATGGGATCACGTTGAATTTTATCAACCTGGCTGGGTTCATCAAAAGGGCTGCAAATTTTGGTTTCGAAAGTAGGCTTTGTGTTTGTGATGGGTTGACTTGGAGAAGCGTCTGGCCGGAGGGTTGTGTCGGGTTATATATCCCCGCACCAAAAGCACAGGTCACGTTGGACCGTGAGAGCGGCAACGCTCTGGGCTGCATGGTGACGCAGTGGCCGGAGACGGTGGAAGCCCACTTAAGGTTAAGATTTTGACCGCTGCTTCCACCCCTCGCGCTGGTTTTGCCAGAGAGATCGTTTCCGGCTTGGAGGACAAGCTTGGCTGCTTGGCTAACTAATTGATTGACTGACCGGTTGACTACCTAACCAATGCTGCAACCCATGTTACTTTCAAAAATAGGTTAGACACATTGCCAGCAATCCCCCGATGGAAGTAAACCGTGGTTGTGGTTGCCGTTGTGGTTGTCATTGTGCTTGTGGTACGCATGGCAGCTGGAATCCTTGAAAAGATTTGACCGACTTGAGAGCCGCGCCTCTTGTGATGATGTTTGTTGTGGTTGTGGTTGTGGTTGCGGTTCTTCCTAGTTGCTGTTCTTGTTGTTGGTTGTTTCTGGTTGTCGTCGGCCGGGGCCCACGGTGTTGCAACCTCTCTTCCCTGACGCGCCCCCTCTTGCTGTCGGCGGAGGTCGGCAGATACAATAGTGGAATAAATGTATCTATCACTAGATGTATTTGAAGATACATGCGCATATGTACATGACATACAACAGAATCTGTCACTGTCACTTTAGTATGTATAAAACTGATTTAGGAACATGATGCGTGTTTATACACTTTGGTGGGGTTGGGCTGTCCCGTTCCGAGTTTTCCTAGGTGGTTCTCCTGCATTTCCTTCTGTGGAATTTCCACACATCTTATGATATCAGACTGGATTTCCAATGGTCTCATTTGCCACTTCCACCATGGTGATCATTTTAAATATACAACATCCCCAGCAGATATATAGTCCGTGAGAGCTTCATCCTATGATTATCATGACGATCATAGAATTTTCAAAAGCCCTTGAGCCTCGGATACCAAACAACTACATTTTTTGCCTCTAAAAGTGATCTTTTCGACGAACGTGAATCGCCAGTTCTGGACTTTTTGTTTGCACATGTAAATAAAACTCTTCAGTTCCTGTCCATTTTGCACAGTTCACCCTTCAATTTGTGGTTTTGACATCTCCCAATTTTTTCCTGTTTCTCGCGATGGCACCCTATTTCAGCAGATGGTTTTATACAAAAATGATCCTTTCTGAGTATGTTTTGAGTGAAACCTTTTTTTCAGGCCACATCCCTACCTGCATGACGTTGCGGCGCGCCAGGGACGCTTTGTTCAAAAACCTCACCGAAGCCGAGACTTCTTCGACCGTTGAGGCGCGTCGCAGTTTTCAGGAGCAGCTCGGCGGACGGCGAGCCGCGGCGATGGTGTGAAGATTGTGGAAACTTGGGATACCAGTGGTATTCGTGGAATAGATATCATACATATGCAAGTAGTAAGTGATTGATCATCATTATAAGTGCATAAATATACCATAATATACCTTCCGGCAATTAGACATCGTTTGCTGGAAAAAATGATTGTTTACAGAGATGATTCTCCCATTGACATCTTCATGTAAGATATTGTGAGTACATATTATAATTATATTATATAGATATATATGGTTCAAATAACTGGGTATATACATATTTTTGAAGGTATCGTGATGCCGCATACATATGATTCGGATATATTTGCATAAATTTGTTGATTGACAACTTCACGTCGCGACGTCACTGGAATGATGCTGAAAGGAGTGGGGTAACTACCCCAAAACAATCCTAATTGAGGTTACTGACGAATTATGCTATATTTGTTCATAATATTTGTTTTATAATCTATTCCAGATATGGTTTGTGTTTGATGATGTTGCTACACACAGGGCGGCTTGTGTTTTTCTTTCCAGCCGCTGATCAAAGACCAACCAAAAACACCCGGGATGATGCCAAAATCAATACCACACGCTAACAGCTCGCTACATGTACAACCAATCGGAACGGAGCTTGGAGTGGTTAAATTTCTGCCTTTTGCTCGAAAAATGGGTTTTCCGAAAGAACAACATTTTTTGGCGGAACGGCGTTTTTTGATTGTTCCAAATAATTTGATTTTGCAACGGCGACATTGCCCGACCAAACGGCGACAATACCCGACCAAACGGTAACATTACCCGACCAGCTGGGGAGACATTTTTTTAAGCGGCGCTTTTCAGCGTTTGAATTTACAAGAACGACTAGAAATTCAGTTTTTTGGAGCAACGGTGAAAAATGTACCACATGGAAGATGTAGGTATGTATATTTTTTTTCACGAGCGATATGCAGCTCCAAGAAATTACACGTCCGCCGCAGCATTCCGTCAGCAATTCGTATGAATGAAAACAAAGAGCGAATTAAGACAAAAAGGGGCCCTTGAGCTTCGGGATATCGGGATATGCTGCTAACTTGCACCTTATACACGGGACACAGTGGAATAGGGCAAGGTGGAACCCAAACCACCGAAAAAACAGAGCAAATGAAGATATGAGAGGAGAATAGACGCACGGCAGGGTTCGTGACCACTAGTCTCGCTTTGGAGAGTTGAATTGGAAAGAGGAGAAAATATGCCTTCAAGAGAAAGACTGTAGTTGCCCCTGGCATTCCAAGTGAAGAAATAACGTCCCGGCAAAAAAGGAGAAGCCGAGGTAGCGGATGATGTGCAAGACTTCCCCATAGTCTTGAGCATGGAGTCGAATGTGCATAAATCCAAGATCTTGAAGTGGGAGTCGATGCCAATGAAATAGAGGTATACAAAGTGCCGGAAAAGCATGCAGGAAATCGTCGAAGTGGAGCGAGTCGCTAAAAAGTTGTCCTGGAAAGAGAAAGTTGATCCTGCACTGGCACCATCAGTACAGAGCAACAAAGATGAAGAATGTATAGTTCCAGCAAAACAAAGGAGCAGAAGTAGTCGTACAGAGCCCTGAAGAAACAAGGACAACCCAAACCAATTCCAGTTCTAGATGTCCAACATCCACATGCCACATGTCATTCATTGCTCGCGACGGCAAACGAAGGAATTGAGTTGTTGTTCTCCGTATTTTTGAACGTATTAATTTCCTAATTACGAGGAGAAATATTACATATATATATATATATAATTGTACAATCTTAAATCACATTATGGCCTTTTGTAACATATTTTCCATATTATAGCATATTATACAATATTTTACCGTCCCCCCAACTAAGATCGACCCTGAGCAGCACATTATTTTTTCTCAGGAATGTCGTTTTCCATAGGTTAGTTTCGCTTCAGCTTCAATCACCTAGGTTCAGGGATACGCTGGAAGCATTGGTCCTGGCGCAGAAGACGCGCGTGTCGGAGATTGGCGACTTGACCGAAACATTGTGGAGTTTGATATTCCATGATATTTCATATGTAACTGTATTGGTTGGTTTAATCCCCGAACTACTCATCAAGCTGGGTTTAGCAGCCACTGCTCAAGTGATGATTCACCCAGCCACTATTGAACTGATTGAACCATCAAAAGATCGTGGCAAGTTGGGATTATATATTAACCCCCCCCAAGAATGTAGGTACCCAGGGTTCTGCTAAGGTTTCCCCCTGAATAATCGACCATTGAAGTCGTAAGAGATCAACTTCGAATTGATATCAATCTACATTCAATTGGTTTTCCTTTTAAACCTACAAGAAATCTCAAGATTAGAAAGGTTTTCAGTTGATATCAACCCACTTTCAAATTGATTTTCCTTTTAAACCTGGAAGAAATGGAAAGATTAGTCAGAATTTCAAGTGGCATCAATCTATATAATCTATACACTTTCAAGTCAAGTGATATATATTCCTTTTGAACCAAAAAAGATCTAAAGGGGCCAAGGGGGTTAATTAACTACGGGAAACCGTTCCTACTATTTGGGTGGGACAATGGCTCATGAGGGGTACCCTTTAAGAGCTTCTCAAAGTGATTGTTTTTAAATTGATTTTTATTTTCAAAAAATGATCATGTGGGAAATCGTTATTTTTTTTTCGAAATTTAGCCCAGAATTCGGTTTGAACCAAGACTGCAATATTGAGCCTGTAATTGCAAAATCACAAGTCTGTGACTGCAAAATCACAAGTCTGTGATTGCGAAGTCACAAGTCTGTGACTGCAAAGTCACAAGTCTGTGAGTGCAAAGTCACACGCCTGTGACTGCAAAGTCACAGGCCTGTGACTGCAAAGTCACACGCCTGCGACTGCAAAGTCACAAAAGGCTGGTGCCAATGCAGCAAAATAATTAAGTACGCATTTCATATGATTGTAGTGTGTGTGTGTTGGGCCAACAGAACTTTATGTGGGAATCTCTGAGGTTTGTCAGGGTCAAAGCTCTGTGTGAGACTTTAAAGGAGTGGTGTTCAATGCATGTGACTGCATGTGACAAACAAAAAATGGAATTTTCTCTGTGGGGGTTGGTTCATTGGGAAAACACCCCGGTACATTAATCAAAGGGGACCAACCCATTTTAGGATTGCCCAAGCATTTTCCTGTGTGGGGGCTGATAAATTAATCCCTAATTAGGGTTTTATGATCCCAATTTGACATTGGAAATAATGGTTAACATGGTTTAACCTATGAAGAATGGATGCGGGTGTGTCTGCAAATGAGGGATTTACACCCATGGCGATTTTGGCAGGGGTAATCATGATGAGCGAATGGACTCATATATATATATATAGGTGTATTCCATGGTTGTCCAATATACTTTCGGTACCAAAACACATTTGGGGTGAGAAATGGCAAACGTCTGGCAACACGAATGTGCACAGAAGGGGATTGAAACAGAAAGGTATTGCATTTTAAATGATTTCAGGAACTACAAGAACCTAAGACGGGGATTTGGTTTGATTCAACCAACAACATATGAGAAATTGCATGATGCAACTACGAATCAAATTGAACAATATTGGACATTTTAGCACAAAAAAACGGACTTAAAACAAACATATCAGTGTGAGGCAGTTTGTGGATCCTTACTACCATGTACTACCAATGTTTTGTGCCATACGTTTTTTAACTTGTTTTCGGTGTTTTGGTTTTCGGCCAAGGAATTGTATTATATGTTGGTATTAGCACGTTGCAGCTTTCTGTGCAAGGATTTGTCATCTGCGGAAAAGACGCAAGTGGAGTGATCCTTGAAACAGTTTGCAGGAAACTCCAAACATGAGTCATATTTTTCTTGCTACCCAGTTGCCCAGCTTTGTAGCCATCCCAGTACCTGACTATGTGTTGGATTTCAAAAAAATGAGACAATGATCGAAATGTCACGATGTTTTGTGTTGTTTTTCCTCCATCACCTGACTTGCACATTGTTTGGCATGGGTTGAACCCAACCAATGTTGTTTGGAAGGTTTCCGGCCTGTGTTCCTTAATCATACTTCATGTCGAAAGTCATAGTTGTCATCATGTGTCATGGTTCTGGATTTGGATTTTAAAACATATTTGAACATTCTAAACATATCTAAACATGTTTTTTCTTTGGCAAGGTTGGTGTTTTCGTGTCTCCCAGGTGATCACCTGGAGAGATTGTTCAACGAGGCGGGGTGGCTCCTGTTGGTCACAACCGACCTTGGTGGTTGGACCTTGGTTCCTGATGGTGGATTGGGGTATCCCAAGATGGTTGGACCTTGTTGTTTTATTGTTGTTTTAGTTTGGTGAATGATTCTATGATTTCTATGTTACCCTGGGATAAACTAGCATAGCTGTGGAAAACCCACGGTTTCCCTAGGAAAATGATCAACAGATGGTAGTTCTTGCACGTTTATATTTCGCACAGAATAGCTTCAAATTTTCGCTCACTGGGTATATGCCCATCTGCCTTCATCCCCAAGATATATGATGATATGATATGTGTGATAAACCCTGAATTTGGGGTATATTCCATGTTTGGACGAACCGCTATATGTGACTATGTACGTGTATGGTTAAAATGTGTTTGATATAGCTACATTAATCGGCATAGATTTATCCCAGCACCATGGATGGGTTGTTGCGGGTTACCTGTGAAATTGGTTTACGGAAACGGTCTACCCATTCTTTTGCAAACCCTTCATGTTGTTTGTTGCCGTTGTTCCATGCCCAAATGGGCAGCAGTATATGTACGTATATTATGTATAGAATTGTATATATTATATATATATAATTATATATATGATGTACATATACCTATTCTACCCCAGGTTTGTTGGTTTATCGCTCCTTTGATTTTTGAGTGCAATAACCTGCGGGTTCTGCCCTGCCGAGGAGAATTCTGCTGATGAAGCCGCCCACAAGGCTGTGACTTTTGACTTACTTTGCCGCAGTCAACAGAGTCGTCCAAAAGCTCCATTTGATGTCATTCAGAAAATCACTTTTAACTGTTGGGTTTTAATTCAATGTTTCTGTGATATTGACCGGATGCAAATAAAACGTCATTTATTCAGCAGAAATACTAAAGCAAATAGAGCTTCATCTCGAAGAAATCCAGTCAACTTGTCACTCCAGCCAAGCCTTCATCTTTGTAAAGCGTTCTTTGGTGATGGAACCAACAAAATTCAATAGTTAATAGGGGGAGTCCGATCTGGAGGTGAAAAAGAAGTCCAGCTGATTGCCATCATGTGTTTGTTTGTGGGAAATTGACTCAAAATTTGACTTCATTGTTTGATTTTCAAGAGGATCATTTGGACAACCCTGGCGAAACACTGCAATGGGATATTCTCTACGGATACGTAGTTTTTAAATATGGATAGCCCCAATATGTTCACTAATGATGATTTATTTATTTTTAGATATTTTAAGTGGCTGAGCATTGGGCTTCCAAGGTAGAACGCGTAATCTTGAATTCCGGGTAACATCCCATGAAAAGTCCATGGATTCCAGTTACATCCCATTGTGATAGCCATTATAGCTATGTTAAATATGCTTAAATGGTCATTTTTGTCGAGAATGATGTCTTTATGCAAAGATGATGGTTTGCAAACTTCTCAATGGAGGACAAGATGGGTTGATTATGAATTGCAAAGTCTTCGCCATTCGGTTTGCTTCAAAATAAGGACCCCCAGATTGGCAGTGTCTTTTCCGCACTTTTTTTCCGATTGCAATCCATTCTCATTTGGAGCCCAGGCCCAGGTCCATCTAAAACGCTTGTTTTTTTTTCATCCTTAGTGCACAATCCAAAAAAAACCCTGCCCCTTATCCTCCCATTTTCGGCGAACAAAGATTTTTCGGTCTGGCGTTTGGCTGACACGCCCAGGCGGAGATCTCAGCAGATATCAAGGAGCATGCGGCACTTCAATACGTCCGGGTGTTGGTTCAGGCTGCATCCCAGCGTCAAACAGAGGCCGGGCCGCTGGGGTGGACTGGTTAGTGAGGATTGGGATCATTCTTGGCGGGCTCAAATTTGAAGATACCTGGCTACAGAAGATGTTATTTTGCTTGAATTGCGTGGAATTGAGTGAGTATGTGCCAGAAAAGTTAGAACCTTGAAAGATGTTGAGACCTCTGGAAGTTGTTTATTTTTTGATTGTGCTGTTTCGGTTGCAGACCACGCGTATATAAAAAACACACTGAGTCGTATCTTGAAGAGTCTTTGGATCCAGCATCAAGGGACTCTCAAAAGGAGTCACTGCAACAGTCTCCCAAGGATATGACTGGAAGTCCAGAACGTCGACACAAACATGTACCCTCTGGTAATTTAACGTAGCTATTGAAAATGGCCATTTATAGTGGATTTACCCATTGAAAATGGTGATTTTCCATAGTTATGTTAGTTTACCAGAGGGTACTATTGAGTTAATGTGGGTAAAACCAATAATAAACCATCCTCCAAATCACCATAAATAGCTGGTATAAACCATTCTCAAATGGGTGGTTGATTATTGTTTTACCCACATTATATATACATTTTTACTGGTTGGCAATGTTATATCCTTTTCAGTTCTGGTTGCCGTTGTTTCTTGGGATGATGGTCCCCAACAAAAAAACATGGCAATTCCCAGAATTCCGACCATCATGCGGCCAAAGAAATAAGATACATACACAGGCTGTATACATGATATAACCAACAATGTTAAACAACATGTGCATACATCATACATGACATGCATTATACATGATATACGTTATATATATATATTGAAATATAAATTATATTATATTATATTATGTCATTTTATATTATATCAAATTATATTATATCGTATTGTATTGTATTATACTATATTGTAAAATTTTATGTTATGTTATATTATGGTGTGTTCTGTTCTGTTATGTCATATCATATTATATTATGTTATATTATCTTATGTTTGAATATATGATGTGATGTTAAATTATATTTTTGTTTTATGGTATATTATGTTGTAATATATTGTATCATGTTGTAAAAAATATTATGATCGTATTATGGTTAACTATCTTGAATTATACTATGCTATATTATATTATAATGTAAATTATGTATATATACATATATACACATCATGTAGAATGACACACATGTTTGTTTGTATTTCACACAGTATATCCTCAGGTACTTGGGAATTTCAATCGCATCTCCAGCTGCTGGGGGACCCAGACCCAGGGGATCTAAGGAAAAGCCGCTGCTGCCCGGACCCCATAGGTGATGGGTATATCATGGGTATAAGATGGGTATAGGATGGGTATATAGTGGATATACCTGGGGATATACTGGGGATATCATCAACCAACTTATTTTTTGTCATTATTTGGGTGCCGATTTCTGGTGATTTTCATCAAAAATAGGGATTGTTCACCATCAAAAATGCGAATATTTTGTCAATGAACAGTGGATATGATGGTGGTTGAAGCCTGGGTTGATAGGATTCACCCGCCGTTGTGTGGGATGAAATCCCAACAATAATGGGGGTGTCACCAGTGGAATACTGTAAATATTTCATGATTTTCACGGGATATGAACGGATATTATACAACTGATATAACCCACCAATTTGATATTTGGATTGCCTTTCGAAAAATAAGGCTCAACAAGATTTGTGGTTGATCGTTGTTTTCCCCAATTCCTTTCAAAGTCGTGAAGGATGGATGACGCAGCACAGAACCATATTTTTTCAGAAGTTATCACAAGCAATTGTCGACGTAAAATTCACAACTTATCACCCAGCAGAGCAGGGGTTTGGATACAGCAGCTCACTGCACTTCGAGACATGCAACGCATAAGCTCGGATACGGCAGTCTCACGCAATTCGATGCATTTTAATGTTGTCTAGCCAATAGTGATACCTTGGCAATAGTAGAAACTTTTTTCCCAACTCCCGTTTTATCTCCAATACTAAAAGTCAATTAGCTTAATTTGATTTTAGTATTGCCAAAAAACTCATGTTCTGACCTTGTCCAGAGGGCATGGCCAATAGTGGACCCGACATGGCAATGGTAGAAACTTTTTTCCCAACTCCAGTTTTTTTCTCCAATACTAAAAGTCAATTAGCCTAATTTAATTTTAGTATTGCCAAAAAACTCATGTTCTGACCTTGTCCAGAGGGCATGGTATAGTTTTTCAGATGTTTGGAGAAATCAAAGCAAAACAAGACCCTTTTTAAAGCAGCAAGCACTTTTCATTAACAAAAGCTTAGATTCCAGAAATCTGATCCAAGTACCAAACAGCTGATTTCCTTATAAAACCCTTCTTAAAAAAAAGAAAACAGGTCCACAAAGGGTATCCCCTTTGCAAGCCTCAGAATAGCAATAATAAACCTGCACCAGGCATGGCAATAATGAATTCCAATTGTGCTTCCCCTGGTTTTGTTTTCAGATGTTTGGAGAAAGCAAAGTAAAGCAAAACCCTTTTCAAAGCCAAATCCATTCAGAATCCATCAAAAACCCAACAAAACCATGGAGAATCTATCAGATACATATCATGATCCCAGCCATAGGGTTCCAGGAATTTACTATTGGAATGCTGACCCCCCCTAACAAAAAGGAAAATTTTCAAAAAATTAGGGGGTGTTATTATTGGGCAGCCAACATTACACATTTTGAATCCGGCGCTTCATTGCATCTTCAAATGTGCAGCACATAGGTTTGATCGTTCTTTTCGAATTAGTACACCGGACCTCTTTTGACTTCCGAAGTTAAGCAGGAGGGAGCCCGCGCAGTACTGACCTAGGGGACTGGTTGGGAAGTGCTTAGAGTGCTCCCAGCAGAGAAGGAGTTTGGATACAGCAGTTCGCTGCACTTTGAGGCATGCAATGCATAAGCTTGGATACGGCATTCTAATACAGTTTGATGTAATGTATGTTACACATAAGTTGACTCTGGCGCTTCAGTGCATCTTCAGACGTGCGCCGCATGAGTTTTGATTGTTCGTATTGAAATGTTTCGATTTAGTATGCCAACAGAGCGGGGTTTTTGGTGCAGCAGCTCAATGCACTTTGAGGCCTGCAACGCATAAGCTTGGATATGGCAGTTTCATGCAATTTGATGCATGTTACACATGATACACATGAGTTTGAATCCGGCGTTTCGTGCATCTTCAGACGGGCAGCACATGAGTTTTGATCGTTCGTTTCGAATCAGTATGCCAGCAGAGCAGGGGGCACTGAGACTGATTTCCTATCTGTGCCATCTGTGCCAACGAAGCTACGGAAATCAGTTGGAAGAAAATTGGGACCCCAATTCTTGTACCTGCACGAATTGTTTGTGAATTTCAACTGGGCTAAGCCGGAAACCCAGCAGGCGGAAACACGAATTCTCATTTTATCTCGGTTTATCCTCTCCCTTCGGGGTGTTTCTAAGTGTGTACTCGGCTGTAACAAAGAGTAATTCCAAAACAAACTGCGGGGGATGTTTGGCACTTGCAAAGATGCTCGCAGTGTCCTGTGATATGGTTGGGGATGCTCAATTCACGTGCCTGCAGACCAAGTTGAACAAGTGTGTGTTTTTAATTGTTTTTGCAGCTGTACTGTGTTTTTGCAATTGCTTCAGCTTGCTACATCAAGGACGCAATAACTTAGGAATTCTTATCACGCGGACAAGGTCTATCAACAGCACATCCACTTACCCCCAGTCTGGAGTGTGCGCACAGTTCCATCTACTTCTGCTGTATGTAGAAACATGTCCTAAGGTCTTATGGTTGGATATAGTTTCTTAGTGCGACGAGCCAACTTGTCCCGTTTGCCGCTGGCTCTCTTAAAAGCATCGGGGGCTTTGGACCTGGTTTCCAAGTTCAGCCGTTAAGCGCTATTGCTTCATATGCTGATAATGAATCTTAAACTAAAACAATCTTGTTTTTTTATTGGCAAACATTTCACTGGTAAGATATGATGTTTTTTTGGCTAGATTCCACGTTTATGATAATTTACGGGCATTTTCGGGCACAATTGTATTGACAAGATGCCTCGTTTTGCCCCGCCTAACCAACATAGACACAGATCTTGAGAAATGACAATATTTGGAAGAAGCGGTTCCATGTTCGTTGGGTGGATGGCAAGTACCCAGTTTGATGGTGTTTTTCAAATGTTTGCAGTTCCATCCGCTGGCACAGGCATTGATTCGATCTCCAAACCAAAGTTGTTGCCTGACACTGTCTTCGGCTGGACAGAGGCAGTGTCGATACATTTGGTCTAATTTAAAATTTTAAGGTACCAAATTTTCAGAGACATCCAAATATAACATGATTTAACCAGCAAACACGGTGTATAGCGTATAGAAGATACTTGAAGATACTGTATAGCCACAGAAAGTGGGGATCTGAATCGCCAAAAATATTGGGAGAATGATGATCATGATCAAGAGTGTCAAACCAAAAAAATGGGAATTGAGCGTCGAAAAACGATATCAAATTCATTCATTCCAATGAAGTGTATCTCGAGATGTATAAATATGTATATTATATACATATATATGTATGTATGTATGTATGTATGTATGTATGTATGCATGTATGTATGTATGTATGTATGTATGTATGTATGTATGTATGTATGTATAGGGACATGTCAATGTAAGTAGATCAGCTATTTTGGGACAATACCCCATTCCCACATAAACCCATATTATGTATATTTAAAGTCCATGTCAATTTTTGCTACCCCTTGGCTCGCCAGGGCTACACAGCTGGGTCAGCGGGAACGCCAAAGCTGAGTGTGGAGGAAGTGCGGAAACGCGCAAACGCCAAGGGGTTGCCTGGAAAATCTGGAGGGAAAAGGGGATGAAAAAAATCTGGAGGGCAAAATGGATTCGAATCAGAAGAAACAAACATGGATTTTTCTTTATTTGTTAAATGGTCTATAATACATAAAGTTGTTAAATGGTCTAGTCTATAATATGTATATAATTTGTTATAATGTTGGATCCTGATTAGTGTCAGGGCCCCCCCCATCCCTAAACAATTTTTGGACTCTCTTTGGGCTAGGTACTTTGGAGGGACCGGGGTCTGAATGATTTTGGATCAATTGGTTTCAACTGATTTCAATTTACTTTCAGCTGATTTCAATTGATTTCAATTTACTTTATTCAATTTACTTTCAATTGATTTCAATTGATTTTGAAGTTACTTTCAATTGGTTTCAACTGATTTCAATTTAGTTTCAACTGATTTCAATTGTTTTTCAATTGATTTCCATTGATTTTCAGCTGGTTTTCAATTTACTTGTTTCAATTTATTTTCAATTGGTTTCAATTGTTTTTCAATTGATTTCAGTTGATTTTCGATTTACTTGTTTCAATTTACTTTCAATTGATTTCAATTGATTCTCAATTTACCTTCAACTGATTTCAAACACATGCGGCAATGTGATTAATTAATGTTCTAAAATCAATCACAAAAAGATGGTTTTAAAAAAACGGTGAAAAAATCTGAAAAAATGTTCGGAAAAAAAATCAGAAGAAAACTTGTCACAAAACCTTTCCACCCCAGCAATTCCACAGGTTCAGAATTATTTTGGGAAAACTTGTCACAAAACCGACCCACCATACTAATCAGGATGCTACATTATCTATAATTATATATATTATGTACATGGTTCTTTGCCCTGTTGATAATTTGTGCATATATAGAATACCCCGTTTATTGTCCGTCCAGCTGAGCCATGAATAAAATGCCCTGTCTGACAGGTTAATATAGGGACTTACACAAGCTCATTTATTGGGAAACCGTTTTCAACCAACTACTGTGGCATAGCTCTTTTGGATTCTTTCGCCTATCACTTCTGACTTCTGAAGAACGAATATACTGTACATGATGAGCTGCGGGCGCAGTGACACCCAAAGCAGCTGTAAAGTAATCCCTGCTACAGAGGTTGGTTGAAGTTTGACACTTGACATGGACGAACCTAAATCTCAAGAACAGATATTCAAGTGTTATCAAAAATACACTGACTCATGTTATCTCATGTTGTTTCTTTTTAAGCCCATGCAAAAAGAGATGCTACAAGATCGGACGATATCACCATTTGGCAAGTGCCTCAACACATCCGCTGGTTCTATCCCCACCAGGTGTTTCACTGGATAGTTAACCCGATCCCAGCGAGTTGACATATAGAGTTTTTGTTCCGCCTCACCAAAGCTGGGGTAGGTTTTTTATGTATAGGCCTGGCATATCGCAAATCTGAGTGCCCTGAGGTAAACAGCTCCGTGGCTTGCTGGAAACTACCCCAGCTATAGTTCAATGATTTTCCCAGCCAAATATCAACCAACTAAACCTCCATTTATAGAGGATTTCCTATGGTTCCTATGGGTTTCCCATGGTTTTCCCATTAAAAGCGCCATTGAGTTCGGAATGTTCGGGGATTTCACAGTAAATTGGTGACGGGGTCACTAGGATGTCAGAAACACATTGGTGTCACTTTCCAAAGTTATGGAGTCATGGAGGTACTCCCCAAATCATCCAGTCGTCATGGATGACCATGACGACTAGTATTGAAACCTATGGTGACGACTGGGGATCCCCTATGACAAAAAAGAAACCACGATTTAAGGGCTGCGTTTCTGTTTAGACTTCCAGGTTTTAGATTTTGGATCGTTTTGGGGTTTCACATGGTTTCACGATTTTAGACTTTCGCAACTTTGCCATTCGTCGTGAAGCATCAGAAATTGGACCCTGAGCAGCGATATCGATACAGTTTGAACATTGTTGCAGCCTTCTGGGCAAACAATTGGATCTTGCCGTAGCTATAGCTATACCATGCTATACCACTTACTTCCACGGATCACCTTGTCAAAAGAAAATCCGTCTGAGGCTGCACACAGGTCAGGGTTTCGAGCTGTTCTTCGACCAGGTGGGGAGATGTGGGGATGTGGCTGGAAATCCCCGAAAAAAAGTTAGTTTGAAAGTGAGTTTGATGAGTTTTGAATGAGCAAATAATTTCCGTATAAAGAGGGGGCTCTCCATTGCCATGTTTGACTACCAGAGGGTAACCATCCAAAAATGGATCGTTTTCATCATCCAAAAACAGGGATTACGGAAGAATTTCAGGGCCCTTCGCTAGCTAACTGCTTTATAGCTAGGCTCACGGTTGAGTTTATGGTGCATATATCTATATTTACGCACATTGCCCAAGAACAGAATAGTGTAACAACCAGTGAATTTCTAAAACCTAAAACAAAACAGATGAAATTGTGTTGACGAGTGAGCGGCTTGGCAAGAGAACCGTGCGGCTATTAGGGCGTCTTTTAGGGTTTACATAAGATATATAATATACCATGGGCACCTCCATCGAACAAGTATCCATACCATCTTCATCATCATCATCATCATCAACATCTTGGTTGGCCCGAACGCTCGTTGGGAGTCCGGGCAAACCATGGGGTTTTGCCATATAGTTTGATGAAATTATGAACCTATTTAGACAGCAACTGGGGGGGCACTGCATAGCAGGATGGATGTGGGTTTGTCCAAGAATGGGGTGTATCGGTATTAGCCCCAAATTTGCCACTAGAAAATTGGGAAAGTATTGTTCTACACAATGGGAAATTTGGATGTAATGGAGATATAGATTTCAAACAATGGAAGATGCGGCAGTTAACCAACAAGGATGGAATTTATCTACAGAAAGAAATCAAAACACACACGCGCATATTTTATGTGGATATCATGCGATTAAATGTGGAATGTAATGGGATAAAATTGGATATACAACCATGTGACATGATGTGACATGCGGGTTTGTCCAAAAAAATGTATTGCCACTCACAAAGTAATTGGAAAAGTATGGTTTAAACGTTTAAACAATAATGGGCAAAGCCATGCAGTGATACATGTAGGTCAAGAGGAGGAACATCGTTGCCCTAGTTCTTGGGTGACTGGAGAGTAAGTGTAAATTGACTGTATAACTAATCTGTACATGTGTTTGCCCTGGAGGTGAGTGAATTTCCTTTCAGCCAATTCACAAATGCCCCTTAACCTACAGATACCTACAGACTTATTTTCTTCCGGCATTTACTATCTCATTCATAGAATCTCTGATTCGGATCTGTACATGTACCTCTGTGTGTGTGTTTATGTTCCGTTTGTTGTTCTAAATATTGTATGCATTGTATACATGGTATAAGGATCAACTCATTGTAAGCATGCCTTGGAGTAGCTCGGGTTTTGTTAGGTTTATTTGAAACCCTGAGAATTGGACTGACTGGTAACGAAACCGAGGAATCAAAGGACACTTCGGATGGTGACTGAAGTCCAATGACAAGAGCAGGAATCGAACTATAGCGACAATGTTGTTTTGGATGGCCTGTGATTTCCAATATCCAACGATGCGGCGAAAAAGGGAATTCACAGTTCCGTCCATGGGATGATCCCGGGTCCCAACACTCTGCCAGCAAGTAGCAAGTCAGGCGTGCCGAGTATCCCCGGAAGCCGACTTCAAGATTCCAGAGCGCCTTAGGCCCGACTGACAAAACGTAACTGGGAAATCCCCCATTGTTGGATGGGAATGGATGGGAAAACCAGCTAGCTATGCCGGAAAAATGGATGCAAGTGTCAGATGTATATATATATATATATATATAGTAATATAAAATCATAGACATATATAATAATGTGTAATAATGTGTATATATATATATATTATCATGTATATTATGTATGATGTGACTCTATGACATTCCATCTACTGTATATAGAAATACAATCTCCATTTCAATGGGAATTCCAGGATCCTAAAATGGAGGTACTGTAATTACATTACTGTACCATAGAAATTGAAGCCATATGTTGGGCCTTACATATGGTAGGTACCTCCAATTTAGGTTCCTGAAGTGGCCATTCTTCTACAGTCTATCCATTGTGCAAATTGTGCCACGCCAGGCTTGACACTCTCCGTGAACCGCGCAGCGAATGCGAGCGAGTGGTCTTGAGCAACGCTTTCCTCACGATGTTTCCCAATTTCGCCAACGCCATTTTGCGCCTCGCTGCAACAAGATTAGCCATCCAAAAATGGTGGTTTACCTATCAACAACGCTGGTTTCATCATCAAACACGATGGTTTAATGGAAATTAATGGGGTATCATCGGGATACCCTCTGGTAATTTATCCGCGAACTGGCACATCACCATGGGAACTAAATGAAACGCAGGGATTTGACTGAAGAATGATGATTTTACTAGCAAAAGTGTGGCTTTATTCATACCAGAAATGAGACTTGCCATTCATCATTGGAAAAAAAACTATATACAAATCGATACATTTTCACAGGATATTTTTCCAGCTAGCCAGCTTAGATTGCCGGAGGGTACGTCCATCCGCTGGAAATAGTTGGCCAGCTTGTAATTATGTGCCATTCTTGTCGATGTTTCAAATTAGCTCCTGGTTGAAGAGTTCCCCTCTGGGAATTCAACAGCTTGCTACTAGTATGGTAAACCACCATTTTTAATAGGTAAATCATCGAACTACATTGGAGATCTACGTACAGTTGCCGACTGAATGGGGAAAAGAAAACACGGATTGATTTGTCAGGAAATTGCGGAAAAATAAAAGGACAACAAAAACAAAATATCATATAATTGAGTATCTCTTGCTCTTTAATTAGTGTTCTTTGGAGGTGTTTTTTCCCCAAACAGTGTGGCCACACTTGGGGTTCTTACGGTAGTAGCTAAGGCCTGGTGTTCATTCAAGGTGGCACCGCTGTGGCGCGGTGCTCATTTTGAGGTCGCTCGCGCAAACCTCTCGGCACTTTGGGCCTGTCGGATTGCTCTAGTTGTGGCGCAGGACTCATTTTGAGATCTCTCGCGGAAACTTCTGGGCACTTTGTGCGTGTCAGGTCGGTCTCGCTTTGGCGCGATGCTCATTTTGATAGTCAAGGAGATCTTGTGCAGAGATCTTGACCAGGAGGTTTTTTATAGAGAGCTTGCACAGAGATCTTGCCTCAGAGACCTCTTATAGAGATCTTGCAGACAGATCTCTTATAGAGAGCTTCTACAGAGATCTCGTCAAGAGATCTAGCCAGGACACCTTTTATATCCTCTTTGGAGATCTTGTACGCGGACATTCCATAGACATCTGTTGCAGTAATCTCAAGCCGTTTGCATGCAAGTCATGTAGGCCTCATGTGGGTGTGGGGTGAAACTTCCGTTGTCGTCACAGATTGAACGCCCCAAAAAGGAGTATTTTCGAGACAGTCACCCAGGATACAGTGTCTGACCCACAGCAATGTGGCGGATTTCGGAAGCGTATGGGACAGGCTGCTTCTCACAACCTTGATGAAGTTTAATTAAGCTTGGCAATCCCGGAGTGACAAGACCACAGACCGGCGCCGGTCCAACCAGCCCTGGTCTCTCCGGGCATTGCTGGGGCATTTTCACACACGAGGGGATGCTGCGCTGATGACTTGATCAGCAGTGCAAGAAGACATCTCCATGATGCACCATCCATGAAAGAAGAGGGGGAAACGGGAAAAGGAAAAGAAAAGAGCCATGAGAGCAGAGAGAGGGGAGAGGGGAGAAGAGAGAAGACAAAAAGAGAAGAGAGAAAAGCCGCAAGTAAGAAAGGCATCATGTACACATACTTCCGTCTTACACGCACCAAATGGAACCCAACTCATGAAAGCCCTTCAGCATCGATGTGCATAGCGCCAGAGGCCCGCGGCTGCATTAGCATCACTTAGTACTGCGATAATGTTAAACCGTTAAACATGTTGCGATATTGTTAAGCCGTTAAACATGTTACAGTAGCGGAGCCCCTGGAAGGATCCAGCACGTATCGGGGCGAGCTGCGTCAACAAACAGAACTCTGCAATATCGTCCGCTCCTGCGCCATCCATAAATCCATACCTGGAACCCCTCCTGACCCAACATCCCAAGAGACACACTGCCTAGGTCAGAACCTGAAGATTAAATCTCACGTCGGAGCGCTCGGCCGGAAGGATGCGACGGCAAAGCGCATCAGCTTGGCATGCCCGGCTCTGGAGACCGCGTCCTTCTGTTCCAACAGAAGTGAGCGAACCCAGTGTTGGAAGGCCACATGTTTTTTCTTTGGTAAGTTGTAAGATAACTTTTCATTGAAAGGGATGTTTGACTTCTTAATTGCAAAGAAACCTTCAACTTAATGGATCCACCTACTATTTGTACCAAATGGGTCAGTTCTCCCGTTACGACTTGGACCCTGACCCACGAAGTCTTTTGATAAAGGAAACTTCCTTCGATTTGGGCCCGCCATTTTTTCATTGCTTGACTTGGACCCACCAAGTCTTCAATTGTGACGGAGATCCCCAGTGAAATAGGCCCACGTCAATTCTTAAAGCTCGGACACTGTAATGAAGGAAACTTCCGTCCCGGGGATGTTTTCCATTTTTTGATTTGGACCCAGTTCTTGGCGAAGCAAACCTCAATATAATTGAATTGGTCCACCTTCAACTATCAAAGGGGAACATGTTTTACCATCAACCCTGCACTTTCTTGCAAATTTGGTGATGTTCCATGGGTTCCAAGATAGTCGAAGCTCGTGGTTGCAGAACTGTAGCGGGTGGCAGCTGGCAGGCAGTTGGTAGTCGCATCGTGGCTTGGGCTTTCATATCCGATTGCAGAGAGGAGCTGGATTTTTCCTTGGAATGATCTTGCAACTATTTTCATCCTGGTTGTGATTTTGTTCAAGAGATTTTCTTTGGAGATCTCTTATAGACACCTTGTACAGATAGCCTTACAAAGGGATTTTGCACAGCAGCTTCTACAGAGAACCTGTCAAGGAGATCTTCCGCACGATCTTCTACAGAGATCTTCACAAAGGGAAATTGCAGGGCCTGGTGTCTCTTCTGCCAGAGATCACCTTGAATGAACACCATGCTCCACTACTAGGGTCGCTCTTGTCCTGCTAGCTTGCAGCCATTGATGATTTTGGGTCCTTTCCACCTTTTCCCTTTAGAATCCTAGCTGCAGACTGTTGGGGGTCTCTTGCCAGGACAATTTTGCAATTCGATTCGAAGTTGTTGTTAGTGTTTGTTTTTTTCATTTTGGCCGAGCGGTCCTCAATTTGTCGGTCCTATTTCGTTATTTTGCCATAGGTTTTTTTAAAGCAATTATCCCATTTATTTCGGCATTGTTTTTAGTTCTCATCAGCCGTATTTCATCATTTTCCAAACAACATTGGTCTTCGTCAGTTATTTTTCCAAACACTCTTGAAAGGAGTCTACCATGGGTTTCGAGCAAATGTCCAACCTATTTTCATTTTACCATGGGTTTTCAGCAGCTGCTCAAAATCTAGCGTATTTCATCATTTGACCATTGTTTTCCTCAGTTCATCATTCCAGCATTGGTTTCCATCAGTTTGTCCTCTCTTTTTTTCGGAACAAGGAGTCCTTTGTTCAAAAATGCACTCCGGGGGCTGGATCCGACCGTCTACCCCTTTTGGATTAATTTGTGACCACTCTGTTCTTGCTTTTCTATGTTTCGCGTGTTTTTTCTATAATTCACTTTTCCCGGAAATGGTGGTCTACGATGACCAATCTGTAAAGAATAATGACAAAAGGGGTTTTGCAAGTGACCAACCTATTTCAGCAGTCTACCATAGGTTTCATTCAATTGTCCAATCTATTTCAGCACTTCACCATTGGTTTTAAGCAATTGTTCAAACTATTTCCGCATGTTCCATTGGTTTTAAGCTATTTCTACCTATTTCGGCATAGTACTCCGGGTTTTTCAGCAGTGGCCAACATATTTCAGCGTGTTACCATGGTCTTCATTTGCTGTTCCAATCTATTGGCTATTTGGTTTATTTCAGCATTTCAGTCATTGTTTTCATAAGTTTTCCTTTTTTTGGAACAATTTCAAAAGGAGACCCCTTTTAAAAATGCACTTTGGGGGCCGGCTCTGAACGGCTACCATTTGTGGATTAATTTGCAACCACTGTTCTTACTTTTCTATGTCCTTTCTATGATTGACTTTTGCCGGAAATGGTCGTCCAGGATGACCATTCTATAAAGAAGAGTGCACACATTTGTTGATCGGGTGTTCCATATGATTATAGGAAAATATGGGGGATCACAACCTATCCAATTCTGGTAGAAATTGGCAGATTTCCAACCAAATGCACGGGCAAAATGAACTACAGAAACTAGCAGAGGTTGTCGCCGGAATTTTTAGAAAAACGGAGAATTGTTCAAAACCTTTTTTCTGGAGGCTAATTTTACTTCAATCCTGTTTTTTTCTGTAATTCTGTCGGCAACCATATGCCATAGCTATATTGGATTATCAGAGTGTAGGTAACGGTAGCAGTAGCCGTTACCAAATGATAAATGTTTGTCATCGATCATCCATTTGGGAAGTGCATAAGCTATCGAGTCGATGCTCGAGTCGTAGCTCACTCGAGCAGCGCTGCAGGTTCACCTTCTGGAGAATGACGCCGCTTGACCATATGTGGGGGTGATAAAAGTGATAGTTGCGCCTGCTTCAAGCCTGAAACTGTTGGACAAATCGAATTTCTTAGAGCAACATTTTCATTTGGTATGGGTCTGTCTGAAAGTGGGGGTAAACGAGTAAACCACCAAAAAGATCCAAAAAGCATCACATGATCACATGGCTACATTAATAGGTAAAACATGGTAAGACGGTGGTCAACCAATTGATTTAGGACACACTATTTTCAGACAAAGCCAAATCTACGCGGGCTGATCCAAAGCCCCTTGTGATGCGTTCTATGTGCTCCGAGATCGTGAGACGATAATGTGGGATTCACCTAATTTCATCAACCATGCCAAAGGCATCCTCATTTTTATGGGTGGCAAATAAAACATCCCCAGTCATCGTAGATATTTTTGGACTTCCCACATTATAAAGGGGATGCCCTTGCGCGTCAGACCTGGTGCTGCTGGGATGCAACTTGGAATTAGCGCAAAATGAGTCGAAAGGAATCAGTGAGGTGCGGAGCAGGTACTGCAACGGCTGCAGGATGAGAGGCTTTCCTTAGAAATTATCGAAGAAACGCAGATCAAGGTATTGGAAGACAATATGTTCTGCGGAAAAGATGCTTCTCCTGCTAGAAAGTTTTAGAGATATGTTCAGGGTTTCTTGGATTTCTCAGCTAAATTCCCTTGCATATATTGGATGGTTCCTATTTTTAGACTCTGGAAAAATTGAAGATATGGATATCTACGGAATTCTATGGATATCTTCGATTCGAAATACAGTGCGGACATTTTGGATATAACCATCCCTGCACTGCAGGTTCAAACTGGCACGTTTGTCCATGGATCCTACCAAGGCGGGAGAGTGACGGAAACCGTCAACAAAGGAAGAAACCCAGTTATATGTATATAAATATATGTGGATATGTATTGTAAAAATCTATAGTTAGTGTAGGATGGTTAATTATGGTTGATGATGGGTAATTTTAACTATATATAGACCTGGGTAAAATATAGCTACGTCACCGTTCTCCCTCACTGGAATGATGGTGAATGTATAGGGAAATGATCCCTATATAGCTTTATTGCCCTGATAGATGGAATGTTCCCATATGGGGGTTTCCATGAATAGGGGTACCCAGAAAATGATTGGCTTACAATGGAAAAACCGAAAATGAAATGGATGTATTTAGGGGTGCCCCCATTTAGGATACCTCCACATATAGATGGAATACTCCCATATGCCTTCTGGTAGCTTACTGTGACAACTCGCTTTGGAAAACCGAGATGTATATAATAGGTAAAACATCTATGATGGGCCAACAGGGCCATTTTCCATGGCCATGTCAAATACCAGCGCGTATCATGTATACATATAGATATATATATATATAGAGATGGACGCCGAAAGTCTTATCTTTCTGAATTTACCACCAATAATCTGAAGAGGTTAGAACCACCTCATTGCACAGAGTAAACGATGGTTTGTCAATAATGCGAGTTACAGCCTCCCAAAATGGCCTTGTCGAGTAGAACATATATATTTGTCCCACCATATTTGTGATAGTCCACACGGATACCCAAGGTTAAAACGAGTTCGTGGATTGATTTGGATTGTATGTGTAATTGTACATAATATAATATATATATACATACTAATATATATATACATACTAATATATATATATACATGCTAATATATATATATATATATGTACACATATTGTCTTGGACGTTAGCAACAGTCGACTTGCGTATATTGCACCTGTTTTTTTCTTGTTGGCGTCGTTCATGTGTTTGCTTTGCATTCCTCAAGTTTCTTCTATCCAGATTATGTTTCCTTCTTCTACAGAATGTTTACTTGTTGGTTTGAAATTACATATATATACGTATACAGATATATACATTTACATACAAACATTTTTGCATTTATACATAGATACATATTTACAATATACATATATATATCATACAAACAATATTTACAATATATACATATATATATACAATATGTTCTTACAATATATATTTTTTTATTTATATATTGTATACATATATATATATACAATATGTATATACAAGATATACAATATATATATATATATTTACAAGGTATATAATTAAAATAATATATATACACAATATGCAATATTTACAAGATATACAATATATATACAGTATGCACAATATATGCAAAATATTCAATATATGCAATATCAACGAACACAGTCTACATATGTATATCTATTTCGATCTATTTCGCCACAAATACGTATGATCAGTATATAGTACATAATCCATGTACACCACCCAAAAAGGGACAGGGAAGCCCGTGATTTAGGCAACTATCATTTGTTGTGGTTTAGGTGTGTGTTTTTGTTGGATTCCTTCATTTGTACTGTACTGCTTTTTCGCTGATCTTCTTTTCTGCTTCTCTGTTTTTTTTGCTTCTCTTATGTTCTGCGGTTCTGCTTCTTTGCTTTTGTTTTTTCCTGCTTTCTGTTGTTTTTGCTTTCCTGCTTTCGCTGTTTTTTTTGCTTTCCTGCTTGCTTCCCTGTTCTTTTGCTTTTCTTTACAAGTGCAACTACAGCCATAACAAGAAGAGCAAGACCAGCAAAAACATCAGGAAAAAACACAAAAACACGAAAACACAAGAATAACAAGAACAACAAGAGCAACAAGAGCAACAAGAACAACAAGAACAACCACAACCGCAAAGGACCACAACTAGAACGAAATTGTCTCTGTGTTCCTTTGGCGCTGCGCCCTCCTGACCTTTTTGGTTTCCTTGCCTTAGAAGGACCATGCAAAATGAGATCTACAATGAAGTTTGACGTTGCACAATGCTGGAAATATTGCAGATAATATGCAGACTCTGTTTTTGATGTTTCGCTGCTTGATGGTTTCATCCGCTTTCTTGCTTTTTGGCTTTCCCAATCAAACCAGGCTTCTCGGTTTCATAGCTTTGCAACCACAACCACACGCGTAAGGCAATCACAGACCCGGCCTACACCCAAAGAAAGACAAACAATATCAGCAGTTGCTGGTGCGCTACTCCACCACCACCACCATCACCACCATCACCACCATCACGACGACAAAGACCACGACGACAAAGACCACCACCACCACCGCCACAACAACAACAACAACAACAACAACCACAACCACAACCACAAGCACAACCACAACCACAACAAACAACCAACAACCAACAACCAACAACCAACAACCAACAACAAACAACAAACAACAAACAACAAACAACAAACAACAAACAACCACAACAACAACAACAACAACAACAATACGAACAATGACAAAAACAATCACAATAAGAACAATAAATAACATAAATAATAGTAACAACAAAAACACAACTAGAAGAACCACAGTGACAGCAACAACCAAAACGGCAACAACGTCAACGACAACAACTGCAACAAACACAACCACGACCACAACGACAACAACGACAGCAACGACAACAACAACAACAACGACACCAACAACAGTAACAACAGTAACTGCATCAACGGTAACAAGAATAAGAACAACACACAAGAGCCCACAAACAACAATCAACAAACGACAACAGTTTGCTAACACCATGCAAAATGGAAGATTCCAGTTCCAAAGGTTGCAAGTAGCATTTACAATCATTTGCAATCGAAGGTTCCAGCTCCCACATGTTGCAAATGGCATTTAAAACCAAAGGTTCCAGCTCCCAAATGCTACAAATAGAATGGAAAACAAGCACAACCAGAAATCAGAATGCCGAATCTTGAAGGCATGACCAGACCAGACATGATCTTTGGTGCCTCGGCCAGGCAATGGTGGACGAAATCTTGAAGGTCTTGTACGACTTCCTCAGGACCACTTGACTGATGAGTAGTGACCGTGGTTGACCCTGGTTGGTCAATGGGGGTTTTATCGTCATTTCTAGGGTTTTTGACCAACAGCTTTAGGGTTTGCACAATCTTGTAAGGAGCAAAACATCTCGGGTTGTACAGGTTGTTGATAGATAATGGTTGGTTGATGATGATGTGGTGTATGAACCCACCTGCTGGAAGTTGCTCTTTACTGGGGATGAACTCACCGGCAATGGGAATCCTGTTCTCATATGAAGACAGCCTACAGATTGGATTCAAATTATGTAATCTAGCATTCCATCACCCGCCATGATGAATTTCCTTTTAGGTGGTTACTTTTGTTTGCTAGAAGGTCGTGGGTTGCATTTGGTCACTTTTCACCTGAACCCCTGGACATGAACAGCCCCCTTAACACAGGGCGCTTTTATAGTAACCGGCTAGCACTTAGAATATTAATCATTGTTTTTTTTCGAATAGGTCTATTAGTTACATGAGTTTTTCTGGGTGAAAACAATATTCTAAGTGCATATCCACAGACGATGCACATAGAATATAAACCTTGTAAAGATGTGCTGAGTTGATCATGAATCAAACCATCATGTTGCATGGCAATGTCCCCGCTGTTTACTTTAGATTTCACTGATCAACGATTTGCTTGGAGAGTCTTGAGATTTTGAAAAGGTAAATATATATATATATATATGTGTGTATATATATATATATGTGTATATATATATGTGTGTATATATATATATATGTGTATATATATATGTGTATATATATATATGTGTATATATATATGTGAATATATACCCCGATATTCTATGTGGATAGATATTCTATGTGGATTACATTCCAGGAATAGGTTTTGCTATGTATTTTCCATATTCTTAGTGGCACATATTTATTTTTAATATTCTATGTGCCAGCTGTTTACTATAAACATTTAAAATTCTCTATCGCAGCTGGTCGCGGGAACTCCAGACACTAGCTGTCAAGTGGTTTTGGATCAGTACCTATAAATACCAACTATTTGGGGGGATGAACATCCATAAATCCCAGCTAGTTTGATATGAACTACAGGGGTTTGGGTTTTGACCCATCCCCAAGTGACCAAAAACGGGGTTAGGCCAAGTGGCATGCTAATTTCTACAGCTACCATTTGTGTGGTTTGCTGGCTTGTGTGGCTTTTGTGGCCTTGGTTTCTTGCTTAATAAATCTTAAACTAACTTCAAATCAACACGAAACCAACCTCAAACATACCCTTAACCCTAAAGAAACCCTAAACCAACTCTCAATGAACCACAAATGAACCCTGCACAAACCTAAAACAAACCCTGAGAAACACCCTAAACCTACCCCAAATCAACGCTGAATAAACCTTAGCAATAATTTAAAAAACACCCCTAAATAAAGCCTGAACCAAGCCTAACTAACTAATCACTAAAACAAACGAGAAGTTATCACTCAACCAAACAACCCTGAGTAAACCACAGATAAACTAAACCTAAACCAACCCTAAATGACAACTAACTTGGTTTAAAACCAACCATGCATTCACACTAAACCATACCTAAGCAATGTCAAAACTAATCTTAGGTAAATCCTGAACCAAACCAAGAAAACACATCAGCCAAACCCAAAACGAATCTGAATCTTAAACCAACCTACAAACATTCAACATACCCCTAAGTTGATCCTCTATAAAATGCCGATGCTTTGACTCTATAAAATGCTGTTCCGGGACCCATTTTATAGAGGACTGGCTTGGCCGTCTATAAAATGCCCCTCCAGAGCTCCCTATTTTATCATTTTATAGAGAGCTTCCTTCCCAGCATGAAAGATGATAGAGAGGTACAAGACGTTGCAGATAGATTATGCATTTTATAGGGGGGATTCTTTGCAAAATGTTACCGTCAAAAAATAAGTACCACAAATGGCTTTGTTGGTAGTTTTTTTTGGGAAAACATTCATATAAATGCATACTTAATAGATAGATAGATAGATCTGCACAAATTTTAACATTTCACTATGGTACAAAAGCAACTTTTTCTTGTTTACAAACCATAAAAGTGACATTTTTCATTGTGCATCATTTTCCCCACTGATTTTCTCCCGTTGTGTCTCCCCTTTCCTGCTCCCCGTTGTGTCTCCACACTTCCGGCTGAAACCTCGGCTCGCTGGCGTTTGTCGAGTCGGGGTTCCGCCAACGCGCGCGCGCGCGTGTTTACAGTAACGCGCGCGCGCGCGTTGGCGGAAAGGCGGAAAGACTGGGTTGTTGCCCGATGTCGCGCTGCGTGTTTTTGCACACGCGTCTGCGGAGAAGCATTTCATAGAGATGACGGAGAGGTCATTTCATAGAGGGTTCCCACTTGCTGTCTGGATGTTGGCTGACGGAGGACCATTTTATAGCCAATTTTCTCTATAAAATGCTTCGTAACGTCGTAAAGCATCCTAGGGAACAAGTAAGGGGTATCATTCAACCAACCCTCATTTTCACAGAGAGGTTGGATATGTGGGCCCAGTTTTTCCAGGTTTCTGGATATACAGCATTTCAGTATCTTGGTATGTATCTATGATTTAGATGATATAATTATTGAATCTTGCCTTGCGTTGTTGTTCGAAGTAGCTTCACTAGAGCCTCAGAGACTTCCAAGCAGCTTTCTCATGAAGTTCTCAGGAGCTTCCCTGGGAGCCTTAGAACAAATCCTTAAGAAATCGTAAGACAATGAAAAATAGACCCGAAAGTGCCTCAACCCTCAACCCCGAATAGCAGCGTGCAAAGTACAGATTCTAGTTGGTTCTAGCTCAAAAAAAGAAATGATGCAAACACACTGCAAAGGAGGGATTCAAGGTCCAACAGGCTGCAAATACCATCCCAGTGTCCGATTTCTGACCTGATAGATTTTAGCTCCAAAATGCAGCAAGTAGCAAAGAAAACTACCCCAGACTGAAGAAACAACTGCACCCATTTTGCGTTCTGGCTGTACGGCTGCCTTGTAACTCTGTCCTTGAGCCTCCCATTGAGTCGTCATTTTGGGTGCGGATCATCTGTTTCCACAAGTTGGAATGGCTAGTAACATCTAGTAACTATATACAGCAATATTACATATATATATATATATTATATTTAGATTATATTAGTATAGTAGCAACATGTGTAGGTCACATCCTGAATTCTTCGGATGACTCCATCCTCAAGCTTGACTTCCTTTAACCCAAAGCTTTGCTTCTGCAGGAGAGTCCAACAAGGCGGAAAAAACTTCTACCTCGATGATGACTTCTACAAAGCCTTCGGCTATCGCAAGGACCTTTGGCTATGCCGGCTGAGGGGCGCAGGGAAGTTTGATGTTTCTACCAAGATTGGTCGGCCAAGCCCCTGAAATGGTGGTTGATATTGATATTAGACTGACATTGATTGGTGTCGCGTTCTCAATGTAATTATACCCCTACTCCGACAATGACCACCCCTATACTATGGATCCCAAAAATGAACCGATCCAGTACGCAAGTATGTATACGCATTATATTCCCATTGTATATTGCCAATTGCAGGTGAAATTGTGATCCATGTTGTCAGGATAAATAATTTCACACCCAATCAATACATTGTGTGTCTGAAAATAGGTTATATCATATCCCCATCATGGCAGTGGGACAGAGAAAATGCTGGTTCATTAATGGGTTCACGGCTACCCTATTTCCAGACAAACCCAAACTATGTGTGCATATGGAGGTTTCCGAAGTCATATGGGTACCCCAAAAACATCCAAAATTAGACCATAACTGAGTATTGAAATCCATGGTGACACAAGGGGTTCCCACATTTTTTAGAAACCCCTCTAGAAGAAAATATGATATAATATAATACAATTTAATAAAGTAGAATATAGAAATAGAATAGAATAGAATAGAATAGCAGTAGTATCGCACAAGGCGCTGGCGGAAGTTTTAAAAATAGGAAACCCTATAGGAGAGTTTGGTTGTTGTGAATCATGGATGGTAAAGCGAACCCACTGATGAATCGAAAGGTGGTTGGCGCGTCGGGCTATCTATCGGTCTATCTATCTGTCTATTTGTCTATCTGTCTATCTATCTACTATCTGACTATCTGTCCGTCTGTCTGTCTGTCTGTTTGTTTGCCTGCCTTCCTGTCTGTCGGTCGGTCTGTCTGTCTGTCTGTCTATCCATCTGTCTAATTATCTATCTATCTATTTATCAATCTATCTATTTGTCCATCTTTCTGTTCATCTATCTGTCCATCTGTCTATCTGTCTGTTTGTCTGTCTATCTGTCTATCTATCCATCTGTTTGTTTATCTATCTGTCTGTTTATGTATCTATCTATCTATCTATCTATCTATCGATCTATCGATCTATCTATCTATTTATCTATCTATCTATCCCTCTATCTATCTATCTATCTATCTATCCATCTATCCATCCGTTTATCTGTCTGTCTATCTATCTCTCTATCTCTCTATCTGTCTTTTTATCCATCCGTCTATCCATCTGTCTTTCTATCTATCTGTCTATTTATCTCTCTATCTCTCTATTTGCATATCTATCCATCCGTCTATCTATCTGTCTTTCTATCTGTCTATTTATCTATCTGTCTACCTGCAAGCTTGAAAAACGAAGCTATTCTGCGAGACTTCATCAATTTTCGAAGTTGACAACATCAAAAATGAAGCAATTCTGCGAGACTTCCTTCCATTTTCGAAGTTGACAACATCAAAAATGAAGCAATTCTGCGAGACGTCCTTGAAAAATGGAAAGTTGAGCACAGAGTTGACGGCCTCGTACCAATGCGTTTTGCGTTTTTTCCATTCCATCTGTCTAAAGTACTGTACCTGCCACGAAAAACTGAGGCCAGGTCATACGAAGTGCCGCACCTGTGACGCAAAATCATCTTAGCAAAGTGAAGATCTGATGCTCCAAAATGCAACCCATCTCAGGAAATCAGCTCCCTGACCTCCCAACATCTTTGATGAAGATGTCTCTTGTACTGCGCGTGCCACGCGAAATGCATCTTTGCAGATCCTCTTCAAGCGTCCCACGCCTGCCATCGTTTTTGAAACTGCTGCAACTTCACGTTTTGCTCACTTTTGGCAAGGTGCAGAATCCCTCGCGCATGCCACACAAAATCACATCCTAGCTTCAAAAAGCGGCGCGAGACCTGCAGTTTTTAACACTTTTGACTTGCGAATGTGGTTCTCGCCACAATGGCGTGCAATTTGCAACATCTCAACTTGCGAAAGTGGTGCGAATGTGTTGTGTTTTTAACATGTTGACTTCCACATGTGCTTGGCTTCGCGCCACAGCTGCGTGCACTTTTTGAACATCTCAACTTCCAAACGTTCTCTGGGCCTGAAGAGTTTTGTACATGTTGACTTCGACATATGCTTTGCACCACACCGTCGTGCACTTTTTCCGAGCGCTCAACTTCCAAAAGTGCTCCGGACTTGAAGCGTTTTGTACATTTTGACTTGGACATGTGCAACGCCGGGCAGTATTTCGACATCTCCACTACCAAAAGTGCTCGAGCATGAGGTGCTTTTAACATTTTGACTTCGAAATTTTCTTCGCGCCACAACGGCGCGCAATTTTTCATTTCTCATCTGGCCACATGGCTCCGCACCCACCGCTTTAGCCAGCCTTTTCGACCTTCCGGAGCCAAAACATTGGAAAAAGACCGTGTTTCGCGACTTTCTTCTTTCTTTTTCTCCCACCTGGATCGTCTTTCTTCTGACTCTTTCTCTCCTGTCTCTTTTCTCTTCCCTGACTCTTCCACCTCTGCGTTTCCATCTGTCCATATTGTCGGAAGTTTGACTTCATATATATATATATTACCACATAATACAGTATAAGATAACAAAACATATCAAAGCATAATATAACATCATATAATATCAGGACATACGAATTAAACAGTAATATCACAGAGTATGGCATCATTTAATGTATTTTTATATTTTCTGTATAGTAATTTAATTTAATATGATATAATATAATATAATACAATATCATATCATATCATATCATATACTTTAATATAATATAATATAACACAATATAATATAATATAATTTAAATCAATTTAATTTAATTTAGTATAAGATAAGAAAAGATAAGATAAGATAATAAGATAAGATGAGATAAGATATTAAATTCTAATGTATGGAAGTATAAAGTAATATAACCTAATTTAATTTAACGCAATATAATATAGCGTAGTAAGATTGCAAAATAAATGAGACAAAATAATATTTTGAAATACAAACTGATTTATTAGATTATAATTTGACTCTCAATATAATATCTAGTTTAATTCAATTTAATATAATTTGATATCATATATTTAGATTTATGATAATAGAAGCTAAAATATTATGATATAGTTAATTTGGTATAACATGGTATAATATAATATGATATTTCTAAAACTCATTTAATCTAGTATAGACTGTTGCTTAATTCAACGTAATAGAATGTCATTTATTTCAAATATATATATACATATATATATATACTGTAGCAAGCATGCTGTTGATTTTCCCATGCGTGAGACTTGACTGTGTATCTTCTGCAAGTAAAACATGTCTTGACTATGTTTGGTCTGCGAATGTATTCATGCTCTCTCTTTGAGCAATTTTGCCCGCCCAAGTTTCCGTTCCTTCTTTGGTTGAAGCTGTTGGTTTGTTGCACAATTGAATCCGATCGCCCAGCAGACCGCTGAATGAAGATCATCTCTACACGTCCTTGTTTGCATCTCCGTACAAATTTGGGGTCCCGGATTGCATTTTGGGGTCCTGATTTGGGTCATATTTTGGTCCCTGTTTCGGGTTCCATTTTGGGGCACCGTTTTGGGCCCCTACAATTACAAACAAAATCCAGGGCCCCAAAACCGCGCCCAAAAATGGAACCCAAAACAAGGACCAAAATATGACCCAAATCAGGCCCCAAAATGCAATCCGGGGCCCCAAATTTGTACGGAGATGCAAACAAGGACGTGTAGAGATGATCTTCATTCAGCGATCGGGCTGCTTGGCGATCTTATTCAATTGTGCAACAAACCAACAACTTCAACCAAAGAAGGAACGGAAACTTGGGCGGGCAAAATTGCTCGAAGAGAGAGAATGAATACATTCGCAGACCAAACATAGTCAAGACATGTGATACTTGCAGAAGATACACAGTCAAGTCTCACGCATGGGAAAATCAACAGCATGCTTGCTACTATGGGGGTACGCCCATGCGTCACCGCAAAACTGCCTGTTTTGAGGCCCTGGTTTTGGAACCTCATTTTGCTCAATCTTGCGGCCGCTTCTTGCTACTTTATTCCTTGGGTGGAAGAGTTCGCTGCAAGCATCCTTTCATTGGAAGATGCAAAATGTGAAATTGCCAGTTTGTCCAACACCTGCGGGCTGCATATCTTCAAACAGTGGAGCAACAGTGGAGCAATTTGCTCAGCGGGCCAGTGAAACAGGGGAACAAAGTTTCGCTATGGGGACATTCTGAGAATCGTGGCGAAGATGCTGGCGTCCCCCGTGCCCCTTTTAAGCAATGTTGATTTGTAAGGGAGGAAGCAGAGCATACAACGATTTCTCTTCCTACGCGCGTCCTCAACATTGCCAAGCTCGGGTCAAAGGGGAGCCAGGCAGAAGCCCACGGAATTTGCAAAGGAAAAAAGAGAGCGCAAGGCGCCGCAACCTAAAGCCAGGACAGAATCAGAAGAAGCTGGACGAGAAAGATACGGCCAAGGAACGCTACCATCTTGAACCAAAACCACTGACTCATAGAACATCAGCGGAGGAAGTTTTACAGCAAACCACCGCGTTAGTTCTGATTGTAAACCATGTGCGGAGTATTGGAGTGAACCCTTGCAGAGGAGCAATCGCAAAATCACATGGCATTTGCAATGGAAAATACGCGGAGGAGGTTTCGCCCAAATTAAAATTACAAGGTCATTTCTACAGGGAAAGAACTTCCTCCGCAAGCTTCTGATAATAAATTGGGAAGCGCTAAGAATCTATGGGGTGAAGGGTTTGCCCTTGCCTTCTCCTCTCTTGCAAAGGCTTACTTTCAAGCCTCAGACTCTTCCAACAGAAAGCCCCGGCAGACAGAAAGCATAAATGCGAATGTTTGCACATGTACCTGTATGCAAAGACATGGCACATCACTGACTGGACATATTTGGCACATATGGAGCTCACAGAGATTATATGAAGCACATCCTAATCATTCTTCTCCTCCTGCGCCCATCCTAAGCTACGATCAATAAGAATCGTAGCGTTGGCACCGAAGGCAAAGGATATCGGATTGACATAGATCGGGCTGAAACCGTGGCTGGAACCAAGCTGCCATCCGCGCAAAAAGAAAAAGGTGCTGCGCCACTATACAAGGTAAAGACTGCCGTTGCGGCGTTCTGCCGTCTGTTAAGCGCCGACCAAGGGAAAATGTGACAATGTTCACAGACATTTCAAAATTTTGCACCCCTCACAGCGTTGCGTGGGTTTTGTCATGCGCAACACATACGCAACATGCACGCAACATGGCGTGTTGCGCGGCCACGCAACGCTGTAATTTACGATGTTTCGCGCTTTTTCCCCGCATTTTCGGGACATCCAGTCTTTTAAATGAAGTTCTACCTTTTTTACGTCCCGTGAGAGGAAGAAGCGCGAAACATCGTAAATTACAGCGTTGCGTGGCCGCGCAACACGCCATGTTGCGTGCATGTTGCGTATGTGTTGCGTATGACAAAACACACGCAACGCTGCAAATAGTGGACAAACTTCTACCTCATTCAAAATTACCAGCAAAACCGCCCAAACACTGTGAATGTCACAGACAGCCAAAAAAACCGTGCGAAGAAAAGCAAGCGAAACGTTGACGACTTTTTTTGCTGGTCGCGAAACATCAAAGCTTCTCCAAGCACTCAGTACCGCCCGACTCCCGACAGAGAAGCTTTCAATCACAAGACTTTGAGATTTCAGGTCCAACCCGCAAGGCACCCCCAAATGCGACCCCAACACCATGTCCAGCCACTAACTAACCCACCAGGACACGCCCAAGAGCCACATGAGCGATATCGCTGCAAGACAACAGACAACAACAAAACCTGCTGCAGCAACCCGCCAACTGCTTGCAACCGAAACTACACTAGAAGGCGCACGAAACCAAGTAAAACTGTTGGATTGGGAGCCAGCACAAAATGTTTAATTTATCTTCTACTGGCATTTTTCACTTTTCTGACGAAGCATTGAAAGGTGCAAGGAAGAGGCGCGGCAAACCACGACTTGACCAACACATGCGCAGCAACCTTGAGGCGTTGCAGCGAAGTCCGCCCAACCAAGAAGGCAATAAAGTAGCAAGAAGCGGCCGCAAGATTGAGCAAAATGAGGTTCCAAAACCAGGGCCTCAAAACAGGCAGTTTTGCGGTGACGCATGGGCGTACCCCCATAGTATATATATTTCTATTTGATATCATTTAATATAACACTATGTAATTCAATAAAATATAGCACAGTAAAATACAGCAAAATAAAATATAATATGTTTCGAAATATACATCATTATTTTTGTGACTGAAAGAGGTGATGACCACTGCGCCGCCAGGACGGCTCATTGTTTGGAAAACTTTGGTCCAACCTGCCGAGTGCTTTGACAGAGATTGCTGCCACCTTACAGACGCGGAAGGATACCAGGACAGACCAATGGACCGGTTCGCGGCTACGGGACGTGTGGCGGGACCAGGCAAGTGCTGCAGCTATCCACCAGTATTTTATCAGTTTGCTATGGCATTGATGGCCCAATAGTTCAATGGTTTTCTACAAAAAAAAACTACCGTTTCTTAGAATGGGGATCCCCAAGTCACCATTGGTTTCAATACAAAGTCATGGTCTAAAGTCTAATGACTTGGGTGTGATTTTGGGGGTACCCCCATGACTTTGGAAACCTCCATATAGCAATTTTTATACATTTAACCGAGGCACTTTTTTAGTCATACCAAATGGTTTCATCCGCATGGAAGACGGGCTGGGATGGTAATGGGTTTATCCACTTGAAACCCACTCGGACCCACGGATTGCTGGCTGTTGCGAGTCTAACTCTCCAAAATCCCATGTTTCACTGCCATATATAATAGTGTTGGTAAAACGCCTTAAATTCGGACACGTTCAAATGGCGATATAATGGTGGTAAATTCCCTGAAAATCGGGCATTGAATCACATAGTAGCTGGTAAATTTTAGGGAACACAATTTTCACCCAAATGTAGATGATCCAAAACCCTAAACCCTAAAACCAATGGAAAACCATATAAAACAAATTTCAGACATAAAACGGCCCCTAGGAATGGGTCTCACCCAAATGAAACACCCGGGTGATCCGGTGAAAAATTGACCAATGAACAGCCAGGTGAGCCAACTTCAGGCCCCGGAAGTTATCTGAGTTGGTGTATTTGCCTAGCTTAACTGCTGGGTTTTTGGTCATGAAACAACGACTCGTCAAGTTAGATGTGTTAATATGTGTTTATCAATGTTTATCAACCAACTTCATCCCATCTCCCTATGAAATATCCCCATGTTGATCTCCAATTCATGGATATATCCAATATATTCAGCATACTAAACAGCAGAGGTTCTGCGGTTTTCATCTTAGGGGGAAGGGGGTTTTCGGGTCCCAGGGTGCACCACAAGTAGGACCCAATGGATCACGGAGTCCATTGCCTTCCGCTCCAAGTTGAAATCTGCACGGCGGATGAGGGTCAGGGAGCCGCTTGGAGCGTGTCAATGTTTCGTATGTTGGGTATCTCATTGGCATCATCAAATGAACAAAACAACCACTTTATGTACTTTGTTTTGTTTTGTTGGTATCTTTACATTTTTTTTACCTATTATATATATACACACTATTACACAGGTGATCTTCCAATTCAACATGCAAGCACCACCATTTTCTGCATTTAAAATCAACGGACATATTTTTCGGATACTCCCTGGTATTCTCAATTGTTTTTTCCAGGCTTTCCTTGAACGACCGCGCAGTTCCAGGTTGGAAAATGACAGGAAAACCATCGCGACGGAGGTGGAAGGTCCATGAGTTCAAGGGGAGAAAAAGGAGGTCATTACGACTTTTGGCGATGCCCAGTTGAGCCTGAAGAACATACCCTTGTTGATGGCGGTTTAGCATGTTTTAACCATCATAGTGTTTCAGTGGGTTGTAAGCATAAACAGTACAGGGAGATAATCGATAAATCATGGTTGATGGCTTAGGGGATTATACGCACTGGTCTATTGATGATTATGAACACACCTAGAACAGGGATGCTTATTTGCCAACCAGTATATTGGGAAGGGATAGGGTTAGGTTTCATTGCTCAGTTGAGCCCTGGTGGTTGATGCATATAACTGATTCCTGACTGGTGGTTTGAAAAAATGTGGTTCAGCGCGATCCTCCCTACGCGGAACAATGATCGCACTTGACTCGAATCATATTTTTAGCAGGGCTTAAAAACACCGGCCTGATAATTAACCATTAATCAGGAAAACATTCACCAATAAGAATCTGGAGTTCACGTTCGAAAAGTGGGAATAGCATGGAATAACATCTTTTAAACATGTGGGATCATGTGGGGATTTATTCACCCATTCCTTCGAACATTCCCAGAACACTCGTGAAATGTAGTGGTATTCTTCTTTGGCGGGTCTCATTTAGAGTGATTAGTGGATGGGACCAATCAAACATGCCAACTGGACCAGCCATTGCCAGAGCGCTATGTAGCCATGAGTCACTGTCACAGACCATGAAGGGTTTATGAGCAGCTGAAGCCTTGTGAGTATGAATGATGTGTGGTGGACTGGTAATTACTTGTGAATACTTGCGAGATCTTGCGACTATGTCCGAGGTGTCCAATGATCCAATGCGAAGGTGTAAAGTTCAAAGCTATCCTATCCACAAAGTACCGCATTAAGTTATATCTCCAAGGAAAGATCCGAAAAGCCAGTAGCAGTCGTGGATTCAACGCCTTTTTTCTAGGGGTCCCTAGGAAGTTTTCACCGAACAAATCCATGATATTCAGATGTTGCAATGATTCGCCGATTAGCCCGTCATACCTTGGCGATTTTCTGGCCAGGTTGTATTTGTCAAGAACAGTGGACTGCTTACAAGTGGCGCAAACTCATGCCTCAGCTTGAGACATTTTCAGGTGGGTCTGGGTCTGGGGGCGAACCTCTCCAAAGCTGGAAGGACTTGTGACAGGAACACGCTAGTGTCAAGATTTGGAGCCCCCAGATCCCATGCCACATGCTTTCCCTATGAACATGAACTAAATGAATCGAAATCTCAACTCACAGACTCATAGATCAGGAGGAATCAACCAGCCGCAGGCCGCAGCCAGTTTTTTTGTCGCCGCGCGACACAAAGCAGGCTGCGTGGAGAATAGCGACCAACAAAGTCTGAAGTTTGTCAAGAATTCCAGTAGCACCTTGGCGCCTTCTGGTGATAGCCTGATGAAACTGGGGACTGGGATGAGAGGGTTCAGCGTGGAAGATTGGCCATCGTATGTCCAACCGGATACGACCGGATGATACAAAACGACATAGCCCACAATAGAAGATACTATCATATATCATGTCTATACATCAAAATATGAACACACGCGCACCCACAGACAAACACCCTGTCGTATGTTTTTGGAAATAACAGGAAAGACTTGTTTTGGATTGTTTTTGGATATGTTCTTGATATGCATAAGATGGCAGTATCTTTAGGATTGTCGAGTCATGCAGGACTGATTTGCGTTGATATGCAGTCCGTTCCCGACTGCAACCAAGGCTGGAAAGGTTTCTGCAAAACCAAGCGGGACCGGCTGGGCGCTTTGTGGTGCGGGTTTTGCATTTGTTTCTTTGTTCCACCATGCACACTACGAAGTATTCTTGGGTCAATTTAACACATGTAGAATGACATAGATGCGATATACATCACATACATGTACATACATTGTATCACTTTATAATATATATATATATACACACACATACTGGTGTATATATATATATACATACACATATACACCCTGGTGCTCCAAACGCCTTCTAAGACTGCATTAGGGTAGAGCGCTAGAGAATACTAGCGATACATAACTATGTATTGGTAGATCGTTGGATAATTAGATAGATAGATAGATAGATAGATCGATAGATGGACAGGCAGGCAGGCAGGCAGGCAGATAGATAGATAGATAATGAATGAATGATAATGAATGATAATGAATGATAATGATAGATAGATAATAATAGATAGAAAAAGATAGATAGATAATGATAGATATTGATAGATAGATAGATAGATAGAACGATATTGATAGATTGATTAACATGTGTACTGAAAGGTGTGTGTGTATATATATATACACATACAATATAATTTAATAATTTGTTGATATAAATATGTCCAGTCCATGTACACCAGGTATTTAGAGTTTTATGAGAAGTGAATCTAAACGTGCTCCGAAGGCCCGCATGTGCTAGACAGGTCAATTAACCTTTGGTTTAAGGGAGAATCGGAAAGAACCTGTTATAACATTATCTGGTAAGAAAGGTTTCTTGGGTTTTTGCAGTCAATGACCAACCGTCAGTTATTTGGAGTAAAAACCATTGGAAAGACTTAGCTACCATGAGGACCATTTAAACCAATGAGTTTCCCCAGTTAACGTTCCCACCAATCGATTGCAACATTGAGCATCGCAGTGTCGTATTCCTGAAGGACATATTCGACCGGGTTTCTCTGAAAATAGGATACCTTGAAAATAGCATTGTTTAAAGAACAATTGCTATATTAAACCATTCGACATCTTTAAACACTGAGACACATTTTGAGTGCGACGCTTCGGTTTGCCCTGTAAAGTCAAGTGGTTGAAAAACAATGAAAAAATACATCTCATGAAAATAATATAAAGGTATATTTAGGGATACATGTTCCTTTCGAGACACATCCACATCTACTTAGATCTGCATCCCCACGCTGAATTGCTTTGCTGATACCCCTGGTGAATAAGTTCCCAAATGGGGTTATCCCAGTCATAACTGTGCAAACACATGCTGCAACCATACATCCCTTTCTGGTAAATTAAGATAGATATGGAAAATCCATCAGTTCTACAGATCACATCAGCCCACCCCTAAATACCACCCATGAATCGGGATTAATCTCCAAGTACCAGGCTTTTCTTTGGCTTGGCAGGACATGTACTCTGCGGTCACGACGTTCCTCGCCCTCTGTGGATGTTGTCCTTTCTGTGGGATCCACTGATCCACCGCCACGTTTACCATCCCATGAACCAACCATGGCTGGGTGCGACCATGAATCATCCCAAATAAAGGATAATGAAGGTATATCCTATCCAATACTAAACCTCTATTGAAATTATTGGAGATGGTGTAGGCGGAACAGGGTGGATCTCATGTTGAAGATTTCTTTTTTCACGCTGTCATGACTGACAGCTTTTGAAGAGGTAAATAACTATATGATACGATATGATATATATATAACACTAGTTATAGGGTGCCCATACCCAACTTATGGGGGTTAGAATCCCATATTTCAAGAATTACACACCCCAAAAAGAAATCAATAGCACCCCCAAGTTGTAAGTTCTAAACTCATCTATTCATATCTAACTTCAGCTAGTTCATTCCCACAAAGCCAACAGTTAAGCTCACCGAGTCCTGAGTGGTCCTGAGGCAGTGCGGGGTGAAGTTCGCGGAATGCGATCCCGAGGCCGACGGGGGGCAATGGGACAGATAGGGAATAGATGGACGTAGAGATAGAGAAAGAGATAGATAGATAGAGAATGATAGAGAAAGAAATAGAGATAGATAACATAGGTAGAGATAGAGATGGAGATAGAGATTGGTAGAGAAATAGGTAGATATTTAGATACATATTTTTTGTACATATATATATACACATAATGCACAGAGGTATGTTCAATTGTATATATATACACATATTTACATGTAGTCTGTTGTACAATGACCAAGCTACATGTCTATCATTGACTTGGGTAGTGGCATTTGATTGTGGCAGATTCTGCAGGCATAGGTTATTGATTTTTCGTCTTTGCGGTTTCATCCATCCGAATCTGCAGACTGCCTGCCCTGGCATTGTCTCACTCACATTTTAGGCTTGCAATTTCAGCTCACAGATTACAAACTTGAAACGCTCTCGCAAACATAGCAGAACTGAATAGTTCTAGTGAATGGAAACAAACTGGGCCTGACTCATCCGAGGGCTCAATCCAAGGTTTTTTGAGGGAAATTCCGGGATTGCTGAAGAAGGTACAAGTTCGACTTTGAGTCTATGTATCCTATGTCTTTGTAGCCATAAAATGTTTGCAATCAATGCCACCTGCATGAAACCCCCTTGCTCAAGGAGGTACAGTATGCCCTTCGTACTAAGACTCCAGAAACACCCACAGATTTTTGTCAGGTTAAGTGGCATTGAAGAATCAAATTATATTGTACACCCACATTTTGAGTACCGGATGTCAGCCCGAAATGGGTGATTCTCAAAACTGGGGTGCCCCTTTTTACTGTTGGCTTCCTAAAACCAAGAATTTGGAAGATATCTTGGGGTCCCATTCTGTGATGCACCCATATTTGTTTCATCGTCCCCTTATAGTGCGACCCCCATGTGTTTTTGTTGGTACAGTTATACCATCAGTTATGTTACCTGTTCATGCCCATTTAGTTCGCGGATATCCCAGCCATCTTTGATTACCTCGGGGTAATTTTGGCGGATGACTAATATTTTTCAGAGGGTTGAAACCACCAACCAGATTCATTTTGTATCCTGCTTCAACTAGTAGAACCTGAATCATCTATGTCCCAGGCAGAGAGTAAGAAGCCCAAGTTCCAGATCTGGCGTTCTGCAGATGTGCTCCGGGCAGATGCTTGGCGCAAAACCGGGGAGGGGGGTGCTACCCTCTGGTTATTTAAACGTTTGCGAACTGGAAAATCATCATTGTTGTTTTATTGGGTAAACCATCGTTTTGTACATTTTTATCATCTACATGGGCCATGTTCCATAGCTATAGTAACTATAGTAAGTAGCCAAAGGTAAATGTTCTGTTTTGGAGATTTTGAACATGTGAAAAGTATGTGTTGATTTGTTGGAGATTATATCATATCCCCAAGCCAGTTGAGTGATGTGAAAAATTGGGACAGAAATACCAAGCCCTGTTGGGTTGCATGGGTAAACAATCTCCACCAAGAATCATTCAGAATGCTACTCGTGGCACTAAATCAGCAGGTACTTTGGATGATTGGTAACTGTCTGTGATTTTGGCAACAGTGCTCTCTGATTTCTCTTGAGTTCCAATCAATGTTCATCAGCTTGACCTATAAAGATCTAGCCAGTTAAATCTCCTGAGCATTACTAAGCATCAGTGTCAACAGTTGGCCCCTGCTCATGTTCAAAGACCTAACCTGGTTTGATGGCATATCTCAAGACTGTCATATTTGATGGTCTAGCTTTCCCCAGATTAGCAGTTCGTCATATTTAAGCCAGCTTTGTTCATCAAAGCCTCTATGCGCTTTTTTCGCTCTCCAAATCAGCAGTCTCAGCAATTGTCAGTTGATTCTGGTGGCTTGAGTTTTGTGTGTCATATCTACTGGATTGTGATGATTTGTGATGTTTATATTATATAATTATATAAAGTTTTGTTTGCCACTGAGCCTGGACCAGCCTGGAAGTACTCCAGAAGCCAATCATGTCTTGCTGAGGAGCCCGTAACTTGGCTCCCAGAAACTTCTGCGGATGGATAGCTGGGAGGATAGAAAGGGATGGCTGGTGAGCAAGTCGAATTTTTGTCTGTTGGTATGTATTAACCATCCAATTTTGTGGCGTATAATATGGGTATCTGATTTTGACGAATACCCCATGTGATGCTTAAGATCTGTATGTTTCAAGATGGCAGAAATGAAATGAATGAATGGTTGTTGCTGACAAACCAGTTGACCTTGCTAACAGTTTCAGCAACATGGGCACTTGCAGGATAGAAATGGGGGCATCAACGGCTACTTTGCCCAGTTTGTTTGCATACTTCCCCTAGCTCTTCCTAGGAGGATGATGTTGAAGCACCGAAAATGGGGGAAGAGAGTTGGAATCTCGCGAATCGGAAAGTAGTAAAAACATCATATATATATATTTATTGATTTTCTTTGTTGATCCATCTTGTACCCAGAGGGCAGCTAAGACCTGAGAAATGCTCAGGCAGGTGGCTGATTCTTGGTAGTCTTAGTGATGATGGTAGTTTTATATTATACTAACAGGCTCTAGTGATCAAAGGAGTGGTTATAACGTTCTTAGTAGATATAAAAAAATTCATGTTAAAGCGACTAGGTCGGAACCCCCATTGCTTCAGGGCCTGTTTCAGGGCACTGGTCTGGAAGTACCCAGGTGCGGTTGCCGTTGCTTCAGCTGGATCTCTATCTGCATATCGATCTGCGCAACCGCCGCGCTGACTTCTGCACCTCAGACAGGGGGGACTTCCGGGTGACCGGGGAAGTCGTTGAGGGAAACTTTTTTTGGGCTTGTCTGAAAATGGGAATACAAAAAACACATGGCCATTTGTATTCGGGGAAACCAATGACAAACATTGACAAACCAATGGATTTAGGGGTGCAACATTCAGATAAACTCAAATTGGAGTCACAAAACGCATCAAAACGCGGCTTGGGATTAAAAATGCAGTGTAAATACAAGAAGAAAATGGTTTGGTATCGAAAACACCGTTGAAATGCGATGAACGAAAATAGAAGCTTTTGGGGGTTGGGACTCCAAGTTGGATCAATCATGCAGCTCGTCCATTTTTTACTCCAACAGTCCAACCCACAACTGCACCAGAAACTCTGATCACTCCGCACTGGCGAAGTCGGACAGCCCAGCTCGGCGGTTCGCCTGCAGGCACTCCAAATTTCGCACCATTGATGCTGGACTCAAACACGCACTGGTCGATGTTCCTTGGCAGCCAATGGCTGGACTGGAGGACTGCAACTTGAGCACCCTGACCCCTGTTGGTTGATGTAGATGATTATACTACCAAACATCTTGGGAATAATAAGAATATCCATGATTGAATCAATATGAATCAATAGTAACCAAACAGCATAATGGAATGACAGAGAGACCAGTGAACACTGCTCACTTGAACATGAACCACTCTGATGCCATCCGGACGGGTCCCATCCGGTTGAGTTCATGTGGTATCAGCGCTCGGCTGATGACCAGTCCGGGGGGGAGTTTTGCAAGTTTTGTGGCTTTCAATTTGGAAACAGGCATGTGCTTGCCCTTTTGGCCTTTGGATCTAGTGGTCAATACCAAGAATGTAGCCACAGAATTGGTTTGTCAATATTATGAACCCATCCTGCGGGGGAAAAAACATCCATTGGTCTGTCAATAAGCCCAAAAGTATAACAATTTGGGATTCACCATAACTGATTGGTGGTTTGGAACATGGCTTTTATTTTGCCATATATTGGGAATGTCATGATCCCAACTGACTAAGTCATATTTTTCAGAGGGGTAGGGCTCAACCACCAATCAGAGAAAGAAGTGGCCATTTGGGGATGCTCGTGGACTTGTGATCCTCCAGGTCCAACTGGCTGCCATATGACCTGCGTCGTTCGGGCTGTTTTGGCGCGCGCATCCATCCACCCGGCTTCAGTTTGCAGCTGACCAGGTGTCACCTGACCTGCCAAGTGGTTTTGGGCACCTTGAGTGATGAGGAAGATGGGGGTGTCCAAAGTCAATGGGGGTACCCCTAAATCATCCATGTCGAAGTCCTTAGACATAGACATCATCATCATCATCATCATCATCATCAGACCATGCTAGTAAAATATTAAAACATGGTTTTGAGGATCCCATTTAACTAACTATATCGGAAATTGAATGAATTTGATACAGATCAGCATGGGCACATGGGGCTATTATGGGCTATTCAGGAACAATCAAGTGGAGGACAGTAACAGGATAACAGGGGAAGGGGAAACCCATGGAGCATCATGGAGGGGATTGGCAAATGAAGGCGCTCGTGAATGAGGCTTTTGGCTGCTGTCAAAGGGATGTGGGTCAAAATGGAAGACCTAGGGGACCACAGATGTTAGTCTAGTTTAGTATTAACCATCCATAATTTTGGGGTACCTAATTTTGACCCATACCCAAATTGACTGGGGGATAGGATTTTGGTGTCTCACTTCAAGTTGAAAGGACTTCTCTCTTGTGCCATGATGCCTACTTCCATATGTGTATTCACGAATGATAGGTATGCACTATTGTCCCATCAGCCCCCTTTGTACTGGATACGTATTTGCGAATGTGGAGTAATACACATATAGCATCATGTACCCATCTCAATTGCTCACAAGACCTTGTGATTTGATCCCCATCATTCACAGTTTCCCATTGTCCTTGCCTAATGTTTGACGTGACATTTGCCATGTCATTTCATTGTGAGTATCGCTGCGAACTACCTGAATTTGGCTGAGTGGCTGATTGTTGATTCTTCCATGGATTCTTCCAGCCCTTTGGGGAATATGTTGGGAATACCCTCTGATACTCAAACATATGCGAACGAGGATCACCCAACTAGTGCGATGAGTTTCCCAGCGAACGAAACCTCCATGGGGAGTTCCCAGCTGCCAATGAGGCCGACATCGAGCCCTTGGTAGCAGCAAAAAAGTCACAACCGAGTGGTCCATGACAGGCGTGACGGGATGGTCGGACGGCCCGTTTTTTGGGTCAAGAAACCCGGAATCAGGCTGGGGTTTGTTCCACATTATATTGTATAATTATATATATACACATAATTATAGTATACAATTATATACGTATATATATATTATAGATTAGATTAAATTACTGGTAGATTAGATTGGATTGGACGGGTATGTTATGTTATGATATGCTATGATATGATATGATATCCCGTGGGACCGAAAAACGCATTTTACCACAGGGTTTCCGAATTTGCATTCATTTCAATGTTTCTTTGACGGCTTTGGCAGTGACCACCAACAAGTTGTTGTTCAAGTCAATGTACCATGCAGATCCATGCAGTGCATGTCAACAGGAACGTTAGCATCAGCCCCCCTTGTTCCACCCACCCAACCCATGGTCAAGGTATATATATATATATGGAATGATATTGAAAATGCTGCGACTACAAGTTCCGTTTCCGGTCCCATAGCATTATGATGGCCACTTTGCCACAACTGATGGCCCACTTACTTCCATTTTTTATGTGTTTTTTTTCCATTTCAATTATCCATTTTTTTGGTGGGTTGGGATTGAAGCATTTACAGCATCTATTCTTCAACCATGCATTTTGAACCATAACAATCAATCACATACAATACTACTATATACAATCAAGACACAGAGTACATACCCAGTGGGAACTCATGTACGCCTTCATCCGTACATACAAAACATTTTTTCAATATAAGGTATATCACATAGTATATCAAACAATTCAGGTCCTAAGGCGCGCGCATCATTTCCTTTTACAGTAACATTCACACATACTCACCTTTAAAGATTCGTGTATAAAGTATCTACTTAAAGACTGTTTGGGGCATCAGTAAGTACATGTACACATAACTAAGCATAATACATACATGTATAATATCATATATGCACATCTTTGCATGCAAACCCATGCATATCCATTTATATTTATATATATATTATACACGCATGTGTGCATGTCACCCGTGTTCAATTTTTTGCGCGCGTGTGTGTTCATTGGACGACTCCACATAGTCTCACACCTTTACGCTATACACTCAAAGACAGATACCTTTGAAAGTCATAGATGTCTTCACATTCGCTCATTCATCCTTTTTGAGCCTGTTACCTGTTACTTTACATTGTACATGGGTGATGGCATCTAGAATCCAGCTACGTAGACAATGATGAGAACCTAAAAAAAACATCAAGGGTCGGCCGATGACTGCTGAATGCAAAGGACGTCGATAGAAATGGATGAGAAATGGACGATGGATGAGAAATAGATTAGAAATGAATGAGGTGGATGAGACATGGATGAGAAATGGATTAGAAATGGATGAGAAATGGATGGAAAATGGATGAAAAATGGATGAAAATTGTTGAAAATTGATAGAAATGGATGAAAAATGGATGAAAATTGCTGAAAATTGATAGAAATTGATGAAAAATTGATGAAACATGGATGAAAAATTGATGAAAATAGATGACTGGATGAAAAATGGATGAGAAATGGATGAAAAATTGATGAAAAATGGATGAAAATAGCTGAAAATTGATAGAAATGGATGAAAAATGGATGAAAATTGCTGAAAATTGATAGACATGGATGAAAAATGGATGAAAAATGGATGAAAATTGCTGAAAATTGATAGACATGGATGAAAAATGGATGCACAATGGATGAAAAATGGATGAAAATAGATGAATGGATGAAAAATGGATGAGAAATGGATGAAAAATGGATGAAAAATGGATGAAAATTGCTGAAAATTGATAGAAATGGATGAAAAAGGGATGAAAAATGGATGAAAAATGGATGAAAAATGGATGAAAATGGATGAAAATTGATGAAACATGTAGGAAAATTGATGAAAAATGAATGGAATAATTAAAATGTTGGAATTTGTAATTGAAATTGTTTAAAAAGAAATGGAAATTGATAAAATCCATCAGCGCCCTTCACTGCCCTTCGATGCCCTCCGGTGCCCTGCCCTTCCGTGCCCCCAGTACCCTTCCATGCCCTACAGTGCCCTTCCATGCCCTCCAGTGCCGATTCACTGGCGCCTCCATTGCCCTTCGATCCCTCTAGTGCCGTGACTGAAGCCCACATGCATGTGCTTGCATCCACATATATGAAATACAAGTTTGGACACATGCATCTCTGGGTATGCATGTACATGCCAAAATTGCCTTAAAAAATGCACAACATGCGTGTATGCTTACATGTGTGCGCATGCCTGAAAATATTAGCAAACATGTTTGCATAAAACACTTGCAATATACATGTATCCTTGTACCTACATATGTATATGTGTATACATTCATGTATGTATATGTGTGTGTGTGCGTGTCTGTGTATGCGTGTATGTGTGTCTAAATGGATGTTTGTCTGTATAGATGTGTGTATGTATGAATGTATGTAGGTATGTATGTATGTATGTATGTAGGTAGGTATGTAGGTATGTATGTAGGTATGTAGGTATGTAGGTATGTAGGTATGTATGTAGGTATGTAGGTATGTAGGTATGTAGGTATGTGTGTTTAGGTATGTAGGTATGTATGTATGTAATGTATGTATGTATGTATGTATGTATGTATGTATGTATGTATGTATGTATGTATGTATGTATGTATGTATGTATGTATGTATGTATGTATGTATGTATGTATGTATGTATGTATGTATGTATGTATGTATGTATGTATGTATGTATGTATGTATGTATGTATGTATGTATGTATGTATGTATGTATGTATGTATGTATGTATGTATGTATGTATGTATGTATGTATGTATGTATGTATGTATGTATGTATGTATGTATGTATGTAATGTATGTATGTATGTATGTATGTATGTAATGTATGTATGTATGTATGTATGTATGTATGTATGTATGTATGTAATGTATGTATGTATGTATGTAATGTATGTATGTATGTATGTAATGTATGTATGTATGTATGTATGTATGTATGTAATGTATGTAATGTATGTAATGTATGCATGTATGTAATGTATGTAATGTATGTAGTGTATGTAATGTATGGTATCTATGTAATGTATGTAATGTATGTAATGTATGTAATGTATGTAATGTATGTAATGTATGTAATGTATGTAATGTATGTACTGTATGTAATGTATGTAATGTATGTAATGTATGTAATGTATGTAATGTATGTAATGTAGGTAATGTAGGTAATGTAGGTAATGTAGGTAATGTAGGTAATGTAGGTAATGTAGGTAATGTAGGTAATGTAGGTAATGTAGGTAATGTAGGTAATGTAGGTAATGTGTATGTAATGTATGTAATGTATGTAATGTATGTAATGTATGTAATGTATGTAATGTATGTAATGTATGTAATGTATGTAATGTATGTAATGTATGTAATGTATGTAATGTATGTAATGTATGTAATGTATGTAATGTATGTATGTATGTATGTATGCATGTATGTATGTATGTATGTATGTAATGCATGTAATGCATGTAATGCATGTAATGCATGTATGCATGTATGCATGTATGTATGTATTTCCAAATGTATGTATGTATGTATGTATGTAATGCATGTAATGCATGTAATGCATGTAATGCATGTATGCATGTATGTATGTATTTCCAAATGGATCGCAGGAATGGATAGTAAATCCAAATGGATGTTAGGAATGGAAAAAAAATGGATATAAACAGATGTTCCAGCAGGAGGGGTTCTGCCAGATGTGGCTTTCATAACCATAGCATCTATTGTATGATACGTTTTGTCTATATATGTATATAAATGGTTCCAAATTTTAGGGCCCAAGTGACAGATGTCAGGCCTTTTGTGCGTCAAATTAAGCAAGGTTGCTCACTTTGAGCATTGTATAAGTTATAAACATGAAAGTTTGATAAAATTTGAGGTATCCAGTCACCAGTTTTTCATGTTTTTACCCCATACACACTTGCGACTTTGTCAAACAACTTTGTTCCTCCAACATTTCGGCCATGGGCAACCAATGGAAGTTGAAGTTCCAGGTAAAGTTCGGTGCAGCTGTTTACCTCCTTATGGATCAGAAGAAATGTTGTCATGCTTGTAGACAACATAGTCTACAGTATATTTTGAGTATGTTCACTTGGAGCCAAAGCATATTGTTCAATATTTCTTGTTGTTATTTTGGTGTCATTTGCTGGTGCCCACTGTTAGTGTCAAAATGGATATCCCAAAACATAGGTGGTATCAAAATTTGATGGTTATCATTTATCAGCATTTTCTCCAGTAAAATCACCGTTTTGCGGGGGGCAAATCCGATGTTCAGATATTCTCAAACACTGGAATCAATCATTCGCTGGTTAAACCAGAATGTTTGATGATGAAATCCCCATTTTGCCTGAGTAAATCCACATTTCGGGTCTGATCCTGTGCCAGGTGTTGCTTATTTGGTGAGCCACTACAACGTCTGGGGCACCGGTGACGGAGATATGACGCGCACCTGGTTCGGAGGAGGCTCCTTGGTGAGGAAATGGCTCGGCAGGATTGCTTTGAGGGCATTAAGCCTGGGCTTGGCCCCCAGTTCTGGCCATTTTGGGATTTCAAGGGGTACCCTATTTTCAGACTTTGCTTCATGAAACTCTGCCCACCCATACCACTGAGCACAGTCACTTTCAGACTACCTCTGGTGGCATAGCGCGTGCACCCTAAGGGCTATGCACGTCACAATCCGCACAGACAAACCAAAATTCTTAATATGTATAAGTCCCCTTGAAAAGGAAGGACGTCAATTGACTATATTTGAAACGGTTTGAAACCATCAACTCTACAGCGTATGTCATGTCAACCTCTGGGGATATAGTATCTTTACATAAATTCTACACAGCTGCATGTACACTTATCGCAGATGTGTATTCTTCCATGGAGGCCCAAGAGTGGATGCTTTAGCGATGTCAACCCCAGGTTCAGCCCCTGGACTCTTCAAGAGGGTACCACAGGTACCACTAAAGTCATCATCCGGAGTTGGCATTTTCAAAGCGTCCAAGATTCAGGGTGCACATCCCCCACTACACATGCCCCACAACCATCTAGATCATATATGTAGAACATATATATATAATATAATCATATAAATTATATATATATACATATATATATACATATATACATATATACATATATACATATATACATATATACATATATACATATATACATATATACATATATACATATATACATATATACATATATATACATATATACATATATACATATAGACATATATACATATATATATATACATATATACATATATATATATATACATATATACATATATACATATATACATATATACATATATACATATATACATATATACATGTATACATATTAATACACGTATGTAGCCGTATGTATATATACATATATACTTATATATATATACACATACATGTATACATATATACATGTATACATATTAATACACGTATGTAGTCGTATGTATATATACATATACACGTATATATGTATGTACGTATATGTATATATGTGTATATGTATACATATAATTACATATTTATATATATATACATACTTACATATATATATACATATATATATACACATATATATATGTATACATACATATATTTATATACATATATTTATACGTATATATAGAAATATATGTATATATGTGCGTGTTATTAATTGAACAATAGATACATAAAACGTCACGTACATAATATATCCATAGAATGCCATAGCAGCTGGCTTTGCTAACCTTACCATGGAGATTTAGTGGAATCTTGTGGGCCGCACCTGACTGTTGCGCCGATGTCAAGGTGAAAATTGGGGAGCAGCGGTCCCTCGGTTGGGCAAGGGGACTATTCTTGACCATCGGAGATGGGACAAGATTCTTTAGATTTTTTTTGAATATTACAGCACATGATTAAGGTTGAAGATTGTTACATGAATCATAGTAAGGTAAAACACCATCAATGGTGAGCATGAAGTGTATCAATTCCATTCCATTCAGTCCTGACGCAGCCAGTTACAGGGGATACAGCCTGGACTGAATGATCTATCGCCCAGGACCTCCTGGAAAAGTAGCCGCAGCAAAATTGTTCATTGGTGATCATCAATGTCTCCATTAAAACGGCCATATATGGTGGAAACCCCAAGTTTGATGATTGCCTTCGCAGGGCGGCAGGAATTTCCAGGATATGGAACACACCTTTTATGGTTTCAATGCACGCAAGTCTCGCAAGTCTTAACACTTGATCACCAATCTTTCTATTTTTTTGCTTTCAAAAAATATGATATGGGTGTGTTTGAAAATGGAGTAATTTTCAAATCACCATTTTAATGGGGATAGTGACAAAAAAAATGAATTGGGAGCAGCCTAATTCAACATTTTTACCCCAAGGCCTTAACCCCCAAAAAACGTTGCGTATGGCATATCACCACCGAGGCAGCATCTCAGGGATGGCCCAACTTTCTGATGGCGGACCCTGGTACTTGGTTCTCTTCTTCTGCAGGAAGTGGTACCTTGATTTCAGATGCCCTGATGTTTGGGGGAGACGTGAATTTAACCATCAAAAATAGAGGTATAATGGGAATATAGTGATGGGGAAGATGCTGATTTAATGGAATTTAAACCACTATAATGAGGTTTAGCCACCAAAAATTGTGATTTACTGGAATTATATGATTTCAGAGTTTTCGAACTGGAAAATCACGATTTTCGATGGGTAAACCATTTATTTTCATGGACCATGTTCCATAGCTACTGGTATGTTAAATTACCACAGGGTAACCATCAAAAACTGTGAGAATACAATGAGGATCTCATGGGGAAAATGATGAGACAAAACCCTCTGGGAATCTAACACTTTGTCACGTTTGCCATGCTTAAAGAAAATATGGCAAATGGCCATGGACACAATAGGTCAATCATCTAAGAATCTACACAGTTGTCATGACTGTGTAAATTACAAAAGGGTATTTGACGAATATGTTTCTGAGATTTGGTTGGGGGAAATTAGTGCTCATTTAGTGTAGACTTGGTACAAACGCCAGAAATCAAAGGTCCATGCAGGGTGTCCTAAATAGATTAGCGCGAGGCAAAGTGGGGGTTTGGATGAAAAGCCCGTGGATGAAGTGACCCATAGCCGGTCCAACTGGATATTGTAGATCATATGTACCTGGGTTCACTCTACAATACTACAACTGATATGGAAGTTATGTATAACCAGTTCCAGAGCACTTGAAGCCATTATTGAAATTCAAATTCGTGAAGTCATGAATGTTATAAATTCATGATTGATCATTATTCACAGGTATACAATAGCCACTTTTGAACTTCACCATGTTTAAACTGTTCTTCACCGCCATTGCATAGCTGTAAAAAACTATATTACCAACCTAAGGTTATCAACACTTCTCATCAAACAGCCACTATTGTATATCATATAACTATTTTTAAATGGCCATTGTCCACAATCTTGCCCATGATTCATTCCTCCAAAGCTACCCTCTTGTAATTTTAACATAACTGTTCAGAATCACCCTTTTCAGCACGTAAATCATCGAACGAAATGGGCCATCGAACTACCATAGCTACCCACTCATATCCCCATTTTCCTGATCAAATCCCCATGACATCACCATAAAATCTCTAAATCCCGCAACATCACCTTTGTTCATGTCCATAAACTAGCCATAAACTCACCATGACATCGCCCTAAGCCTGTGGGGCGGCCAGGCTACTTGTCCACCCCCAGCGTAGCGGCTTCGCCCTCGGCCTTTTGGTTCGGTTTGTTGGCGGAAGTGATCTCCACCCTCTCAATGGCCGAGGAGCGCTCCGCACGCGGAGCGGTGGGATGAAAGAGACGAGGCCGGGATTTAACAATCTGTTGAATAAATCTCTAAGCATCTGGATTCCAGAATCCCTAGGGTATTGTGGATTGATATGAATTGAGTCAATCAATCCCTTTTTTATATACTGTTTTCGAATATTTGTATGGTTGATTATTTATAGTCATTGTAGATAATTATAGATAATCGATTTGCTATTTATTATCTATTGTGGTTGATTATTCCACTATAAATAGACAATGTTGATGTTGATATGTTGATGAATGTTGATGGAGGATTATTGTGGATGATGATTGCCATGACAATGAAATATATGTATTTGTCTGTTGGGTTGATCATCGATTATTTATGTATTGTTCACATGGCATGAAGAGATGTGTTTAGAATACTATTCATTCATTTAATTAGGAATCGTTGATTATTCTGAATTATGAAACTATTATCTATTTCTTGTTAAGGTCTATTGTTGCAATGACAGTAGTCTTTGCCCGAACTAGCAGGGAGCATCCGGGCAAAGCAAGATGAGGATGAGGATGAGGATGAGGATGATGATGATGATGATGATGATGATGATGATGATGGTGGTGGTGATGATGATGATGATGATGATGACTATGATGATGACGACTATGAAGATGGTATGTTTATTTGTTCCATTGGGGTGGGAGACTTTATAGACTTTATAAATTATGTAAATTCATGTAAATCCTACAAGAAAACCCAATCGCGGTATAGTTGATTGTTCCATGTTTGAACGTTCGAGGTCGTCTGAAAATCATTGGCAAAGCTAGGCTATTCTGTTCTTGGGCAAAGCTCGGGGCCGCGTATATGATTCAAGGGCTGCCGCCCCCTGCCGCAGACCCCAGTGCATTATCCTTGGCTACATTGTTTGCATATGTATTTACAAAATGAGGGGACCCGTGGAAGGACATGGCTTTAAAATGATTCAACATAAATGCAGCATTCAAAGCAATATAGATTTGATACAAGTTCCTTTGCCTTTTTTGTTCACACACGTATGCACAATAGAATAAATGTGTGTATAATTGTGTGTATATATATATATATGGGATCCGCTCTAATACTATAAGGAACTTTTAAATCCGATGTATTTCAGATTTCATTAGAAGGCGGAGTTCTGTATAGATGCAGTGACATCGCTTTCCTGCAGCTTAGCGCTAGATTTGCGCTAGTGTGGCGCTGGATACTTTTACATAGCCATTCAAGTGAAACAAAATCAGGCTCGATGCTTTCTTTCCCTCTTGCTTTCTTGCACCTGTTGTTCCTGGTCGTGCCTGGGTGCATTGCTTTTGAGCTGCATTGCTCCTTCACCTTCTCTTTGGCCAGCATCACCAACGTGACTTGTGAAGATATGTCAATACAACCGCTGTCCACGCTTTAATCGCTAGGCTAAACGTAGTTTTGGCGTTGATCCGCGCTAGATCCGCGCTAGACAATTGCCCCACTGCATGTGGAACAAATCACCGTGCTTGAAAACGCAAGAGCACTGTTTGCTTCCAGCTGGTAGCAGCAACTTGGATGTGGGCCATGGAGTCTGCATTGTGAGACCAAACAAAGGAACCATGCAGGGTGTGATAGCGTTTCCAGCATCGCCAGCAGCTCCAGCTGAAAGAGCACCGCTCTGGCTACCTTTGCAAGAGTTCCATGCAAATCAATCATTCACAAGTTTCTTCACCCATCTTTGAGGTCTGTTGGGACATTTAACTTTAAAGGCGGAGTCCTGTAATACGCAGTGAAGGTGGTTTTCGTCCGAATCCGGGAAAAGGAATTCAGAGAAGACTTCATATTATATATATATATATATACACACGTATAAATACATATATACACACATAACGTACATAACACAGGAGATGCACAGGTTCTACCGTACACACACAATGCACATGACATATATGATTTGCCAGCCCTACCTGGGCCAGGAAGCCTGAGAGGGGCGCTGGGGGGCAGTGGACAGGGAATGGCTGGATAAAACCGGCATAGTTTCTTTCATGCTCGGACCACTGCCTCCACACAGCCTCCAAAGCTTTCTCCCACGGCAAAACACCATGCAGCTAACAGTTTTCGCGGGCTTCAAGCTCCGGCCACTGTCGGACGTTAGCTTCTGAACCAGTTGCCGGAAGGTGGGTTTTCGTAAAGAAGACGCAACACTTCTCCTCGCACGCGCTCCCCCTGCCGTCGGCTGGGGTCGGCGGATCATTGTTTATTATATTTTATTATTACTCATTAGTTATTATTATGTTTTTTGGTTATCTACTCTCATGTATTTTTCTATTTATATATGTATATATATTTATATACACACCTATTGTTTAATACTTGATTTCTCAATGACTCATCTAATCTATATTTTATTGTCTATGATTTATCTATTGTTGGTTGGTCTATTATTGGTTCTATTCACTGGATATATTTGTTTGCCGTATTCGTCTATCTATGGTAATTCTATTTGTGTATCTGTTTATTGATGTGCTTATTTATCGTTTGATCTTTATGTCCATGTATATGTATCTCTTTCTACTTGCAATAGATATTTGATAAGATAAGTCCAGAAATTCCAACTATATAGAGTTATATTATAGCACATATATTATATACATATCCAAAAATGTTGGTTTCGGGTAGGGGATTTGGGGGTTAGGGACTATAGCCTCTTCTTTGCATTCCCGTTGCTCAGCCAGTTCCCGGGGATGGCACAAGCCCTGAATGGCTTGACTTTATTCCAGATGAACTTCTTGTGGATCTCCTCTTAAAATCCAAAGCTATAGGACTGTTTTCCAGTTGCTGTTGGTTTTCAAACTGTACGTATACATATCTCTACATATCATTCAGTGTGCATATACAGTTAGCTTTTACACCCCATTCCATGAGTGACATTTATACTATATGTCATTCGTATCTATATATATATATATATATGCTATCTATACAATATATATATATATAATTAATTAATTAATATATATATATTTATTTAAACTATACTCTATATGTATATACTATGTATATCACATTTAAGTCTCACCTTTCTGTTGGTTCTATCACCAATTTCATCCAGACGTTCAGCACCGCACTGCCAGTTCTTCAGCCCTAAAAACGCCAGCAGCAAAATGCACACTGCCAAGACGGCCGTGACCACAGCAGTGACCTGGACTTCGCCGGGAAGTGAGGAGTTCTGCAGGGTGTATGCAATGGATATTTTTGGGTGCGTATATTAATGATGATAGCATATATATATATATACGTGTATGTATATGTATTTATTAATTTTTGTTTATTTATTTATTTACAAACAACATATATGTATATTAATATATGTATATTGATATATATGCATATATACATACATATATACATATATACATACATATTTACATATAGATACATATATATATATAGATATATATATATAGATATATATATATATATGTACATTTACATGCCTGCTGGAGCAATCAACCTGGGGCAGATGGAATCCAAATTTCAATTTTAGTTGATTTCAGTTTGGGTGGAGGATTTAAGCATGTATTCATGTTACCCTAGATTGGGTAGAATTCATCCAGATAAATTTGTTTGTGTATATATATATATATTTATTTATGTTTACATACATGTATAATGATATGACCATATGCATATACATTTAGGTATATAGATACACGTATGTGTGCGTGTGCAGTATATGTGCATGTATATTCATAGAGTTATGGGCATCACGGCATCACGGCATCTGATCAACAGTATGGGGCTCATCCAATAGTACTGGGGGTCACTCCGCAAGAATTCTGCGGAGTGAACTCTCAAAATGCAGAAGTTTTACCATGTAATTGTTCTTAGTGCAGGGTTTTACCACTTCTTGAAAAAGACCCCTTTGCGTGAGTGAATATGGGTCAAAAGTCCTCCTATCTGTCGCCGGGCTGGCACTCCAACGTCCTCCAACGCATCTCGGAGGGGAATCATCAATCTGCTCGTGAAAAAAAAAGGCCTTAAAAGATGTGAAACACCACATATTTCCAAAGTTCAATCTTTCACCATTATTTGATGGCCGTTCTTGGCTGGTAGTTCCTCTTTTTTTTTCAGGACAGAGCGATGCATTTTCAGAATGGAGATCCCAACAGTTAGATCTCTGACAGGACGATCCATTCTGAGAGGATGATTCAACCTTTGATGTCAATAGTGTAAGCATATATATATATAATTACGGGTTTCTTAGACGTTTGCATGTAAATACATCATGATGATGATGATGATGGTGGTGGTGGTGGTGATGGTGATGAAGATGATGAAGATGATGAAGATGATGAAGATGATGAAGATGATGATGATGATGATGGTGATGATGATGGTGTTGGTTATGGTGATGATGGTGATGATGGTGATGATGGTGATGATGGTGATGATGATGATGATGATGGTGGTGGTGGTGGTGCTGGTGATGATGATGATGACGATGATGATTACATGTGTATATATATATATATGTATTACATGATAGTACATGTATATTTGTACATACATTTATTATGCAACGCTTGTTTTTTGAAAACATGCAGGACACCTGTTTCTCATGCCCGGATTTATCCCCTCTTTGTTTCAAGCATTGCCTGCAGTAGATATGCAAACACATATATATATATATATATACGTAGACAAACCTGTGGTATGAGATGTGCACCAAAAGATACGTGGCATGCCAATCCTTTTCTTAAAAAAGAACTATTGTCCGAACCATTCCGAACCTACATTGTCCATCACCGTTCCCATAACCAATGATCTGGGGAACATTTGACATCATCCCATTACTAGGGGGCATACCCAATCTATGATAAACCCTCAATTGGGGATCGTTTTCGATTGTGTTCATGAACAATAAACCCAGCAAAGACGAAACTTAATAAGGCTGGGTAAGGGGAATCATCCGAAAAACAATTGCTTAATTCCTTTGGTTTCTAGCTTAAGAACTATAATTATTTACCATCATTTACCCAGATGAACCTAGCTTAAGAACCCCCACTTGGGGATGATGTGTGATTGGGGAAACAAACTGGGTAGTACCACATTATTTCAAGTGATCCTAGGTTTCCCAGTGGTGTAAGGGAACATCTGCAGGAAAACCCTAGGATTGTGGGATAGTTTGTGTATTTACCAGGTTTTCTTGTAGATTTTCCCAAGAAAACCAATCCATTGGAAGTTGTCAGTTTTAATTATATATATATATTCAATATTCTATCCCACTATATCCCGATTATAGTTGGTTAAGTCACCAGTTTTCAATGTTCAGAATATTGATATGTAACTTATCAACATTAGGATCCATCATTAAAATCCCATTAGAATCCCTGGAAGGTCACCATTTTTTGATAGGTGCAATGTGAACTGTTTACTGGTGACTTGCAACATTGACCTCAGGTCGTGGTCATTTGGCGCCTCCTGCAGAAGTATGCCGTGGTCCCAAATAGTTGGAGCGCCTTTGTGGCTCGATGCAGCGACGGCGCGACGGTAAAATCTGTGGATATCCTGGCTGGATACATGGTTGATTTGGTGGTGATTGGAATTGAATGACGTTAACCATCAAACATGGTGATTTAATAGAACTCATATGAACTTATTGGGATATGATGGGGATACCCTGGTAAATTTGACAGTTTGCGAACTGACGAATGACAATTTTGATAGGTCAATCATCTATTTCCATGGGCCATGTTCCATAGCCATGTTAAAGTACCAAAGGGTAGTGATGATTATTGGTCTATCTTTCTTTGGATGGTACTATACCCATCTTGGTTGATGTTTGAGCTGGTGTTCTATATTTTGGGGGAGTACGAACAAAATCCAGAGGTTTTATCCACTAAAACATGGGGACATGCTGCAGATATTTGCAGATGCCAGTACTTCATCCAGCATACTGCTACAGTTTGCAAACCATGATTTTTCATGTTTTTTCATTCCATTGCATTTTTTGCACCACATGTTTTTTTCATTACACACACACATCGCATGTCACTACATTCATATGGGCATCTATATCTATGTGCGTTTGTCTGAAAATAGGATCCCCATGGATCCCCGATTCCCGTCCCTTGGCCTTGGTTGATCATGATTTTCTTTGGACTGGCTATAAAATTGTGTATCCCCTATTTTTAGATCCCAAATCCCGGAGTCCTTGGTTAAATCATCCATGGGTTTTGATGGTTTTGAATGGAAAAATGACGCTTAAATCCCCAAAGAAATGGCTGGGTCAATCCCTAGGTGGTTTTTCTCACCAGATCCCCTGTCCGCGTACCTGGCGTACCTCAGATGGGAACGGCATCGGTGTTGAAATCGCTGGGCATGAAGGGCTTGCTGAAGGCCACCGGCTTTCGTTGCTCGGACTTTTTTGGGGGTGGACAATATGGTGATATTGAAAAATCATGGGTATAATGTGGCTAGAACAATAACAAACCACCCATGACTGGGAATGGTTTATACATGTTTATAACACTTATTTATGGTGATTTGGGGGATGGTTTATTATTGTTTTATCAACAGGCAGATAATGGCAATATTGGATAGAGTGGGATATACCAACCCAGAGGAAAATGACCATGACAAAGCTGGAAGTTGTCAATTGTGTTCAAGTTTTGATCTACCAAATCTTGCCCACACTTATGTGGGGAGTTGGGAGCAACATGGAGCAAACTTGATATTTGGAGCTAAAAAGGGAGAGATCTCTGAGAGAGTCTAGATCGCACAACAGTTTCGTTTTACCACCGAACATTGGGCCTTACAAAATCGTGGTTTTAATCACCAAACATGTTGTTTTGTGTCTTGTTTACCAATCAATAACTATGGGGATAGGGATGGTGGGATTTATTCAATGAATTGGGATTTCAGTATGTAATAATACATGGCAGTTCACCCAAATGAAATTGCGCTTTGGAGATTAAAAGGACGAGGGACAAAGTGTTCATTGCTGGCGTTGGTGTCTCCAGGAATTGGTTTAAGGGAACATTTGCAGGAAACACATATATAATAATAATAAATGTACATATATATATATATTGTAGATAAAAACTATACATGAATATATACGTATATGATTATATATATATAGTCATATATGTGTAATGTAGGTGAGGTGTTATAGAAAGTTTGAACTGTTCTAGAAACTTTGAATTATCATAGAAACTGTGAATTGTCATAGAAACAATGAATTGTTATAGAAGTTGTGAATTGCTAAAAAAATGCAAATAAGTGGTCTCGTGGTCTCCCTGTTGCTCGTTTCTTAAACAAATATATTGACTTCCTAAATACAAAACTGACCGTGAAAAGCATTGCTTTCACTGATCCAGCCAGGTCCTCCAGAAAAGCCTCCCGTGGAAATTTCTATCAGCAAGCATGGGGGTAACATAAAGCCGGGTGATACATGTCAAGGGCCCAAGGGCCCCGATAGAAAGCCAGGCAGCTGCTATGACCCAACAAAACATGCTGTAAGATGGATGACCACTCCAAAGTCAAGAAACCATAACGCGGATTTATTAGTTGGGATTGCCAACTGCTGCGACTACAACCAATCCTATTTCTAGTAGTAGGCCGCAGTCATACCACGTTTGGTTGGTTCTTACATGCTACTTCTGTGTATTTTTGTTTTGTTCGATCCACATTCTTTGGTGCGGATCAGATCACAATCTCTGTCGATTGCAATCCTGTATTGTCTTGGTTGGTGGTTCAAAAACAGAAATCTGGGTCGAAACCACCAACGATAGCAACACAGCGAGCCGAGGCAATGAGCACGATGTGGTGCTAAGTCTGGGACCCTAGGAGAAGCTTGCAAACCACGGATAGGTCAGCACAATTGGAATTTATGAACAGTGGACATCAAATATGTGTATGCATGCACATATTTACTTGCACAGATATGTACATATATATAGAGAGAGCATCCAAACAACATGGACAATATCAACCAAAGTCAGTACATATAAATATATATATACATATGTATATGTATATAGATATATATTATATGCCAGAGTTCAATTGAGTTTCACCAGTTGTGCGTTGCTCCTGAAATGGAACTGTTGGATACCCAAGAAGGTGCGTTCAATCAGGACATTTGATTTCCACTAGCACTCACTCACCCGCATCTTTTGGCGGTTCCACAGCACTCTTTTGAGGATGTCCAAGTCTGTGCGTCTTCAGTCCCGGCTCGCTTCAAAATAGACGGCTTCGACCGTCCAACAGTCCTCGGCAAGTTGTGGTCACCCTTGTAGGAACGATGCTAAATTTCAAGGCTGTTGTATTGGATGCTATTGGTACATCCCAGGTACAAGTAGCTGCATCATTTCCCCGTTTCATCAATTGTTGTTGCCCAATGGCCTAGAAGGATCAAAATGATCAAGCCTCCCAAATGGGACGGTTTGCTAATGTCAGCCCTGAATTAATACACCCCAAAGAACCGTTTAATTGTGGTGGTGCCATGTAAGTATTAGATGACATCACGTTTTTTGGGTAGCACTCCCCTAATGAAAATATCATCACAATAAACGATATGGTTTATTTAGTACCCTCTAATGTTAAATAAACATAAATAAACCATTGGTTGATTAGTTATTAGCTGGTTGGTGGTTTGGAACATTTTTTCCATAGATTGGGAATAATCATCCCACCTGACTTTCACATTTTTCAGGATGGTTCAAACCACCAACCAGTTATTGTATGGGTATGGATCAATACCTATTATTACCATTTTTAGTGGGATGAACATCCATTTACCAGCTATTTTGATGTGAACTACAGGGGTACCAGGGTTTTGACCCATCCCCATATAGTTATTTCATCCAGGCTTGACACGACCATGACGTCACGGCGTCTCCTCGGCTCTGAGGCTTGAAGTACGCCACGAATTTTGCTCGACGCAGGCGTCCTCGGGATGTGAAAGGGTCCATCTAAAGGGAACGCTTGGCGGTTTCAGATATTTGCGGAAGATATTATTTATATATATATATACTGATATCATTTTCTAACATATATTCTATAATCATCATCCTGAAGGAATGTCTTAAAATCCTTCCAAGATGGCAATACTGTTGAAAATCCATGAAGTTTTGATGTTCTACTCCAGGACGACGATTTGCTCAGCCCTTTTTCAAGATCAGCTACACGGCACGTGGCAAGTTGTGTAGCAGAAAGATCAACGAAACATAGCGATTTAACCATTAAGAAATGGTTATTTTAACATCAAGAAATTGTGATTTCATGTGATTTTACCAGTAAAAGAAGATAATTTAAGCAGATTTAATGGGATATTCTCGGAATGTTTGCCTCTGGTATTGTGTTACAGTTTGCTATGGTGTAGATGCCTCATTTATTTATAGTTCGATGATTTACCCTGCTGTTTCCATGGCCATGTTCAATGGCCATGTAACAAATTTACCAACTGAGTATGCAGCACGATATGGGGGTTGACACCAACAAGACAGTGTATTTGTGACCTTTACACCCATCCATGTCAAGCTGCACTCTGATGAATACATACACATATATAAGGTCATATGTGTGTGTATATCTATATATATAATATGCAGAGATTTGTGGATCAGTGTCTGCAGCTTCGTTCTTTAAAGACGAACCGAACAGTGCCCAGTGCCTGGATGCGCCTGGCAGGTTGGATTTGGCCAGTTTGATCAACGACATGAGCATGGTGCCTGGGCTCGGAGTGAAGTGACCCCACCGCGTTGACATGCGTTGACGGTGGGAAAACATCACGAATGGAGGGTATGTACTCATCAAGTAAGGAGTTAATCATGATTTATAACCAGTGATTATATAAGTTATGACTTACAGTTTGTGATTTCACTTCCAATGAGGATATGATTGATGTTACCCTGAGATGGTGGTTATATGAGCTATTGTTTGGCCTCTGTGAGGCTGAAACTACCTTGATAGATGCGGATTGGGATTATTTAATTTACTAATTAGGAATCCCCACAACTTCCAAGTTTCGGCGGATGGCACGGAGTTTTGGGCTTTCCCAACCTTGGATCATCTCAGTTTGTGGCCACAAATGCTGTAGATGGGTCCGTGTTTGGCCCTTATTATACAAGTATTGTATTGTTGTTAGTTTCTGACGATATAATGCTATAATTACTATATATACACATCAATACACATCTATATACCGCCGTGTTGCTTTGTTTCGTGTGCATTTGCTTCTCAGGTTTTTTCATTTGCTACGTAAGATAGAAGCAGCACTAATACTGTAGCTGCTCCTTCGGGGCTCCTTCGGGCTGGTTGAATTCAACTATTGGGACTCAAGGCCAAAGGTCTGATCTGATTCTGAATGATCAACTGATGGTTAAGATGATTAAGATCATGGTTAAATGATTAAGATCAACCTCAGGCCTTCGGGTTGGTTGAATGATCATAACCGGTTGGTTAAGATCATGGTCAAATCCCGGAGTTTGATGGGAACCATGTTCACACAGTGCTCACGATGTGTGTTCCCATCAAAAAATCTCACATTACTGATTGGATCCCCAGTTGTGATTAGATATGTTTGGGATTTATAGTTATCTCATATTACTGCATGATCTTACTAAGGATACATCAGTAAGATTCCTATATATATCCCCAGTGTTATCTCAATGGGATAGATGGGATATATTCCCCACGCATGGGATGCAGAAAAATGATCATATATTCTGTAATATATTCCCATAAATACTCATAGATCTTCACATTGAATTATGGAAATATTTAGGATATATACATATATATATCATATATCCCATAAATATTCCATAAATATTCCCATCTCTATAAATCTCGCCGTTTTTGCGTCAGGATCAGCTCCGCGAGATCTTCTTCGCCGCCAAGGTCTTGGGTGCTCCGGTGCCGCGTCGGAAAGGTCCAAAATCTCGAAGGAATCGGTGGTGCAAATCTCGTCAAGTTACATGGGATATTCATGGATATTATAGATGGCAAATCATGGGAAAAGCATTATGAATGAATCGTGTAAAATCCTATTAATAATGAATAATGGATGCTTTAAAATAGCTTATGGATATTATATAATGTTTTTTTTGAAAATAATGGATGGATGATTACTGGAGGTGTTCCACATTGTGGATGGATGGTTTATGGATGGTGTATGGATGGTTTATAATGGAAAATCCTATGAAAAATATTAAAATAAATGATTTGAGCCATTATTAATATTAGTCTCCAGGAAATCAACATAGACCCTGGAAGGGATTGGAAGATTAGGAAAACCACTAAAATTTTGGTATTTTCAGGGTCTATGTTTGATCTACCAGAGGGTATAAGTTTTAATTTGCCATGAAAGTTCTACCCTGGTTGATTGGTTATCAAATGGGACAGTGGTAGACATATAATTTACTGTGGATTATTTTGAAACCCATAGGATTGGGAAACCGTTTTCAACCAACTAGTATTTCATGATATGGGAGAACGGGTATGTTTATTGGCCCACATGGGATATGATAGCTTATAATTATAAGTTATCATGCGGATATGATAGGGGATGTCTCTGCTAGTTAGCCATGTTTGGTTTTCGGAGGTTGTATGGATGAGTATTGTCATCCCACTATGAAATTGGGAATCCTCACAATAAATTTCCTACTAATTGTGGTATGACCATCCTCCAATATTATCCAAGATGGTTATGTATTATATATATAATCCAACTTTGCCATGGCAGATATGAGCAGCTGGTGGTTGATGGTTAGCCCCTGTTAGTCAAGGGCTGTTGATGTTGGGATTGCAATTACTTGAGGGATTATATACTTCAAATCAAGTACTTACTTGCTGGGATTAATTATGATTATATGATTGCTTATAGCAACACGGCAGTTGGTATCACTGAGGTTGTTCATGCAATCAGTGAGCTATGCAATCCCAGTCTACTCCTTGGTTTCATGGGATTAATTCCTTGGGACAATTGATTCTAGATAGTATGTTGCTGTATCATGGTGAAAAGTTGGGATAGCACCTAGAAACAATTTAGACGTGAAGATATGGGGTTCCATAGAAATAGATTGACTATGGACCAGGTGTAAGAATAAGGGTCCTCACTATCCATCCATGTTGGAAATCCCAACATGAACCAATGGTTTTACCTGATATGAGAAGTTCGTGGGATACTTGCGTACAATAGATATGCATATGAATGCATTCATAAATCTGTATATACATAAGCAGCCACTACAATAAATGATGAAACAACGTCACCCGTTTTGAAATGACACACCATATACAGTAATATAGACGTATGCAAACATATGACGACGTCTATTATGCATGCATTATGTATATTATGTATATTCTGTATATTATGTATATTATTAATATATATTATGTATATTATTAATATATATTATGTATATTCTTAATATATATTATGTATATTATTAATATATATTCTGTATATTATTAATATATATATTATGTATATTAATATAATATATATATATATATATTGTGTATATTATGTACATTATTAATATATATTATGTATATTATTAATATATATTATGTATATTATGTATATATATTGTGTATATTATGTATATTATATATATATATATATTATGTATGTTATTAATGTATATTATGTATATTATTAATATATATTATGTATATAATTAATATATATATATATTATGTATGTTATATCTATATATATTATGTATATTATGTATATTATTAATATATATTTTGTATATTATTAATATAGATTATGTATATTATGTATATGTAATACAGTAATACATATCCACAGATTCATCATGTGCCAAAGATTGACCTACTTCGACCATGCCCAGGTGGATCAATTGTGGGTGAATCACACTTCCACCGCTGCGGGTGCTCCGAGCGTGGTGCGAAACATGCACCGGGAGATGCTACTTGGGCGCCAGGAAAATTCATGGAAAATCATGGAGATATGGAAGGGCCAAAAAGAACTGGGAGTTTATGGATTCTTTGAACACAGCTCAATATCATTCAATGTCCGCATTTGAGATGCCAAGAATTGACTTGCCATGTGTTTTTTTCTCCAATACAGGTATAGAGGTCCTGAAGCCAGCGTGTTTTTGTGCATTCTCATGATGGATAGAAACAAAGTTCAGACATAGGTATAGCTAAAAATTGACAGATGTGGGCATGTATATATATATATGCATAGACAATATCTATGTATATATGTACACATGTTTAGATGTATATATATATATACACATATTGACAGTTATTGTAGAACAAAATTGGTAAGTATACAGCATACATATATATATATACTGTTAAGTAATGTTAAGTATAGGTGTTATACACACATGTAATTATGCAGTTAAAGGCAGACGGACACATTTGCTACGATCTTGGTGGTGGTTCAACAAAAACAAAATATTTTGCACATCACCCGTTGCATCCGATTCGCATGTTTCGCCTCCAAACGCCACACGGTACAGGTTGATTGATTTGGCCCGCAGCTACATGCAGAATGTGCCTTGGCATGGATACATGTAGGTGCCATTAAGCCGGTGACTTACAAGCATCATAAATATGGGCAATAAGCCATATGTACTACTGTACATATATATACATATTTATATATACATATTTATACATATTTAATTGATGGGTGAATTATATTTATACGTATTTATTATATACATATATTAATATACACACATATTGTGTGTGATACGTAGTTGGGTGTTATTGAACATGGCAGTTATTACCCACGGATCATAGCTGGTACGCATATCCAAGTGCCCAAGTTTTTTACTATTTGATTACCTGGCGTAGGGAACGAAATGGGTTCACGTTGAGTACACAAAAAAAATCGGATGGTAATATCTAGCTTGTGATAGTGAAATAGCTGTGTGAATAGTAGTCAATAAAAGATTTACCACTTATTGACTGAGATTAGAAGAATCACTAGCTAATATCACACAGAAATAGCTACTTATAGTAAAAGAATGTCCAACAATTGAGACAGTTCTGCAAGTCTGAAGCATTGGCCAGATGTGTTTCCTATGCAAGTTATTTTTTCCCAGAAAACTTGGATGATGATCAATGATCAACCCGTATAACCCGGTTGCATGGGTTGGGTAAAATGAACGAAGCCTTTCAACGAGCCGCAATGGATTTCTGAGTTTAGCAGAGCCAGAATCTGGAGACGTTGGGGGGTTCTGACACCGGGACCCCACAATCATCTGGGATCAATTAGTTCCTAAATCATCCAGACTTCCAGGGCAGATTGTTTTTTTCAATACGGAACCTACATATGGAGGTTTCGTCGAAAATGGGGGTACCATAGCTGGATGGTTGATTTCATGGAAATCCTACAAAAAAATGCATTTTAGGAAACATGCCTGTAACATATATAGCTGTATATATATATATAATTTATATTTATATATGTATACATATGTAACATATGTATACCATATGTATGACAAATGTTGACTGATCCATGTGTTTGGGTATTCTAGACGTCATTGTGATCCATAGAACTTCTGACTTGCCCTTCTCGTATTTGTGCAATGCTGAAGGTAAACCCCCCAGGTCTTTCCGACAGCAACAAAAATCTGCTCACGTGATGAAGACGGAAAGATTGGATACAACAACAGCCATGTATACCATGTTGTGGATGTAGGTATGGGAATTTGGGCTGCAGAATGACTGTATCCAGCCAATGGATGGTCGATGGTATATTTCCCTGCGTCACTCTGGTGATCATTGTTTTTTCTACTAGGACATGGCCATTATGGTTGAATACCCCATTGCATTCCATTAATCACTGGTTATATAAACCATGTTAATTTGTGTAGTCTTGATGCCAAACTTCCACAGAATGGCTAATCACTTTTTTCGTTGCTGAAATCACCGATGCTCCTAGGAAACAATGTCTTTCGGGCCGGCGGGTTCATGGCTGGAATATTTAGTTCGATGTTGTTCCCAGCTACAAAGGCCAATGACAGAGGATGTTCAATTGCATGTTTGATTACAGGAGGGTAAGTAAGCGTGGTGGCTTTGGTGTATTTAACCCCAATGTTCTTTCAAGAGGGAACATGATCTTGGGGTATTATTCAATTTTCAGACAATACATCTATGCATGTCACCGTATGATCCGATATTATATGGCTTGTTGAAATATGGGATGTTGTGAACAGATGTGAACAGCTTGGCTTACTACTACAGTATACTATAATGATTCTAAAAGAGCTAACCCTCTGGTGATAACATAGCAATTGAAAATGGCCCAGTCGAAATTGGATGGTGGATCGTATATGTTAGTTCAAGAGGGTAATGATTCTGTATCGGTTTTCCGAACTAAAGTACTTCGAAGGCGCTGCGATGGACGTCCGCTTTGGTACAAGGCCGGGGAAGAATATGGCACTTGGACCCGTTGGACGCTGCGTTGCACTGTAAGCTATTAGAAATTTCTAGTAATTTGGTCAATTATCTTGGCAATTACCTAGAATTATTTGGATATACCATATACCTAGAAAATCCTAGAAATATTTGCATATCTTGGTAATTTGGTATATGTGCCATGGTCAAAACATTGGTCAATTATGGTCACTTGGCCATATTGCGCGATGGTCATCAATCCATTGATATTCCATTACATCCATTACGTCCAAAACCCATATGTCATTGTTCTTACCAGGTATGGCACATGCTGTATCGGTTTGCTGAAAATAGGGGGATATGCCAAAATTTTAACATGTGAAAAGATGTTTTTTTTGGTTGGGATTTTCCAGTGCCATTTCCCCACAGATCGCTAAAAACTGGGATGCACATCCAGAGTATCCAAAGGGTTTCCCAGAATTGATATTCTCCTAGAATGTCTGACAATGGTTTTACTATTGGGTTTACCTCATGTTTTACCAAGCAACGCTGGCGATGCGCATCGTGGAGTTTGCTGCAACCGCCCTCGCGAATCGATATCCTTTTGGAAGCGTGAAAGTTCTGCGTGGGTTCATGATGGCAGGCGGAAAATGGCGAGATGTAATGAGATGTAGGTATAGTAGGGATGGGGACCAATTGTGGTGAAGAAGATCAATGTATATAATGGTTGTTGTGCATCATATATTTAAACAAGTGAGTACACTGTCCATGTTTTTTCAGCGTAGCTGAGAACTTCACCGAGGAATATTACCACCGAGGTTAACCAATGACAAGCTATCATGCCCATTTGTTTCTTTCAGGCTTATGTCCATGTTCGGGATCAGTTTCCAGGATATTCATGACTGGAGAATGACCACGACCCCTGTATTGAAAAGTACCAACATTGAGGCAAAGTGCTGATGATCTCCAAATATGACGACGACTGTATACAGATACTCGGATGGGTATTCGTGTGGTCTGATAGTCATTTTAGCTTTTTATGTTACAATACTGCAAGATTGTCACTTTTCCTAGGATTCCTCCCGAGCCATCACTTATTGCAAGTTCTTTGCCAATTCTGCCAAGTGAATCCAGATGATCAGAAGCTCAGACCCCTTTTTGTTCAGCAATTCATCCTCCATTTCTTGTTGGTGATTTCACCTTAATTCTCCCCGGTTGACCAATTCGACATGATAAAGCCGCAAATCAAAGGATGATTATAAATTATAGCATATATAGCCACATATAGCATATATTGGGGCCTGTCGGGCCTGTCCACTGGCTGATTTGGGGGACCGGCTGATTCACAGCCCCAGGTCATCGATGAACGGACCTGGAGACTCGCTATATCCCAAGAAGGCGATATGATCAGATGTTCATCAGCCAGTTATCTGAGATACTCAGATGTCCAATAATGTAAGTTGTAATATGTGTTAATCTAGTATACACTATAATATAATATATTTATGTCCAATAATCGTTAATGAAAAGCCAGGTCGCAGTTTTTCTAGTTTTTCTTCAACAAAAAAAGTGAGTTGTTGTTGCCAAAATGGCTACAAAAAGTGCTGAAGGTATTTGAAAGAGACGGCAATGGTGCTGTTTGCAGATGTTCCTTGGCATGTTTGATCGGGGAAGCACACAATGATGGTGCACGACCATCTACAATTGATCGTATTTTGACATTTTTGTATAAGGCACGTATGATTGATACATGAAGGGTGCACCGGGATTATATATATGTGTCAATTTGTGCTTCAGACGACACATCACCGACGGATAAGATTACACTTACTACATGCTGTTCATTGAGGTTGCTGCTTAAAATATGTTCGGCTGACCTCGTTTCCCTTTTGGGGTGGCCATTGAGGTCATCGATTCTCATAGCGCTGGATCCCAGCAGATCCAACGCGTGTCTTGGGGACTTTGAGATCGTCTCTAGGCATGACAAATCACTGGCATGAAAAGGAAAAGTGTGGTAAAATGTGGAAGTTGGGAATCAGAAATTGTTGGTCATATTTGGATAGTTACTAGTTCTTGTAACATCTTGTAACCGGGCCATTGAAGAACATTTGATATAAGATTTCTGGATGGGAAGAATCAAATTGTCTGGAGATTTTCCATTGGTAGAATCAGACCAGCATCATGAAGCATCCATTTTTTGGGGTCACTCTCCACCATCTGAAAGCAGCACCACAAAATTTCAGATAGTCAAACGGTTGATGCCATAGGCAACCATGATGGTTAATCGCCTATAATTGTGCAGGTAATGTCCATCGATGAAACCCCAAGTTTAAGTTTGGCTCGCAAATTGAGTGCAACATCTATGGAATCTATGAAGCTTGTGATGGATGCATGCGCTTTCACTGAGCGTATTCCGGCCCCACCTGCTCAAAGAATGATCACAAGAAGATTCTGTCCTCTCACTCCAGAAAGCGGTTGCTCAAGCATGCAGCAGATCCATGGATGCAGCGTATAGAGCAAATACTGTTGATGCATGAAGATGCGTCTTTCTGTTGGTCTGGTTGGGCCATTGGTTGAGAGTTTCACATAGATTTGCCGCATTATACCATATATTTATAAACATATATAATCATATATATATACACATTATGTATATATTCACATATAAATTTGGAACTGGCATTCCATCTCAACTGTACTGTACGGTGTTTGAACCCAAGGGACAAAAATACTCGTAGAGCCGGTACAAAATCTGGAACTTAGTCTCTGCGTGTGCAGACTAAGATTGTGGCCCTTTACCAGTTATGCCTCCATTTATGAAATGATGCAACCCCATATTGATAACTATATAACCACATATATATATACACATTATGTATATATTCACATAAAATTGGAACTGTTCCATCTCAACGTACTGTACGGTGTTTGAACCCAAGGGACAAAAATACTCGTAGAGCCGGTACAAAATCTGGAACTCTCTGCGTGTGCAACTAAGATTGTGGCCCTTTACCAGTTATGCTCCATTTATGAAATGATAACCCCATATATAACTATATAACCATCTATTAAAACTGGCAAACATACCTGGAAACGCCAAACCAGCCATGATTTTCTCAGCTGCGCTCAGGAACAGGTTCTGCAACAAGTGTCAGTGGAGACCCTGGAATGCTGGGGGAACCACATCTCAAGTGCCACTTGGTGCAGCGAAAATTCAACAAGTTGCAGTTTCACCAGGGCGAGTTGCGGATGGATGGAGCTGAAGATGGCCATTTTACCTAGCGAACCTATAGCATCCTGTAGCTATATGTCATCCTACGCCGATAGCATCCCCTGAAGTGTTTGACCTGGTGGAATCTGTTGAAGGCACAGCTGAAAAAGTTTTGGTTCCCCTGACTGATGATCCTAAGTCCATCTATGTACATTATCCCAGAGCTGATCCCAATGTGTAACCTTTTATATCATTGGATCGAAACATCATGATTATCACCAAAGGTCCCTACTACCAGGGGTTACAGATGGTTACAGTATCTCACCATAAAATGGTGCTTGTTCATCTCATTCCAGGAGTTGGAGTAGGCGGCCGCTCATCACTTGTGGGCAGACATCTCACCTGATTGTTACAGGTTGGTCGATGTTGGTAGGCATTATTCATTAATCAGTACTTACTGGTGCTTAGCAGGGAATGAGGGAATGATCCATAATCACTAGTAATAATCATCCCATTCCCCCAGTCCCATCCATTCCCTGCGAAGCACCAGTAAGAGTACTGTTGAACGTGTCTGAAGAACATCTGCGTCCCTTCTCCGAGAACCGCAACATATCGCAACGGATGCTTCATCCCCTCACCGGAGGTGGAATCTGTTCCTAAAGCCAAGCCGGAGATGTTCAAACGCATCATGATGGAAGCCAACAGGACCTTGAAAACACGCGCATGTTTCAGTTTTGGTGGTCTCGTCCTAGTTTGTTTATGGATGTTTATGGATGTTTATGGCACTTCAAACGAAGGATGTGCTTTGCCAACGTACGGGCGCTGATGTATGCATTGTTTTCCTGTTCTTTTTCACCAGAACAGCGTTAAATATGTACCGCTGCACTCCAACGAGCAAGTTGCAGAGTTGCTATGAGGTAGCGGATCTATAAATGGATTCTTCATGAAATGATGTCTGGACAGGAAGGAGAAGAAAATGACCCCCAGCATTTTTGATTCAAGCGGCCTCTTGGCTTTTTAGTCGGATTGATGCCATACATTGTGCGCATGTATATAATTGTGTATATATATATATAATCATATATATATATATATATGCAGTACATACATGTGCATATGTATATGTGATTAATATATTTTAGATGATAAGTAAACGTATTATCTCATGATATGTGTCACGGGATGTCACAGGCATTGAGAACTTGATGATCATGAATTGTTTTATCTTTTGTAGGATCACATTTGAAAACTGCACCACATGCGCAAAACTGAGCAAAGTCATCCGAGGTCAATTACCGAAAAAAAATACCCGAGGTTAGGGCTCTATCTTCCCAAACAGATGGATGAACCGACTGAACACGTATGTTGATTTTATATCCCTCCTACCTTAATGAAATTATTTCAGGGGGGGGTTACCCTCCAAAATAATTTTTTGAAAATAATTTCAAAAATCTAACATGTTGGATGTATAGATTTATAGACTCTAACCATCACCAAAATAATTTCTGGTTGGAAATTATTTTGATGGGTTACCCCCCCCTCAAAATAATTTTGACGAAAACACTCTCACAGCAAAAAAAATATTTCAAAATAATTTTGGTGTTTGACCTTGTTTTGATCCGATGGCATATTCCACCTTTGGATGAAGGAATGTCGTACACTCAAGTTTCTGCAGGCTGTGTTCACACAGCACTTCTTCGCAGTGATGGCAGTGTTGTAATTTTCGGAGGAAACGATGTAGAACAATGCGATATCCCATCTTGCGCAATGTTGGACTTGCAAAAGTGGCTTATTATCTTTTAGGTTTTTTGTTTTTTAGGATTGATGCGTTGCGAATCCTACAACGCAAATAAATTCAACATCATGTTTCATGTGTGCTCCCTGGTAGTCATGTCAGAATCTCCCCTCAATCTTAAGTTGCAGCAAGAACGCATCAAAACTTGCAACTCGAAACCAAACTCGTTCTTTAAGAAATTATTCAAAGGATCTTGGAGATGCCCTGCATTCCTCAAAAATCAAAGTGGGAAGCTGCCAGAACCATCCAATTCGCCCATAAACTGGAAACAAATGAAAAACCTATCAAAACCGAACGCTTCCCAAAAAAGAGTTCGTTGGAGGGAAATGAAGGGAATATGGGAGAAATAATGGGAAATATGACAGGTTAGGAAAATCACTACAGGAAAGGGCCAGGTTGAATACTATTTTGTGGTATTTCCCACGGGGAGAAATTATTTTAGGGGTATTGGAGATACCCTGCACTCCTCAAAAACCAAAGTGAGCAGCTGCCAGAACCATCCAACTCGCCCAGAAACTGGAAAAAAATGAAAAACCTATCAAAACCGAACGTTTCCCAAAAATGAGTTCTTTGGAGGGAAATGAAGGGAATATGGGAGAAAGAGGGAGAAACATGAAAGGCTAGAAAAACCACTATAGCAAAGAGCTAAGTTGAATACCATTTTGTGCGATTTCCCAAGAGGAGAAATTATTCTAAGGGTATTGGAGATGCCTTGCACTTCCCAAAATTCAAAGTGAGCAGCTGCCAGAACCATCCAACTCGCCCATAAACTGGAAACAATTGAACAATCTATAAAATCCGAACGCTTCCCAAAAAAGAGTTCTTTGGAGGGAAATGAAGGGAATATGGGAGAAATAAGAGGAAATATGACAGGTTAGGAAAATCACTACAGGAAAGGAATACTATTTTGTGGGATTTCCCAAGCGGAGAAATTATTTTAGGGGTATTGGAGATACCCTGCACTCCTCAAAAATCAAAGTGAGCAGCTGCCAGAACCATCCAACTCGCCCATAAACTGGAAACAAATGAAAAACCTATCAAAACCGAACGCTTCCCAAAAAAGAGTTCTTTGGTTCTTTGGTGGGAAATGAAGGGAATATGGAAGAAGAAAAAGGAAATATCACAGGTTATGAAAATCACTACAGGAAAGGGCCAAGTTGAATACTATTTTGTGAGATTTCCCAGGAGAAGAAATTATTCTAGGGGTAGTGGAGATATCCTGCACTTCCCAAAAATCAAAGTGGGAAGCTGCCAGAACCATCCAACTCGCCCATAAACTGGAAACAAATGAAAAACCTATCAAAACCGAACGCTCCCAAAAATGAGTTCTTTGGAGGGAAATGAAGGGAATATGGGAGAAATACTGGGAAATATGACAGGTTAGGAAAATCACTACAGGAAAGGGCCAGGTTGAATACCATTCCGTGGGATTTCCCAAGGGGAGAAATTATTCTAGGGGTATTGGAGATACCCTGCACTCCTCAAATATCAAAGTGAGCAGCTGCCAGCTGAAAAAAAACTATAAACACCGAATGCTTTCCCTTTCACACTCATTCCCACCGAGTGTTCTTTGGAAGGAAATGAAGGGAATGTGAGAGAAATGTGGGGAAGTATGAAAAACATGGACATATGTAGGAAAGAGCCAGTAATGAAGATGATGGTTGGACATCATTTTGCGGGAATCCCCAAGTTTTTTTTTAATCTTTTTTGTTCAACCATTTAAATTTTAGATGATTTTTTTTTCAAAACATAGTTATTCCAGGGAATATTGAAGGCTTAGATTATAACTCGCATATTCCAATATGCACATCCGTCGGCCCACTGCTTAGGAAAATTATTCAACAAGATGTTTTCTTTAAACATATTCCAAAACCTGGTTGATACCCCCGCGTTTTTCTTGAAGGGATGGAATATCCCCGGTACACCTGCGAAGGCGATCATGTCGGGTAGGGGGGGGTCCCAAAGTATACATATGTAAAGATTGGAGTCTCCGGAGGGGGGCAAAATAATTAACTCCCCAGGGGTTGAAATAATTTTTACGAAGGTTCACCACCGTCGATGAAGGGGAGGGGGGGGGTCTATCGTAAGAAATTATTTTACCCTAAAGAGGGTTGTTTCGTATAACAACCGAAGACACTATCAACCCCCTGAAAATAATTTTGGAAATTATTTTGAGGGGGGGGAGGGGGGGGTAGTTTAGGTAGGGTAGATGATTTTATAATATGCTACATAATTAAGATAACTACAGAATGTTGCTATGGTGCTTTCTAGCTGTTTGTGGGATGCTGGGTCATCTGGGTCTTGTGATGGGCACTTTTTGATCTGCCAATGTTGGTATTTCGTACAAAATGTCATGACCATTTTTACTGGTGCTTTCTGTGGGATGCTGGGGCCGGATCATTGATCCGAGGTCAATTGCTGAAAGGGACTGAGGCACCGGAGAGGGTTGCTCCAAGCCTTGAATTTGGGGGTGTGGGGAGCCCTCTATTCACTGTGGTTTACACAACCATTCCGAATACTACTGAAAGTGGATTCGAGTGGTCCAAATCTGAGGCTTGTGATTGGCAATTATTGGATTGGGCAACTTATTCCACAAAAATGGGATCTTGAAGCACAAATGATTGTTGTATCTAAGTGCAGTATACTCCTAAGCTCAATGTGGATTGATTATATAATTAGCTCCGTTATGGGTTTCCCGAGTATTTTCGGTATTTACAGGGTACGTTTTGGGAGGAGTCAGATTTAGTCGGAGCTCCCTAGATTCAAAGCTTATGACCTGGATAGGCTTCAAATAGGGTAGCATGGAATTTCCCCTCAGATTCCCCAGCGGCTCCGTCGCAGGTTCCATTGGGCTACTTTTCCTTGTCCTATGTGAGGACAGGGTGACTCCCGAAGCTTGATTGGTGAATAAAATTTTGCCACACAAAAACCAGGTTGCAAAGTGGATATTCCAGCATTTGTTTTATCAAAGTCTATTTGGATTATATGTGGATTACCTTGCCCCTGTGGAATCACTGCTTTAGTCCTGAATTTGTCCAGGTGCCATTTTGCTGTCCCTACACCAGGGGCCACTCCCTTGTCAGTGCCCGTAGCACTACAACCAGGCATTGTCAATTCCGAATTGATTGTAACAGATCCAAAAAAAAACACTTTACTATCAGGGCGTAGCCAAAGTGGTAATCATTTCATATCATTTCCATCACGGATGGTATCCTCCTACGGATCTCCACTGGCTTGGAGGGTTTCCCAGCGCCAGGACGTTTATGTCAGAGAACTTTGGCAACTTCCTTAGCAGCATGAACACGAGCAAGCAGGTGGGCCATTGGTGGGCCAGCCTGGGCACTTCGTTGGTTGCATGTCCAAATGGTCCAACACACAGCAAAAAATGGAAGTTTTAGATTGTATAAGCATGTATAAGCAATGAACAACGGGAGACTCATACAGAAGCCAGCGAATTTGGGGTCCCATGTTTGAATAAACCAATCTCTTTTACCTTATTTCTCTCAGTATATCTATCAGTTTTATTTGCTATGAACTAACTATTAAAACGGGATGCTACTTCTACTATATACACTTATACACGCATACACAAGCATACATGCATGCATGCATGCATGCATGCATGCATGCATGCATGCATGCATACCTATATACATACATACATACATACATACATACATAATCATACATAATCATACATAGTCATACATAATCTTACATGATCATACATAATCATACATGATCATACATAACCATACATAATCATAGATAATCATACATAAGCATACATAATCACACACAATCATACACAATCATACACAATCGTCCATACTCAACCATGCTCATACATACTCATACTCATTCATACTCATACATACTCATGCATAATCATACATATTCATACATACTCATACATACTCATACATACTCATACATACTCATACATACTCATACAATCTCATACATACTCATACATACTCATACATACTCATGCATATACATGCTCATACATGCTCATACATGCTCATACATGCTCATACATGTTCATACATGCATACATGCATACATGTTTACATGCTTACATGCATACATGTTTACATGCTTACATGCATACATACATACACACATACACGCAGACACACACACACACAGACACACACAGACAAACACAGACACACACACACAGACACACACACAGACACACACACACACAGACACACACAGACACACACAGACACACACAGACACACACATACACACACACATACACACACATAATCATACATAATCATACATACTTACAGTCATACTTACATTCATACTTACATACATACTTACATACATACTTACATACTTACATACACATGCAAATACCAAGAAAACATGACTTTGGCAGAGCATGTGCGGGTGACCATATATATCATACGCCCTGGTTGAGAAATGTCAACTCGATGTCCTGCTCGCAGGAGAGCTTCCTGAAGATCTTCGGGCGTGGGAAAAAGAGTCGGGTGAAGTTGAAGCAGGCGGAGCGGAGCGGAGCGGAGCGGACGCGACGTGCAGCGTGAGATGGTTAGCAACTGGGTAGTCTAGTAATGTGGGCAACCCAACGCCATAATAAAGCTACCAATTTGGGTGGTTTATAGCCCCCATAAAAATGGTGATCTTGGGGATGGTTTATTGTTGGGTTTGCCACATTAATTACTTTGATTTTCACATACTTTAATAAACTAAGCTTAAGATATCTGATTGGTGGTTTGGAACATGACTGGATTATTTTTCCATATTTTCCATCATATTGGGAATGTCATCATCACTGACGAGTTATCCATCATTTTTGAGATGGGTAGGGCTCAACCACTCGGAATATTTGCTGAGTCGATGGAAAAAATCGATTTCGCCATGAGTCCAGCAGGGCTTTGAGTCCGATTCGTCAAAGCACGAAAAATTGGCTATCAAAGCTGGGTCAATGTCAATTTATTGGATGTCATGTTTTACTGTTTTTTTTTTGGAGTCTGGGAGTTTTTTTGTTTTTTTTTTTTTTTCGAAGCAGGCAAAAGATTTTTTTGTTGTTATCTAAGGTTGGCCGTGTTAAAACCTCCGTCAAACATGGGGATAATCCGAGAATTGGACGAAGGGAAATTGACGATTAAAGTTAAAACCCCAACATATTTGATGATTACCCTCTGGTAAACAAACATAGCTATTGAAAATGGCCATTTATAGTTGATGTTAGTTTACCAAAGGGTAAAATGATTAGAAAATGGACTTTCCGGTGGACTTTCCCTCCAACCAACCCTGTGATGCAATTTTGTCACTGGTTTAATCATTCATTGTTTGGGGGTACTATATAATCATTCTGACCCGTTCCGCGATGGTTGAAACGTTGGTGCATGATTCTTGCTTGTTAAATCGTCTGAATCCACCACGCAGTCAACTGGTGATTTGCATTGGTGGCTTGAAAATCCGAAAGATCAATCAGTTGGCCCTATGAAATCTATGAAGCCCTGGCCGGGATCTAATGAATCTAATGGATGCGGGTTTTTATAGCCACAACTATCGGAGTTATAGTTATACCAAATAGATATAGCAACTTTTCTGTGGCTATGACCATGGCTAAACCATGAATAGCCCTATTTTCAAACCTACCTGGTAGTACCTCCCGCCAGTTGGCCTGTTGGGTGGTTACCCAATACATCCCAATACATCAAATACCATGCCCTATAACTTTCATACATATATATATATACACACATATGTATAATTATATATATACATATTTTGATGCATGTTGACCGTGGCACCTATGTTTCCAACCAGAGAGCCTTGTGTGACGTGCTGTCCTCAAGTATAGATTACTCCTGTGGGGTCCCGCTGTACCCGGAGATCGCCACTGTATACCCATGAATGGATGATGCAAGTAATTACACAGAAACACACGCATATATTTATATACAAATATTGCATATATATAATTACATATATATATATATACATATGCGTTCACACAAATGTACAACCTGTTGAATTGACAAAACAAACAGGACAAACAACACACAGAACCGCAATGGCACCCCAGAACATATTTTAGAAAAAAAAAAAACGAAGAAAAAACGCTAATTGTACCCCATATTCCATCATATTCCAAGGAAAATCAATTTTTTTCTGCGCTTTCGCTACTGCTCCCCGCTTCCGGCGCCAGTCTCCGATCGTCTCGCTCATGCGCTCCATCCTACGCCCCGGTCGCCGCGATGCCATTTTTGCGAAGGAGGCGCCAAGCGGCTTCCAGCCGGAGGAGATCTCGCTCCTTGGCAAAACCAAGGGATTATGCCAATATACCAATCGTAGAGAGGGATTTTTCTGAAGCCAGGATTCAATGAAGAAAAAGAGGAAGTTCACGAAGAACAGGGATTTGACAAAGTAAAACTGGGACTGGCATGAGCATAAATGTGCCCCCTAAAGGTCCACAACCATGGGGGATTTCGCCAGGCGAAATGGGACCTCGGTGTGACTGGAACTTTGCCAACAAGATCTGGGGATATTTGGGGATTCAAAATGGTTTGAACAACAAAAAGAGGTAATGCTAGGAATGATTCCTGGAGGAAAAAAAAACGTAGGAAGAGCTCATTAGCCGACCAAGCACCATAGATCAATATATGAAGTGATATACATACGTACGTATGTGTAGTAAGGGATGTAATGGAAATTATAATGGTACTGATCTTAACATGTGATAAGTCTGATGAGACATGTTTTCTGATTCGGAATTCTAATGTTTTTGCCCAGATGGTTCAGAACCGGAGAGCTGGTAGATGGTAGGAAGAACAAAATTGTCAACCCCACCAACTACCATGGTTTACATTGGTTTTAGACCTCATTTGCCTTTTTTTTGTTGGTGGCAATTTTCGGATATCTCCTATTTTGAGACAAACCCTGATGGCTGCTAACCATTCTCCATCTACTGTACCTTCCCCATGTTTGCTGGGTACACATCAGCGACTTCAGTACTTCCACTGAATTCTGACAGCCGATTCATGACCCATTTGGAGATAATATCATATAATATCTACCCAGGGGACGCCCCAAAATAGCAACTGGTTCATTGACGGCCTTCACTTTTAGGCTTGAATTTCACCATGTGTTTCTATGTTTTCTTGTCAAAACCTGGATATAGGATGATATAGGGGATGCTGGCAATTTTACGTATATAGTTATATTTCTGTAGCCATATGTTTTGGTTTCACATGGTTTAACCCCCTATGCATGTTTGGGTTATTCAATTCAATTTCTGTGGTATTTCCGCAAGGTACTTAGTGCGCTTGGGGGTGCAGTCCAAGTTCCATGGTATCCATAGATATAGTATGATAGGTGTTATATCCCACTTTATGGAGGTTATATCACCCCAGCTGCACCCCTAATACATAGAATTTATAGGGACCCCCCATGATGGGACCCCCATTCCCACAACCTTCTCACAATCTTCCCATACAATTGAGGTTTCTTGTGGGAGTAGTATGGGAGTGGGAGTCCCATCATTAGGGGTCCCTGGAAAACCCACGCCACTAACCCAAGTATGTCATGTCTACTTGGCCAGCTTTTGTTGGCTGTTAGCTGAAGGTCTTCCAAAACGTCCTACTACGATGTTGGCTTGAGTGTCCTGGTTTTTAAACAGGGTGACGCTCTGCATTGTGAAGATTGAAAATAGTGCTTTACACAACAGACAAACATATTGTATTTTGCAAGGAAAGATACGGACGGAACCGACAAAAACAGGGATCTGATGGCTCAACCATCAAACTGGGAATTAGACCGGAGAATTTTGGATGTGGAATGTGTTTGAACAGGCGGTCTTCTACCCTAATACATGGCTATTTTCAGTGAGAATGATACTAAAACTTCTGGCTTTGGGGGTACCCTGACATTCAGACAAACGCATGTGTACCAAGAGCCATGGGATCGGAGACGGGCAGGTGCAGCAAATTGAAGCTTAAGGAAGTGAATCAGGACTTGAACAGAAGAATCAAAGTTCATTCCCAGATTTTTTCTGCAGGAAACTACCCCCTATATTCCATGGTTAAACAATAAACATCAATAAACCATGGTTTCTCACAGGAGTTTCCCTTCAACGAATCCATTGCATTGAATCATCCAGTCGTCATGACCAGTTCAGTTTTGAAAACCATGGTGACTTGGGGATCCCCCATGACTTAAGAAACCCTCCGTGACAGGATGAACGCTGAAAGAAACGTGTATGGCAGGATTGGATTCCCGTGTTTGTACGGTTGGATGAAAATCCGAATCATGGGTGGATATGCCCAAGGCATTTCATCATTGGAGGACATAATGTGCATATATGTATGTATGTATATATATTTATAATTATATAATAATAAATAATAATAAGAAGAATAATAGTAACAATAGTAATAATAATAATATATATATGGTTACATCCGTTGTCGGTTCAGCCGGGAGTCAACGTCAAACACCAAACAAGAGACGGGCCAACGGCTTTGTGGATTTTCCTGATGTTTTCCTGGAACCTCAGCTCATATGTTTCTCCAGGTCGCTGCTTGTTACTGCTCAAAATCCCAATTTGATGCTTTGATGCCCATTTGGGTTAACTATACAATTTTCTACATATATATATATATATATTTATTTATTTGTATATATATATATATACACACATCTACAGTATATACATATACAAGGAATTTTAATTATTGTCTCTGAAATCCCAATGTTCAAAAGTCAACGCTGTCATTGTTGGTTTACCATGGCGAAGTCTGGCGAGGCATTTTGACGCGCTTGGGCTTCTCCTTTATTAAGCTTCCTGGGATCTTCCAGTTACAGCAACTGGCTTCAGAGACCCGGGAGATTGGGGTGGAAACATGACTGGCTGGTGATTATGGAAATGTTGGAAATGTGATGATGGAGATGATGATAAATGGAATTAATAATTGATAATTGATAATACTTGATAATCATCATCAACATCATCATCACATTAGAAAACATGTTAAAGAAAACATGGAAATGTGATGATGATCCCGCTCATGAGTATATTGACTGTATGATAATTGTTCAGATGGGTTGAAACTATACGTAAAAAGAAGAAGTCAAGATGATCAGTGGGGATATGGTGAAAGCTGATATGATACTTAGACGTAGTTAATAGTCCTGTAGTTAATAGTTACAATATGTTACAATCCTTTCCCCGTAGTACTAGACACTATTTCCTTATGGCTCTACTAACCACCCATGTGGGACCCCAAAATCTATAGATGGAATAGTAAAATAGAAGGTCATATTTGGGATGGGATGAGCCATGAGTTAATGATACATGCAGCCGGGATACTGATGAATGTAAATGATAGTCATTAATTGTAATACGCATTAATGGTCATTACTAGGTAAGTATGTAATACACACAAGTATCATTAATGGTCTTAACCATAGATACTGTAATTGTCATTTTATAGTATGTAGACACACATTAATCTGTGCAAATTATACAGTGACTTTACTGGCCGGCCTCACCAAAGATCATGTTTGGATCAACCCTAACCAGCTTATTTCGGGTTCAGATTTCCAAGAAATTGGCCCAGATGATGGTTGATATGATCATTGTCTGGAAAGTTTGGGTGCCGAAAAAATGCAAGTGATTTTCGGGAAACATGATGAGAATCAATCAGAATGGAGAAACCATGAGGAACCCCATTTTCAGATGGATCCATATTGAGCATGAATTAACTGGGGATTCTGCCAAAATTAAATGGTTAGATGAAGCACAGAAAAGGTTGTGTTTGCGGTATCAGTGGTGATAGTAATAGTAGATGGCATTTATACGTAGCTGCCCTCTGGTAAACTAACATAACTATGGAAAGCCCCCCATTTTTTATGGGTAAATCAACTATAAATGGCCATTTTCAATAGCTATGTTACTTTACCAGAGGTAGATGTTTCAAATATCTTGTTGTTTTCCACCCCAGCTGGGATGATGATTCCAAGTGACTCATGTTAGTTGAGTCATCGAGGGCTTGAAAAAACCAGCTAGAAGATGTTTTGAAGAAATGAATCACATGTTTTCATGCACTAAACCAAGAAGATTGGGAGAAATTCAAACAAGCAGTTTGAAACAGGAAGACACCTTTCCACTCAGTCCATCTGGATGATTAGCGAGACATGCCAGCACCCAATCCAAATGGTGCACTGTACACATAGAGTATGCGCCAAACACTTACAAGTTGGTTTACAAGCTACTTAGATGCACAGTATCCACCATAAACCCAAGCGTTAACCTAGTTACAAGCAAAGTTAGCCGAGTATGGCTGTATGGGGCCACAAAATCCATTTTTCAGTGGTTTGATCCCTATCTTTTTCATGCTTAAACCCACCATTTTGCTTAGATCCTCGTGTTTGAGGCTTCAATGGCGATCATTTTGCCTATTGTATTATATGCTATCATACGTTGCACCATATGTTGGGGGATGATTCCCTGTGAATCCCAAGTATTTTGCTGCTAAGAACACCAGGGTACTGCAGCAGCTGAGGCCATATTTGCAGCTGCCGCTCGGAAGTTCGGTTTCTTCAAGGTGAAGCCCCATTCGGCCAAGAAAACATAGAAAACCAGCAAAGTTGTAGTGGTTTAATGAGATTTAATAGTGATATATATATATATATAGTGATTTTATGGGATTGAGATAGCTAAGTTGGCGCAAATCACTTGGTTAGAATTCATAGTTATATATATAATGGGTTTATAAAGCAACTTACTTATAACTGGGGGGCCTCTCTCCTTGCTCTAGGATTCTGGCCGTCCTCTAATTGGGGGAAATTGCAGGAACACATCGAAAAAACAAAAAAACAAAAACGTGTAAAACTAGGTGATTCATGGTGATTCATTTGATCTCGGAATTACTTGGATTATAGAATATTATAGAGGATTTTGATGTTCAATAGTTTGATTTCACAGATGATATCAGACATTGGAAAAAGTCTTCGAAGCCAGCTGCGGGTTTTCACGTTTTAGTCGCTGAGGTCCGTGCAATATGATGTGAAGGAGATCTTGCGGGTCTTCAAGGCGCCCCGGTTTGAAGCGCCAGGAGAAGGCTGTCCATGGTTTCCCCCAATCAAGGGATGGGTCGAAATTGAAGCCCCAGAAGGATTATCATTCACCATCAATGGGTAATTACTCAATTTGACCCATACCCACTTGATCTGTATGTGATACCATTCTGGTACCGGTTTGGTCCTTGACTGGCAAACAGCATTTTGCTGCGACACAATGGTAGGCCAAAGTGCGGCCTGGTCATGAATCGAGCAAAGTTCAAGAACATCTCCGACGCAGCCTGCCGCTAATAGTGTGGGATAGTGCGGGAATGTTGGTCTGGTCGGTGGTTTCACGGTTGTTTCATTTTCTCAAGTATTTGGCATGATCTGTGTATTGATATATGCAGTAAACATATAACAATGTGTGTATATATATAATTACATATATTTATATAATTGTACATCCTAGTATCCAGTTGAGTAGCATGGGCTTTACGTGTTGAAAACCACCAAAGTTTCACTTCCAACCGTCGCTGCTTTATTCCACATTTTTCCACGGACGTATGGGACCTCACAATACTGAAAGCTGCGTATATAATGTGTAGCCCGGCAGCCGGTCCTTCTTTATCAAAGGTTGTGGAAGGTGCACAAACCAATCCAATGATATACAGAGAGTTGCTAAAGTCGTGCCTAGATTAGTGGGAATCGTTGAAAATAGCTTGGGAGCACTTGATTTTCAAAAGTCGTGCCTTTTTGTGAAACGCATAGGAAATGCATGATTTTCTGGTTTTCATGTTCGGATCCATGATTTTATTTCAATCCTGCATTCAGTTGGTGTTCAGCATGTTGGGTAAAGACTTCACATCTGATTTACTTAAGACTTGGTCGTTGCATTTAGTTGGTGTTTTGATGTTGGGCAAAGACTTCACATCTGAGTTACCTAAGACTTGGTCGTTGCATTTAGTTGGTGTTTTGATGTTGGGCAAAGACTTCACATCTGAGTTACTTACGATTTGGTCGTTGCATTTAGTTGGTGTTTTGATGTTGGGCAAAGACTTCACATCTGAGTTACTTAAGACTTGGTCGATGCATTTAGTTGGTGTTTTGATGTTGGGAAAAGACTTCACATCTGATTTACTTAAGACTTGGTCGTTGCATTTAGTTGGTGTTTTGATGTTGGGCAAAGACTTCACATCTGAGCTACCTAAGACTTGGTCGTTGCATTTAGTTGGTGTTTTGATGTTGGGCAAAGACTTCACATCTGAGTTACTTAAGACTTGGTCGTTGCATTTAGTTGGTGTTTTGATGTTGGGCAAAGACTTCACATCTGAGTTACTTAAGACTTGGTCGATGCATTTAGTTGGTGTTTTGATGTTGGGAAAAGACTTCACATCTGATTTACTTAAGACTTGGTCGTTGCATTTAGTTGGTGTTTTGATGTTGGGCAAAGACTTCACATCTGAGTTACTTAAGACTTGGTCGTTGCATTTAGTTGGTGTTTTGATGTTGGGCAAAGACTTCACATCTGAGTTACCTAAGACTTGGTCGTTGCATTTAGTTGGTGTTTTGATGTTGGGCAAAGACTTCACATCTGAGTTACTTAAGACTTGGTCGTTGCATTTAGTTGGTGTTTTGATGTTGGGCAAAGACTTCACATCTGATTTACTTAAGACTGGGTCGTTGCATTTAGTTGGTGTTTTGATGTTGGGCAAAGACTTCACATCTGATTTACTTAAGACTTGGTTGTTGCATTTAGTTGGTGTTTTGATCAATTTGGTAGTTCAAGTCGTAAATAGCAGGGATCCTGCTTTGTGCGTAGCCATTTCTTCCTTTGCTCAACTTCCTTGTGTGTGGCAGCGGTTTCTTTGCGTGGCAGCGACGTGCGATGGAGGTGGGAGGGTCATTGGGGTCTGGGTGCAGCGGTGTTGTGGTTTGTTTTTCTTACATGCGTCTTGTTGTTCTATTTTGTTCTTGTTTTTCTTTCGGGCTGTGATTTTTCTTGTTTGACTTTTTTTCCATGTTCTCTTCTTGCTTTTGTGCTTTTCTACGCGCCTAACTTCCTTGCTTCCTTGTCCTTGCAGGTCCTGCGCAATGACGATCAACATCGTGGCCATGAGGTGCTTTGGTGAGTGGGGTGCGTGGGTGTGTGTGTGTGTGTGTTTGCGTTTGCTTTTGGCTGGTTAGGAGCACCTCTTTTCGGTTGTTGATGGTGGATTCCTATTCTTGTTCGTTTGTGGCGTTTTTCTTTCCAGTATCAGTGCCTGCCCCATCGTTCTTGCTTGCAGGTGCTTCGTGGAGATGGCCGTGGTTCTGACGATGACGCGTCTCGAGCGCGTGGATGCACGTGTGTTTGTGTGTGTAGGTGTGTGGGTGTGGATGCTGGTGTGTTTTGTTTTGTTTAGTTTGGTTTGCTTTGGATTGGTTGTTTGTTGGTTGTTTTAGCTGAGGTTTTTTTCTGCGATAGGATGCAAGAAGGTACTTGGTATTATGGGTTTTGGTATTTTTTGTTTCCTCGCACCTCAAACCTATGTGCCGAAAAGAGGCCCTGTGGTCTGTGTTTCAAAAGGAAGTGGTGAACAAAGGAACTTTGAGATCCACTGCTGGCCGCAGCGCTTGGCTGGCGGCATGGCGCGCAAATCGCGCCAAACGTTTTGCAAAGGTGAAGAAATGAAAATGAAGCAAAGGTTTCCGCTGCATTTAGATGGTGATTTGGGGTGCGGGCATGACATAGGCATGACTTCCTGGAAATTGCATTTAGATGGGGGAAAGCAGATTTTCAGCACACAGGCGTGACTTAGGCATGAGTTTCGCGCTTTCCTGTACCATCTGGTTATTTAACATAGCCATGGAAAATCCCTTATAAATGGAGGTTTTAATGGGAAAATCAAGTATAAATGGGTCATTTTCCATGGCTATGTTAAATAACCAGAGGGTAACTTTCATAAGCCATGAGATTCGAGGTATTATTGGCTTGTGTTGACATCAAGTGACCAGAAGGTCTTGTTTTTTTGTTGCTTCATGGCAGTTTACGATTCCCTACATATAAATTAAATAAAAGTCCAGAGCCACCAAGAAGCAAAATCAATTTTTTTCTCTAGCTGGAACGTGTGTGAATATCGTCCCAATTGATCCCAAGTCCGGGAGTGGCTATTAAGCCATTGTAACCCACTTATAGCTAATGTGATGTTACCACTTTTCCCAAGCTTATTCTAAAACTATAGCAAAAATTGAAATAACATTCCGTTTGTGACACTTTGTGATTGGTCTTACGATGTTTTAATCCAGTTTTAACCTCTTGAAGTAGCACAAAAACCAAGGTCGTTTTTGTGCCAGCTCGGACGGACAGACACGGCCGTGGCTCAGGTAAAAGAACTTGTGAGCAATGCATCGAAATGAACTTGGCCTTCTGTGACCGTCAGGAGGAGTTTCGGTGCGAAAACTGGAAGAACAATGAGTCAGTGAAGCGGGCAAGAAAATCCCACCCCTCCCTCTTTTACCACCCCCAAATATGTGTGAATCCCCTACGAAGCCATGGCTTCTGGAGGGTGTTTTGGATTACGGAAGGCATTCTTGTTTGGCAAAGTTGAAATATCTTGTGATGAGTGATGACATAATTGATGACAGAAGACTATAGTTACTCAAGTAACTATACATATCTTTGGATTACATAAAACAATGGTTTGTATGACGCTTCTACATCATTTGACCCCTGATTTCCAGGACATGTTCAAAAGGCATCCATACTCACCACAAATGAGCCATACCCAGATCGATCTCGAAGATGTGTGCTACAAAAAGTCACAGATGTTTGAGGGACATCCACAAGGCATCATTTTTTCAGCATAGGTTGGTGGTTTCTAATGTCCATCCGATCTCGATGATCTCGATGATCTCCACTCAGGCAGCAGATGCCATGCTGAAGAAAGGCCACACTATGGACATGGATGCACCTTGGCTTCTGCTTCTGAGCCTCAGAGGTTCCGCAAATTAAGGCATGGAAGGCATGAAAGGCATGGGAGCCCCGAAAATTCCAAAGACATTCGCATTTTTAGTCAAGGTGTTTTGAAAAATGCCATGTTCATCCATGTTCTATCTACTCCAGGATGACCCTTGACTGCATGTGTATATACACGTGAATTTGTATAATATACGTATTAATATATATATATATTTATTTATTTTTATTTTTATTATTATGTTTTTTTACTAGTTTTATTACTATTATTATTATTAATATAGATACACATATTATTATTATTATTTTTATTATTATTATTTATATAGATACACATATTATTATTGTTATTACTATTGCTATTACTATTATTATTATATATATACATATTAGATACACAGTTATACGGATATACTGATATACATATATACTGTATGTATGTATATATATATATATGCATTACACATATAATCACAGGAGCCATGACACATCATGAGGGCCCGTTGCTTCCAACTATAAGGAACACTGGAACACATATCTATAAATATAGTGAGTCCATGACATCCTGGACAAGGCTTGCGAACCCATGGACCTGCAGAGCAAGGAGTGATTTTTGTTTGTGGTCGCAGATACCAGGAGGTTGCGATGGATGGGTATGAACCAATGAAAATCTGGTATCTGTGAAAGCTACAATGGTTGGTGGTTTAACATGGCAAAAACCGGCCCAAAATAAATGGTGATTTGTTTCGCATCACAACGAGGGATTGAACCCAATGAACAAGGGTGAAAATGAGGTTTTTAACTATGTGGTTTGGGGATTTCAATCAAACCTATTGGGGAACCTCTTTGAAGGTTACACATTGAAGCGTCCTGAGTGATGACTGAAGCCATCAGGGTGAATTGACCCATGGCCATATGGTGAGTAGGTCCATACCCATTTCCACTCTTGTTCAGTCACAATCCACGTGTTTGATGGTTCAATTCAATCATGTTCTGTTCAAGCTGAAATTTTGGACTGGTTTTATACACATTTGGGTAAGTGAAAAAGACTTTTGGTGTGTTCAATCTCTATTGGGTTGGTGTAAGCCCACATGTTCACTGCTTAAAATTCACATGCTTTTTATCTGTCACAGTTCGGCTGATTACTGTAATTTAATTTGTTCACATCTGGTCAAGTGCCTTTTTTTAATGGGGGTTTCCTAAAATAGGGGGACCCTTAAATCATCCATTTCTAAATCATCCATTTTAATAGGATGTTCCATTATAAAGCATCCATTTTGGGATACCTCCAATTTTGGAAAGCCCCAAATATTGGTTTCGGCCAGGCGACGTGGTCCACAAAAAATGATGAAATTCCGGCGCAGGAGATGTGCCACCGCTTTGCGTTGCCAGAGGGAACACATCTGGCGAAGACGCTCAGAGGACGGAAGATGCTGGGAATGGTGATAGTTTACCCCAGGGTATCCTACCTAATTCATTGGGAATTATGATGTGCCATAACAGGGATACCACTACTGCTTGGTGGTTTGGAACATGACTTTTATGACTTTCCATATATATTGGGAATGTCATAATCCCAACTGACTCATATTTTTCAGAGGGGTAGGTATACCACCAACCAGTGAATTCTGATCTTGCACAGTGTGGTGAATGCATTATGGTAACAGTGCTTGTTTTGAATTTATCACTTAGATTCATGTATACTAGTGCCATAAATAAGACATGCTGTAAATGATGTGACATTTATTTGTCCTAGAATGTCCATGAATGTCCTAGATAATGTGGTAAATAATTGTGGTGTAAAGGCAATAAGACGCACATTTTTTGGGTTATTGCTTTTAGTAGCTACGTAGGATACTATACCGTAGTCAGTGGCTTTAAATGGGTTTCTCCTTTATCCCTACTCGCACCTAAAAGCCCCAGTATGGACTTCTTCTCTTGGCGCGTTGAAACATCCTAGTAGCAATAATATGTGAGAACCTGGCTAACAAATTAAATGCATGGTACAAACATGTCGAAACATTGTTTTCCGAGGTTCCCAAATTGTACTACAGCATGCGATGAACGAAATCTATATAGACCGATTTAGAGGTTCGGGATGTTTTGAACCCACCAAGACAAGGCCACTCCCCTATGATATGTACTCCATTGACTAATGTACACACCGTCAAGAGCGACAGAGTGTGCGTGTTTGCTATGTTATTGATTGAAGAACGTATAATCCAAACAAGATGGAAAGTGATGCACACAGCATCAGACAACTTTTTCACCAGGTTTTGCTGTCAACACAAATTCAGTGCAGAATGCTGGGGAAATTAATAGATATTCAAAGGATTTTCAAGCCTGAGACATCGCGCCAAAATCGTCGACACTGACACAGATCTGAATGTTTATGTTTTTTCACACCTGTTTCTTGTACTTTTCTTGTCCGGAAATGATCTGACGTCACTATTTGCTGGCTTCAAATCTGTTTCGTGAAATCTGTTTCACCACATTCGAGATGATGATCCCAAAAAATCATCCCATATCATCCCATCATATTCTTCCGATCCAGATAATCTTCACCGCTTCACCCAGCGTTTCAGGCGATGGTCTCTTCAAGAAAGAGGTGTGTCCCTGCTACCGGCCCGTCTCCGGCACGCAGATCGTGCCGCGCTGGATCACCACGAAGGTGTCGTCCGGGGAGTGGATGGGTCCGGGGTGTCCCTGGTGCTGCGACCCTTTATGGCGGTACCGCATGGATGGATGGATCATGGTGGAAAATCTTATTTATAATGGAAAATCCATGAAAATGACATGGATGATTTGGGGTACCCCCATGAAGTAGGAAGCCTCCACATGTTGAACTCGAGATGATGATCCCAGAAAAAAAGTATGACCCGGTCCTTTGAGATCCTGTGAGATTGCCAGGGTTGTGGGATACTTGATTTGGGGCACAGAAAGGCCAAAGAATTGTGGAAAGGGTTTGCGAATGCTCCTAGGACGTTATAAGGTGATCTTCACCTCATCATCTCCGCATTTCTCCAAGTGTCCATTTGTCCTATCGATATCTTTCGGATGGGTTTGAAACCAGGGTAGCCATGGTACCTTCTCTTGGTTTAAGACCTCATTTTGCCCCGGACGTTGGACAAGTCTCAGATTCTTGTTGTTTACAATACCCAAATAGAAAGATCACGTTGTATCCCATGAAATAGCCCCCACAAGATACTTTGTTTTATAGATAATGTCAACCCTGGATTAATAAACCCCTAGGCTGTTTAATTGGGAAGGTACCATTTAAGTATCAAATCATGACTATTAGGGGAATACCCCCCAATTAATAAACCATTATTGATAACCAGAGATACCCTTATTTTTGTTGCTAGAAATCCTCTCAGCTTTTCTGGGGATTTTTGACGCCTCTATCCGAGAGGCCAGCTGTGCAGATATCAGTTGGCCGGATGCCGAAGTGGAAGCCCTGAAGCGGGCCAGCAAAGACCGTCCCTTGGTAGATCCGACCCATGGTGGATTTAACCATTGGATTTAAGATGATTGAACCAGCAACAAGGGAATAGCCTCTGGTAATCTAACATAGCTCTGCAAAATGGGTGATTTATAGTTGGTTTACCTATATAATCTATATAACATGGTGATTTTCCAGTTCGCTATGTTAGTTTACCAGAGGGTACGCTTCGGCCGACCAAGCCCCATAAAGGATGGCTATTCAAAGGGGGAAGTCATCAATCTCGGCCAGGAGCGAGAAACAGCACTGACTACTGATAGGATGAGTCAAAATTGAATACCGGAGGGGGGGGACCACAGATTTTAGTCTGGTTTTAATATGAACCAACCATCCAATGATTGGGGTACTCAATTTTGACCCATACCCACATGATCAACTCGACAGTGGCTGCGAAAGCCCTGTTGCTTGATGAGTTCGGGGATCCTATAATCCAGATCTATCCAGTAGGAATGATACTATCCATGGGAATTTTTACTTACCAATCAACCAGTTCTTTAAAAAGAACATTCAAACATATTTGAAACATATTTCAAACATAGCATTGGGATCCATTGGGGATTCTTAACCTACCTTCAATGGTATTCCCAGCTGATCATTCCCAACCCAAGGAGATTGGTCCAGTGCCTTGTCTTCCGGGGACCTGACTGGATGGGAAAGGCATGGGTCTAAAGTCAATGATTGTTGTGATTCTAAGGGTTGAAACTAGACTTAGAAAATATGTCGTATATTATCATAAAATATAATTATAATATTTAATATATAATATATAATATGTAATATATAATATATAGTATATATATTATATATAATATAATATATAATATATAATATATGATATATAATATATGATATATGCATATACATATACACATATACATATACATATACACATATACATATACACATATACATATACATATATACATATATATATACAGATAGATATATATATATATATATAGATATAGATATATAGATATATACATATATATATACATATATATATACGTATATATATATATATACTTATATATATATATACGTATTTATATATATACATATATATATATATGTATACATACATATATATGTATATATAAATGTATACATATATATATATATGTATATATAAATGTATACATATATATATATATTTACGTATATATATATATACATACAATATTTATATATATGTGTATATATGTATATACATATACATTATATATGCGAATTGTAGATATACATTTTTATTGTCTATCATATGCACACTTGGGTAAATAATGGTATAGGTTATCTAATCTGTTAGGTTCCAATCTTTCGCCAACATGTTTTTTATTCCTCCCTCTTATTTGGGATGATTATTTAAATAATTGTCAATCATATGGGGACTCTTGAAATGGGGAGTCCCAAAACCGTGGCTTTCAATACTAAGTCATGATTTGAGATGATTTGGGGTACCCCCATGACTTTGGAAACCTCCATATCACTATTCACCATTATTAACCACTATCAATCACCATTATTCACCATTACTAACCATGAGATCCCATGGGAATCCTATTATGTCTCCCTATCTCTGTTGGCTCAAGCCCATTCGAATGGCTTCAATGGGGCGAACCTACCCAGTCTGTCGCCGCCCACAGGTGGTTTCTCCATGCAAAACCAAAACGTCCGCTTCGGCTTGGATGAGGCGGAACCATGGGTCCTGAAAGGAACCATGGGGATGGGTCAAAAAGTTGAGGTGCCATATGTATATATCTAATATACATCAATCAATAGGATATATATTATATGCATAGCAGATGTATATACTGTAATTATACATAAAATTACATATATATAGTATATGTGCAGGCATATGTGTGTATGTCATTGAAACTTGGATTTAAAGTGGATATGCATATTGATGGGGAATGACGGGGATATAACGGGATTGAACTACCCAAGTATATCCAATCTGGGGCGTTTGAAACAGGGATATGTAAGCCCGATATATGGCCAGTTTCACAACAAAATTGATGAGTGGCCAGTGTTTTTTGGGGTGTATATATAGATATATATATATATATAATTTATATATATATATATTTGTATATATATATATATATATGTGTGTGTGTATCTTGTTTTCAGACAGACCCATGTAATACTATATGTACAGTATATATGCCTTTGGACCATTCTGATATTGAAACCAGAGTGGCAAGATTCTGATACCATAGCAATATCGACGAATATTGCGAATTCAGACGCGACCAAACCAATCTGCATCAAATCGCTCCGTGGTACTTCCACAGAATTCAGGTCTGATGGCATCATTCTGCATGACACGATGCACAGATCATAGCGGTGGCTACACCAGCGCCCATGCACATTTATTTCCATATCCCTTTTCGACGCTGTATGTTGCGGCAAACTCCATTAATGTAGAATCCAGAAACAGTTAAACCCAAAGACGGCAACCGTTTCGCACAGAAATTCCGTCTTCCTGGGACGGTCGAAAAGTGCTTTTGGCGGTCCTTTTGGATGGGACCGGTTTCGGTCGACGGACCGTGTCTTTCTTTGTTGGCTTACCATGCTGTTTAAGCGGATTGGTGCCATTTTAATCCATTTTAGAGGTGGTGCCATTTTAGTAGCAGATTCTCACTATCAGATTTATTGGGAACCCCGAATAAAAAATCAACCAGGTTTTATCAATCCAGGGTTGCCAGTACTGATATTGGTTCAGAGTATTTGAAGCCATACATGATCATCCGTGAATGCCAAGGGTTCTCAACTCATCCCATCGTTTTAGGCTACCCACTACGACTCGTCTTTTGGGATGTTAAGGCCAACACATACAGAATAATTACACCCCCATTGCGTGTCCCAAATATGTGTAAATCCCCGGTTTCGGGGGTGTTGAAGGATGGAATGGGGGAAGGAGTTAGTGGCTTGGATGGTGTCAGTCATCATGTAGGTAAGCCGAGACTCCTTGAGCAAAAAATGGGACCAGAAAATGGAGTAATTAGTTGGTTGCCCGATATATATATATATATATATATGGCCACGACAAACCCATATACATCATATACCTGTCCGATTTAAAGAGTCAGTAATTGAATCTAATGGAAGGGTGCAATCTCGCAATCTCCCCACAAGTCATCCAAATCCGCCACTGCTTCGCTCGCAGATGGATAAATTCAATTCGGAGCCTCCAAAACAAAAGTCCCTTGGCTTCTGCTGAGCTACACGTTTTGCTTCCACTTTCAAGCTGGGTCCAACAAGAAATTGCCTGGCAAGCGGCATGTGGTAGCAAAGAAACTGTGTTGGGGCTGGGCAACGATCCGAATACCTTTTTATTGACCATCTATCCCGGTTGGATTTTCAAACTATTTACACTTTATCCATCTTTATCATGTTTTTATCCTTGTGGAAGCTTGAAACGAGCCGGAAACGTCTCTGTTTGACATTACACCAAACAATGAATTCAAAGAAGGATCACGTGTAGTGTAAAGTTACTCAATGAACTATGTGGGGTTGTCCCACATGTGGGGATCACCCAGTACATTCAAATTTCAGAACAAACATCACATGTTTGGTGAGTCGTTCGCTCTTCGTAGAGTTTGCCATCATGGTTGTAGATCTTCGTAGTTGAGTTTTCCCCATGTTCCAAACACCAAGTCAATGGGAATTTCAGGAACCTAAATTCGAGGTACCTACCAAATATAAGGCCTATATAAGGCCTATGTAAGGGGATATCCCCACAAAATATGGCCTGTTATGGTACAGTACCTCTATTTTAGGATCCTGAAATTCCCATTGAACCAAGTTCATCATTTCGGCTGACCGCCTGATCATTCACGTTGCCGCCAAGGGGTTGCCTTGAGGGCTACCGCTGCTGTGCAATCTTACAGGACTCCGAGAAACCTTCCAAGGTGTGCCCTGGAAGCAAAACTCCTCTGGACGTCCCTTGATACCTTAGATTGACTCCCCGTTTGGGAGATGGGTGTGGATCCAAGGTTTGGTTTTACTAACGTATGTTGAGGTATGATAGTATACACCGTTGGAATATGCACCGTTGGAAAAGTTCAACGTAGACACCCCCTTATTGACCTGAGGCGCTGCGTAGAGACCAAGTCGTTGTTCAAGAAGAGCAGCTGGAATCGTGGCTGAAATCCAATGAAGTAGGTAATAACCACAGTTTAACCCAGTTCTATGGCTTATTCATGATTAATTAATATTAATGAGTTATATTCATGGGGTGAAATAAGTTCCTTTCAGCACTTGCTGGCACAGAGGATCCCTGGGATCACTGAAACAAGACCTGTCTCGACTGTGCCCCAGATAGGTGTTGGTCATGCTGTGAACACAGTTAGACCAAGAAAAATATCGACGATTTTGTCTAGAATATCTAGGGATAACATGGGAATACATGGGATAACTAATTATAACATGACTAATGGGATAACTAATGGGATAACCGATGGGATAACTAATGATAACTACTTATAAATAACGATGTTGTATCGCTGTGAATCCCGTCTCATTTCAACTGGCGAATGTGGAGCCGAGGATTCATCCTACGAGTGCCTTTGGCGATGAATTTCAAGTCTCCATCCCAAGGCATGGAATCTGGAAACCAAAGACACATATATGATGATGTAAGCCTATATAAACTAGCAGATATGGCCATTTAATGATATACATATGTGAAATCACCCCTTCATGTGTTTCCTTGCATGCAGTATCATAGGCTGGTTCAGCCATATCCAACCGCAGTGGAACTCTGCTCGAGGGCGAGGAAAGAGAACCGTGCGAGTGCTGGCCCCAGGTGGGGCCCGTTGCCAGTTTGACATTGGTAGCGGAGCCCCACCTGGGGCTCAGCAAAAGCCATGGCTGATGAAAAAAACTTTCGCCGCTTCAGTGGCGACAGCGACGATGCTGGGAAGCAATTGAAAAGATGGAAACTGTGGTGCCAAGCAAAGATGATGACTGTAAAGGATCTGCAGAAATCACAGAGAGGCCCCTGGGTCTATACTCTTCTGGAAGGGAGCGCCTTGGAGTGCTTGGAGCACTTGACGCTGGAAGAAATGACAGCAGAGGACGGCGAGGATAAGCTGTGGCAGGTGCTTCATGGGCGATTCCCCGAAAAGGAATCTACTGACCTTTTGGGAGAGAGTCTGGGGGAGGTGTTTGGATTGGCCGCCAAGGACGGTGAATCCACCAAAGAATGGGTAGCAAGGGTCAAAGATGCATGTGACAGATGCAGCAGACGCGCTGGCGTCGATTTTCCAGCTCAAGCCCGAGGCTGGATAGCCCTTCACTGCTGCGGGTTGTCAGAGGAACAGAAGGCCATAGTCAAGGCGAAATCTCAGGGCAAGCTTGATTATGAAACCATTGCAGCAGCGTTGAGGTCATGCTTCCCAACGTACAAGGCCGTGAATCCGAGAGCCAAGAAGGCTATTGGGTCCCTGCTGGTGGAGGAGCAAGATGGCTCTGACACTATCACTGCATCTCCTGATGATGAGCAGTTTCAGGACGTGGAAGCCTTCCTTGCCGACCATGGCATTCACGTCGAGTCTGACACTGGTGAAGTCTCAGAGAATGATGCAGCAGAAGCCCTAGCTGTGACGTGGAAAGAGCGCAGAAAGGAGATCCAGAAGGTCAACCAATCCAGGAGGTTTGGGCAGCCTAAGTTCTCTTCCTCCTCGTCGTCCAGGTCCTTTAGGGTGGATGTAGAAGAGCTCAAGCGACGAACAAAATGTCGAAAGTGCGGCCGAGTTGGCCACTGGGCCAGAGAATGCAAAGAACAGCCTAGCGCAAAGTCTGATGGTGCTTCAGCCAGCTCTGCAGGGCTAGTCCAATTCGTGGGTGCTGCCGAGTGCTGTGCGTCTGGAGATTCAGCTGAGTCTTTGGCTGCTGGTTTGACTTCGTCCCCTGGCAAAGGAATCATCGACAGTGGATGTGGCAAGACCTTGATTGGGTCATCCACGCTCTCAACTGTTCAAGAGATGCTGAAAGAGCGCAATCTACCATCTGGAGAGGTGTATTCCGCAGAAAACAAGTTCAGATTTGGAAATGGGGCACTGGAGACAGCCACACAGTCAGTTCGTTTGCCTGTAGGTCTGAATGGGAAATATGGTCTCATTGAAGCAGCAATCATTGGTGGCAATGCACCGTTATTGCTGGGCAGACCCACACTGGAAAAGCTGAATGTTCACCTGGATTTTCAGAACAACAAGATCAAGTTTCTGGATTTAGGGTCGCAGGACATGTGCACAAATGAAGCTGGTCAGATTGTGGTTGACCTCATGCAATTTCCTCCTGAGCTTGCCGTCCAGGTGAAGCCGCCGGTGTCGTCAACGAGTCCGGCGACCTCTGGGTGTTCAGCTGCCCCTGCGAATGGATTGATGCAACCCAAGGACGGGGGGAAAAGAAAGGTTACCCTCAAACAAAAGGAATGTAGATGTTTACTTGCACAACTGCATAAGCATGACAATAGTAAGCAATCTAAGGTTCTGGTGGCTGAGTTGTTTTCCCCTCCACGATTTTCAAAAATTGCTGAATCAATGGGGAAGAAGGGTCTTGCGTATGACATAAAGCAAGGTTGCGATCTGTTAGATAGGCGGACCCAGCAGCATGTCAATCAAGCGCTGGAAGATGCGCGACCGGAACTGTTGGTGGTTTGTCCACCATGCACTCACGAAGGGGGCTGGGAGAATCTGAACCAGTTTTACAGGACCCCTTTGGAACGTGCTCAACTGATGCGGGACAACAAGAGACGTCTGAGGTTTTGCATAGATCAGATTCATAATCAGCTGCGTAGAGGGGGTGACTTTCTGTTTGAGCATCCATGGCCCTCACATGTTTGGCATGCCCCTGAAATGAGAAGCTTGCGCAGGAAGTTTGGAACCTTTCGCATAGACATGTGTGCCTATGGTTTGTGCTGTCCAGAGTCTAAGTTGCCAATACAGAAAGCCACCGGTCTGATGACCTCCAGACCGCAAATTGCTGAACATATGCAGCAATGTCCCGGATGTCCAAAGCACAAGCAGGTGGCAGGAAGATTGAAGTCTGCTCAACTGCTGAGCGACTTTGTAGCGACATACACTCCCAAGTTTTGCATTTCTGTGCTGCAGGAACTCGCTCAGGCGGGTGTAGCCTTGCCTTCCACAATTCATGAACTCCAATATGCAGATTTGGATGTTGAGTGTTTGGCCGCTGAAGAAGTCATAGATGATCAACATAATCAACATCGGGATAACCAGGTAAAGAATGCTGTTTATAAGCTACATAAGAACCTAGGTCATCCCTCCACTGCCGAACTTGTGCGCTTGTTGAAACACAGCAAAGCTTCAGAACAAGCCATCCAAGCAGCCCAGGAGCTACAATGCTCAGTGTGTGCAAACCACGTTCGCCCAGCAAGTGCACTGCCAGCCAACGTTCCAAGATGTGTGGACTTTAATCATCAGCTAGGTTTAGATGTGAAATACATGCCAGGCTGGAAACCCAATCAGTCCATTCCTTGCGTCAATTTAGTCGACTATGGAACCTCTCTGCATGTGTGTGCACCCATCTTTGAACGTGAAACAGCTGAGTTGCTGAAAGGCGTGTTGCGCGATAGCTGGATCTCTTGGGCTGGGGCACCAGAGTATTTGATCACTGACCCGGCCAAGCCAAATGTAAGTGATGCTTTGTCCTCCTTTTGTGAAGGTTTTGGTATCAAACAGCTTCAGACTGCAACCGAAGCTCACTATCAATTGGGAAAGGTGGAGCGTCATGGTCAATGGTTTGAACAAATCTTGGCACGAGTGATCGATGAAGTCCGGCCTGAAACTCCAGAGAAGTGGGTTGAGTGCGTGATTCATGCACAGTCTGCAAAGAATGCCCTGCTGTCCGTGGCCGGAGTGAGCCCCTATCAGATGGTGTTTGGTAGAAATCCGAAATTGCCTGCAGATTTGTTGCAAGATAACCCTGATTTGAATGCCATTGAGTCTGCCCACTCTGAATCAGCGATGGATAAAGCACACTCCATCCGCATGGCAGCTCGCAGAGCCGTCTTGGAAGCACAGGACAATCGAGCCTTGAAAGCAGCAATTCGTGCACGGCCAAGACCTCACCGAGCCTTTCAATCAGGGGACTGGGTCTATTATTGGAGAACCCAGAAATGGAATAAAGGGGAACTAGAACGTGGGGGTAAATGGCATGGAGCTGCAATGGTTTTAGGTAATCTGGGAAGGAACCTCATTGTGGCACATCGACGCAGCATTTATCGATGTTCACCTGAGCAACTTCGTTTTGCAACAGAGTCTGAACAGACAGTGGCGGAATTTTCTGACAATGAGCTGTTAGGAATCAAGAACTTGCTGGAAAAAGGGCAGTTTCCGAAGAGTCAGTTCACAGACCTAATCCCTGAAGGTAATCCTCCTGACCCTGATGTTGTGTCAGAAGCCGTCCACAATCAGTCTTTATCAGGTGCCGTGACTGCTGCAGAGAACCTCCAACAGCAACAGGCTGAGGAGTCAGTCATGCCTGATCCGCCAGTACCTCGATCAGCTGTTCCCACTGAACGCAATGCAAGTTCAGACAAGTTTCAAGATGGCAGATATGGTCCAATGCGTGTACGACACACCTTAGGGTCCAGAACGTTTTCAGCCCCTTCGTATAGTTGAAGATCACAGTGAAGAGTTTCTGGAAATGATGCAAAATATAGGTGAGTCGTCTCCTCCTGTGTCACCATCTACGCCTTTGCCTGACCCTCCTGAGCAAGATAGCCCAAGAACTAGTGGTCACAAGCGTAGTGTGAGTTTTCGGGAAGGGTCTCAAGAGCCTCCCACACATAGAGCCAAACATGATGACACTTCAGACGGATTGTTTTGCCAGGAAGTCTTGTCCGCGGTACCAGAGGGGGAGCATTGTCCAGTTGATGTATATATGGCTGCGTTTTTGCAAAAAAGGGCTCAAAAGGAGCTCGCTCCAGCCGGTCACGAACCTGAACTTCAAGCGAGAATTGATCTTGCCAAAACTGTAGAATGGGAGACCCTAAAGGGTAAGGGTGCAGTTCAGGTCTGGACTGGAAGAGACGCTGCCAGGATCATCAAAAACCAATCAGATCGTTTTATTGGATCACGGTTTGTCATCACACAAAAGGATGATGAAGATGGACAACGTGTCAAAGCACGTCTCTGTGTACAGGGTCATTTGGATCCAGACTTCGAGGCCAAGATCAATTCAGGATGTTGTCATAGTCCTACCATGAGTCAGTTAGCAAGAGCGTTGGTTTTGCAGACAATTGTTTCAAAGCACTGGATCATGAGCCTAGGTGACATCAAGGGTGCCTTTTTGGAAGCTGGTCCCATACAAAAGAAATTCCGTCCCCTGTACATGCGACAACCTAAAGGGGGCATTCCTGATCTTCATCCTCAAGACGTCATTGAGATTACTGGAAACATTTATGGGTCCAACGATGCACCGTTCAATTGGTGGAGCACCTTTGACAGTACTGCACAGGAGATAGGCTGGGAACGATCGCAGTTTGACAATTGTTTGTATTTTCTTCGGGATGCTGACAAATCTCTAGTAGGAATTTTGGGCGCACACGTGGATGATACTATCACTGGAGGTCAAGGTGCACTGTATCAACAGGCCATTGAGAAGTTGAAAGAACGTTTTCCCTATAGGAAGTGGAGAGTTGGTTCTGGGGAATTTTGTGGGATTCAGTATGACCAAGACCCCGAATCCTTTGAAATCAAGTATCATCAAAAGACCTATGCTGACAACTTGCGACCAATTTCCTTGAGCCGTAGCAGAATGTCCGACAAACAAGCTCCGGCCACTGAAAAAGAGATATCGGCTTTGAGAGCCATCAACGGAGCGGCAAACTGGCTGGCCTCACAAACACGTCCTGATTTGTGTGTTCAGACCTCTTTTAGTCAACAGGCTTTTCCATCACCAACGGTATGGGATTTGATGCAGGCCAATCAATTAGTCCATCGAGCCAAGCAGTACAGCCATGTGACAATCACAGTTCGAGACATTCCCTGGAACGAAATTGGAATATGTTTTCACAGCGACGCAGCGTTTGCCAATGCCAAGGCACATGCCACCCAAGCTGGATACATATTAGGTTTTGTAGGTCCAGAGTTGACTCGGAACATGCCGACGAAGTGGTCACCGTTTTGTTGGAAGTCATACCGTTTACCTAGGGTAGTTTCCTCTACGTTGGGAGGTGAATCTCAAAGTTTTTCAACGGCGAGTGCCCTGGCTGAATGGATGTCTTTGATGATCACTGAGGCGAAACACGGCTGCTTTGATTTGAGGGATTATGCAAACTTATCCCAAGTTTCAAAAGAAACCCAAAATCGAAGCTGTTCTCACGGGCATTTCAGATTGCAAGTCGTTGTATGACAGCCTCACTTCAATGTCCTCGGTCACCAAGTCCGAAGACAAGAGAGTAGCCATAGACTTAGCAATTCTCCGTCAGACCATGTCTCGTACAGGTATGGCCGTGCGATGGTGTCCCACTCAATTGATGATTGCAGATGGTCTAACCAAAGATCAAATGGACGCTGCAGACTTACTCAGAGCAATTTTGGATGTGGGAGAGTATCAACTGAATAGTGAAGCCACCATTTTGGCCATCAAGCGCAAGCACCGCGAGCACCGAACTGCCCGCCGGAAGTTGCAGCAAAAACATGAACATGAGCGCCGAGAACAGAAGAAGCAGTTTCAGAGTGTCCACCCGAGCATGTAGTACAGTGCAATGTCTGGTGTATCAACTGCGGTATCAACTGCGGTTTGTGAATCTGGAGTGCTATTTATTTACAGGGTTAAATACACAGTGGTTAAAGATTCCTGGGTGTCTGCAAGAGATATTTCAGCCGAGAATTCATCCTCTTTTTGTTTGTCCAGCGCAGTGTACAGAGTTTTGAGCATATTTATTTTTATTTATGCGAGATCTTCTGAGGACCATAGTTTTTGAGCATGCGTGCTGATATCACCATCAGCCCCTTTTTGAGTTTCCAATCCATAGGCCAGTGCTCATCGTTGTGTTGATCGAAGTTCGCTTGCCTGCCATGTCCATGTCTAAGAACATGTCTCCTGAGCATGACCGTGAGTTGCAATTCCTCAAGTCGCTTCAGAATGAAGGTCGACTCCATGCTTTGCTGTGTGAAATGCAAGGCGCCAAGGATGAGATCGGCGTAGCTTCCACTGGTTCCATGCACGATGGGTCAAAGCGTCGCCTTGACTCCTGGGAGGAGATTGACGTGGTAAGTGAAGCACAGTCCCCAGTGATGCTGAAGATGAGAAATTCGAAGGTAGGAGCTGCTGAGACTCATCCGGACGGCTTACCGCCCGGAGTGATGAGCCTGAAGCAGTGGGGCGATACTCTCAACACCATGGGCAAGTATGCGGGATTGAATCTGTCCTACAATGGCATGGTGGCCAAAGCCAAGAAGGATGCGGAGGCTGGAGATCCCGCCATGCAGGATTACTTGAAGTGGGTCACTTCGTGCTCCGCCAAGCAGTCCCCGAAGGGAGCCGATTTCGCAGCCTATTTGAAGGCGATCAAAATGGGGTGGCATTCAGACCTATGGAGAATGTTTCCCTGGCACCACCGAGCGTCGTCAGTTCATTGAAGGCTGAAGCCACATGAAGGGCAATTTTTGTTTATTTGAATTTATAGTTTAGAAGGAGTGTGAAATCACCCCTTCATGTGTTTCCTTGCATGCAGTATCATAGGCTGGCTCAGCCATATCCAACCGCAGTGGAACTCTGCTCGAGGGCGAGGAAAGAGAACCGTGCGAGTGCTGGCCCCAGGTGGGGCCCGTTGCCAGTTTGACACATATATATTACATATATGTGCATTTGTTGAACTACCATCGGTGTTTTTTTTTGCCTTACGTAGGGGCGCAGTTCGAAACCCTGGTAGCTCATCACATGTGAAAAAACTGGGATTGAACAAAACCACCCAGAAATCAGTGACTCCCAAACAGATGATGAATGTGCCCTTAAAATCCTTGTTGTTGTTACTTAATAGCCCCTATGCTCAAGACAAGAGGGTTTGGTTGAATCCCTATTCTATCCACAGTCAACATGGTGAAATTCTCACTTTTTGCTAGTTAAAGCATGTTAAACCACCTGCTTACGTGTTTGGTTTCCTGCGATTCTGCAGGTATTTGAAGACCTCCAATTCTGCAGCTATTTGACATTTGACATGTCTTACATTTAAAAAGAAATGACATCTTATATGTTTAAGGCCTCCTCAGGTTTTTTTTGAAAATCAACCAAGGGACCTTATAAACTGAAATCTTGCATGTGTAACGCACTCTCAAAAAAATGTAATCTTATATTTTGGACGTACCCCCAAGAAAAACACGTCTAAAATGTAGCCTACAATGGCCCCTCCCTGTTAAAACGGTAGTGATGTTAAACTTAGCATTTTCCCAGCACTCCCATGACTTGTACGCAGCTCAGGAAATGGATAGATTCATCACCCAGAACTGGAGGTTTTTTCAACCGGGCATTTTCCCAGACTTTTCTTCACCACATCCAGGCTGACCAGGACTCATCCATTTCATCCATTGGGCCCATGATGACTTGCGGCCTGAGGTAAGTGCAAGTACTTCAAGCCAAAGGATTTGAAGGGTCCCTGGACCCATGCAGAGCAGCACTGCGCTGCAGATGATGTGGATGGCTATTGGTCCTGGCAACTTGGACGGGCGCCAAGGGATGTCTTTGAAACATGGGAAAAGGTCAAGAAGATATGGAAAATCCTAGGAATGATCTGCATCATATGAACATGATATTGAAATGATTTGTAGCAGCTGGAACTGGTGGATTTTCCATATGGTCAATGTATTTGGGATATTCACAACCAAACATGGGGTACAAAGATGTAAAAAGTGGGTTTTGCAACAATGATGATTGATTGGGTGATGGTCATTAGTCCTTTAGTAGAGATATATACGTATGTTCATGCTTGGGATTCCTGTTGTGAGATGGGTGACCATACCACATAGAATATGCATAATCATACATATAATATATATATATAGTATACCTTGTTCAAGTTTTGACCAAGTACATCTGAGGGAAACGACCATGTTCGATGATTTTTTGCGCTATGATTGATGTTGAAATCCCCGCAGCGCTGGGCATTCAAGGAACAAGGAGGCGAATGAATGGCATGAGGAGCGGTGGGATGGGATGGAGGTATGAGGTTGATTGTTTTCCAGATCGATATCTGGCGCAACAAAAAAGGGTGATGTAAATACCAACGAAAAAAAAAAAACGAGGTTTTTGGTGGGCACAAGCAATTTTTGTCGGATCCATTGGGGATGGAACACAGTGAATGCAGAGACCTCGGCTTTTTTACATTGTGACCGATGGAATCATGATTCGTAAGGGGAATCATCCCCAAAATTGCCTAAATTTAATAGGGAAATATATGAATATTAATAGGATGATTTACACAGGAAGATTTCAAAGATTTTTCCCCGGGGCCTGATTAAGCTCCAATTCCCACTGGATTGGTTGATTTTCCACCAGCGTAAACTTGGCAGCCGGTGTAGCATAGTGTAGCTAGAGATTTTGAACCACAAGTCATACGATATGCGGGGGCCGTTAGTTGACTCACTTATGCCAACTTTGTTTCGTAACAAGGCCAATTTGGTTTCATGCTGGATGATATATCACTATATTATATATCACTACAGTATTCCATGGTTAGATAGGGGTTATAAATTGTTATAAACATTCGGAGTTGTGAAGCAACGTTCAACAAATGACTCAGGTTCAAAATCTTACACCCAAAGAAAAACTGCTTACGAATCCGCTTTGGATACCCATTTCTATCCATTTCTATTGTTGGCGTCTCCCTCCATCCCTCGATGTAGTTTGTGTTTTTGTTTCCAAGAGATTTAGCAGGCCACATCAGCCCACCCATATTGGTTTGTCAAGTTTGAATCCCCATTTCTTGCTGCTGAAAACCGCTTTTCCGCTGGTGAAGTCCATGTATGGGACTCACGGCGAGCCCAGGATTTCTCATCAATCCCTAGGTGACTGCAACTAATTTCGGCAGGTTCAATCTTAAGTTGTTAAAATTCCATGAAATCACCCTGGAATCACCATAAAAACACCAGTATGTCCAGTATGTCCAATTAAATCCCCTGAAATCCCATTATATAAATCCCTTTAACTTTAATTTGACAATAAATCATCATCAATATATATCATTCATTCCCAGTCATATATATATAATATATATATATATATGGATAATATATATATATATTTAATCACCATAAGATCCCCATTAACATCTCCTTCTTTTGGGCTCCGGTCGTCACATCCCAGGAGTCTGCGCCCGTGGAGGTCCCGACAGAAGCTGAGGCTTTGACGGGGTCTGGAGCCTTAGATCCGTATGGAGAAAACGTGACGACTGGAAGGATCATAACCATTGTGGTTAATATATAATATACCGGTTGGTGGTATGGAACATTTTTTTCATATATTGGGAATAATAATGACAACTGACTAATATTTTTCAGAGGGGTTGAAACCACCAACCAGTATATGTATGTTCATGTTAATCATTATTGATCCATAAGTCCATGATATTCTAGAATGGCGGATTATTTAGTGGTTAGTATCATAAAAGGTTAATAATGGTCATTCTAACCATGGTTAAGATGGTGGATTAATACAACGGTTATAATGTCATTGTCCTTCATAATTTGCACCACCCAATGGAATATATCTTGAAATGGTGGGCTATTTGCGGGATCATCGTTGGATTTTCACGGTTGATATATGTGTTAAGATAATGGTTATAAAGGTTATGCTATGCGTGAGACCACCCATATAAGTTGATATGAATTACTGGTTTATACCACCCATAAAAATGGTAAAATTGGGGACAGTGACATGTACATTTATATACATCTATACATCTATACATATATACATATATACTGATATATATATATATATACAGATATATAATGATATATATATATAATTATATATATACATATATATATATATACATATAATACCATATATACATATATACCATATATACCATATATACATATATACATATATACATATACACATATATACATCTATACATATGTTTATATATATATACATACATATATGTACACACATTCATGTATACATAGTGTTTGTATATGATTATGATGATGATGACGACGATGATGATGATGATGATGTTTTTTTTGAAGATTCCAACCTTTCCAGGGCGAGATTCCCCCTGGTTGCGTGTCCGCAACTTCTCCACTGAGGCAAGATGATAGCATGGATGATGATATCATGGATGATGAGGAGGACGAGGAGCTCGTCTGATGGCAGGATGTGAAAGTCACCTGAATCACCTTAGTGCGGCGGTGGTGAAAGACCTTGGGCCCTCGGAAATTGGGCATGTCATGTATACAGTATAACATGTATAACATCCCCAAAAACGATGGAAAACACATGGAAAACACATGGAAATTTAAACCAGAGCCTCCAATTGAAATCGGGACCAAGCAGTGAATAATTTTGATTGGTTGTCAGTGATTCATTCCATCCGCTCACTATATTATTATATATAAACTGAGAAATGCTGAGCCTTGATGTCAGTGGTAAAATACCGTCCAGGTAGAAAGAAGAAGATATAGATGCCCTGATAGTATTCGAGTCGCTTCACGACGAGAACCGCCCGCACCCGGGGAATAATAGGACAGAGAGCAAAGAAGCGGGAATATTTGGCCCAACCAAAACCCGACTGGGGTCAAACTTGGCCGTCCTTGGCCTTGAGCGCACACACCGGCGCACACACCGCTCCGACAGCGGCACCTTGCAGCGGCACCCTGCAGCGGCACCCTGCAGCGGCACCAGCATGCCCGCTCCAAAGCGCACACACCACTCGTCAGCACCCGCAAGCGGCACCCTCCCCAGCTGAAGCTGTACCAGTCTGACAGGTCTGTCCATTCGTGTTCCTCGCTGCTAAACTACCACGCCTCGGCGCCTTCGGTGCGGGCGGAATTTCCGGGACGTGGGGCGCCACAATCGCATCTTCACCATAGTTGCATCAAAAATCCCCTGATCTGGGGTAAGCCATTATTTAAGGTGATCAGAAGCAATTGTTGCCACGGATATCTCTCAAGTCTTTCTAGACATGGTTCTTTCTTAAACCATCTGTATTTCCTAGGTTGTATTTATACAGATCTTTAGTGCTCGTTTGGAAGTGGCCATGGAAATATGGCATCCAATTAGTTGGCAATCCAGCGTTTTTCTAAATATCACCACCCTAGCTTTGGCCGCAAAGTCGCAAATTCGTTTGGCGCAGTTCAGAGTCGAAGCCTCTGTCAGTCATGGTGACGTCAACCAACCGCTGTTGGGATATGAATTGCTCAATAAGACAATTGGCAGAGTGTTGCCTACGGATATGGGGATTACAATAAACTTAAACCATTCTGCGAGCCCCCAAAACACCAGCATTTTTTGGACGTTTAAATATCCAAACAGGCATTGCATAACTGGAAGATTCTTCCAAGAACTATGGGATTGCACGGAACCTGCATAGCTTGGACATGAGTCTTTGGGTGGCTAAAACATGGCGCAAAAATGCGGTGGATATCAATGAGACATGGGGGTTTCCATAAATGGGGGTACCCCAAAATGGATGGTTTGTGATGGAAAACCCTATCAAAATATGGATGATTTGGTGGTACTTGTATGGGAATGAACCTCCACATGTTGTTGATGAACCTACTGTTTGCAATTTGCATGCAATGCAAACTATGGAACCACAGGTTGATGGGGGGCATGAACATCCATAACTACCAACTGTGAAATGGTGTGAAATACCAGCTGTTTTGGTGTTTTTTTCAGGAGATGCATCAGAATTACCTTGGTAGTGAATGGTATGGGCCCATACCTCAAGAACCGTTTTGCAGCATCACGTGGTTTCTAGCTTCGATGTGTGCGTTAGACAAGCTTGGAGGTTTTCGCTGCGTGAAAGGTCGGACAACACGACAAACCCTAGACTTCCTGGGAATGCTGGAACTCCGGTGACCATTTGGGGATGGTTTATACTGTGGTTTATACCACGCAAAAAAGATGGTGATGACTTGAGCATCGTTTATGACGATGAATCCCACCGTACTTCATGATTTGTTATCCAAGATTGGCCGTGTTTTCTTCACGTGCCTGCAATATCTCTGAAACTACAATATTGAGGCCGGAAAGATGTGGAACACGAATCAAGAAGACCTATTGTTGGTCAAAGTGGAAAGGATTTTCAGCCCCTCAGTGTAAGTTTTCCTCCGATTTTTTTAGATTGTCTTCGATTGAGCCAGGCTGATTTTAGCATACCCATGGGAAATAACTCGGGTGTAGATGATTTACCTATTGAATATGGTTATTTTCAATGGCTATGTTAGCTATGTTGGATTACCAGAAGTTGACAAACATGTTTCTTTACAACTGGGCAATGAGTTACTGGGGGATCTGTGCTCAAGAATCTGATCGGCTCCCCAACCTTTGGCACAAGGCAATATCCCTTGAGCCATACCGGAGTTCAGAGTTCTATGTTCTTTTCAGGGAGTAGCAACCGCAACTTTTGCCAACCAAAAAAGGCAGCCAGGCAGGATGAGGAGGTAGCAAGCTCTGCGTACGATCAACTATCCTCTGTCGGTACTTAGTAAATCTTAGTAATAGATGTTCGTTAATACGTACTTATATGATCTTATATGATCTTATATGTATATACAGTACACCACTATGACTTTTGGTTGTGACTGCCTAATCAGTGTCCAACATTTTTCCAACTCGAATTCAGCAGCATCGTTTGCAGCTGCTGCAGGTGATTCAAAGATGATGCGATTGGTTGTTTGCATTGTGCGCGAATACGGGTTTGTCTGAAAATTGCACAATGTCTTGTTATGTTTTGTTATCTAGGGGGAAACTCTAGCAAAAAAGGGAAGAACATATACATATTGTTTAGTAAATATGCTGAACATTTCAGGTTCGGGGGAAATATTATGTATCTCGAGTGTTGGTTTATTATTACTTCATGTCCCGCTTCTTTATTCTTGGTGTTTTTGTTCGGGTGTGTCTGAAGTGTTTTGCAAAATCCCATGGGGTCCGCCGGGTCCACGGGAGGCTGTTCCTGACAGCGAGACAATGGGAGGCGCGGTGGCAAGGAGCTATACAGATAGCGAAACGTGCATAGAGGTCTAAAGTGCAGGGAAACATTGATCTGCACATATGCAGTGTTCAGTGTATGTTTGGTACATGCTTGGAATGTCTCAAATTCTATAGACTGATGTATTTATGTGAGTTGAGCTGATGGAATTTGTGCCAAAGACAAAAGCTACAGAAGGCAAAGTTTATCTTTCTGCACTGTGCACAGCTAATTTGGTTCCAGCGGAAGCATGGTACTACACGGGCACAAGTACTCATGCCCTCAGCTTAGATCTGTTTGATTGTAACATGTGTGTGTGTAATTATACAATATACTACAGATCTCACGTATGATACACATATGTTCACACATTATATTCCATTCCATTACATCACATCACGTCACATTACTGTACTTTGCATACATCATGCACGTATGCATGTGTATGATCGCAATGTGCATACCTGCATTACGTTCACACGTGCATACGACATGCATCCATGCATCCATGCATCTATGGGTCGGTGAAGATCCCAGCGATCATTTTCCTAAGGGAAACCATGGTGGGTTTCCCCCCAGGTCGATGTCTGCTCGGGGTAGCCATATATTGGATGTTTCTCTCCCAGATTCCTTGGAAAATCTGCTTGAAAGCCCTATATTTAAGTGGATAAAACATGATAAAACATGATAATTAAAACCATTAATCATTATGATATCCCACTATATTCATGGAATTATCATTGGGACCCCCAATGATCAAGCAGTCATTCCCATTTCATCTTCCCATACTTTGGGTCAGGGATCCCTGTTTTAATTCCACTCATCAAGAAAACATGATCCCCTCTGTCGATCAGGTGCCGCGTCTTGCTGCACTCTGCGAGCGACAGATCAAGGTGCGGCTGGTGAGATACCGATTTTGGCTGATGAAATCCTCATGTTCTGTTGGTTAAACAATGTTAAACCGATGTGTTTAATTCCTTAAACCTACATTGTGACTTCGAAATAGGCCAGCTTCGGTTGATGAAATACCAACTTTATCAACTTTGGCTGATTAAATCTCCATAATTTCCATTCTTGCAGGTGGACTCTCTACTTTTTCTGCCTAAATCATCCTAAAATCCCTTTTTCTGATGGCCAAAAATTCCAATTTTTGATGCTAACGCTTTTTCATGATGTTAGATCAGCATGTTTGATGATGTTTGATGGTTAAACCATGTTAAACCACCCTTTCTTGTTGCTGAAAACTGCACTTTTTCGCCCGCAGATCCGCCTGAGCATCGACTCAGTGTTGCCCTTGCTGCGCGTCTCAGCGGCGGAGCCGCGGGCGGAGTGCCTTGGATGGCCGAGGTGTGATAAGCCACAAAATCCCACAGAAATGCTGGGTTTTACCATGAAGAATTGGGATTTACCCATGAAGAATGATGGTTTTTGAGCATCAACAATGGCAATTTACCCATGAAAAATGGTAGTTTGACAATCAAAAATATTGGTTTGACAACGGTTTGACCATCAAAGATGGTGATTTAACCATCAAGAATGGTGGTGTTACCGTTTTTACCCATCAAAATTGTGTTTCTTTAAGGGGATTCTAAGGGGCTTTCGTCACATAGCTTTACAACCATCAGAAATTGCGATGCAACCCACAACAATGGTGGAATAAGGGGGATGTAGTGGAACATAATGTTTTAGATTGTTTTAGTATGTTTTAGTAGTATTACCCTTCGCTAATCAGTCGTGACTGGGTGAGAAATCTCGCACTTAAACGGAGGTGTTAATGCTAAAAACACCAAACTAAATGGGGGAATTCCTATTGCAATGTTTGATTACCAAAGTAGTTACCCTCTGGTAATTTAACATAACTATGGAAAATCACCATTTTTAGTGGATTTTCCCATGAAAAATGGTGATTTTCCATAGTTATGTTAGTTTACCAAAGTAGTTATATGGTGATCGTCCCCCAATTTGTTTCTGGGATAACTTCACAGAAAAAAATCACCTGATGACTCCGATGATCTCCCATGTACCCGTGCATGTTGTGGGGATGGTCATCCCCCTGCATAGGGGTTAATGTGCCCATTATAAGCAATCCCTGGTGATGGGATGACCATACCCCACATTATGTGTATATATATATATATATGTACATATATATGTATATATGTGTATAAATATATATATACATGTATGTGTATACATAATATATATATATATGTATGTATGTATGTATGTATGTACGTATGTATGTATGTATGTATGTATGTATGTATGTATGTATGTATGTATGTATGTATGTATGTGTGTATATATATATATATATATGTATGTATGTGTATACATACTAATATATATATATATATGTATATGTATCTCTATATATATATGTGTGTGTGTTTTATATATATACATATATCTGTGTATGTATATATATATATATATGTATGCATATGTATATATATATATATGTGTACCTTGTTTTGACCATGACACCCGTTGTGACATGTAGTATATCCCCAGTTGTGGAAGATCGCCCTAATTTGGAACTTGTTGGTAAGCGGGGTTATAAGATTGTGAGCCACCGATGGTCCTCCAAGTAGTGATGGGTCAAAATTCTTGGACCAACGGGATTCCCAAAAGATCAGGCATATCGGAGGTTGCAAAATTTTGCTTTGGAACTCATGGAAATTGCGGGATCTAGAAATTTGACCAGACAAGACAAATAAAATCAGAGATTAAGTTTTATAATCTTGGATCAAGATGGCCCACTAGGTACGTCGGTTTACAACTTAGCCATCGATTGGATTGATAGTGAATGGATATATCTACAGTTGGGAGCCAGGGATAATTTAAATCTCCGCGGGGGAGCTAAGAGGGCCAGGTATTCTTGAAACAACTGAATAGGGGTAGCGGCTTAACCCTCCTGAATGCAAATTTGTGGTTGTGGTTGTTGTTGTTGTTGGCCATAAATGGATGTGAATGGCACACATCATAGATGAAGGGTTTGTCTGAAAATATTGCGAAAACCACCCAGATCCTCAAACATCCGTTGTTGAGAACCTCATACTCCTGATCTATGAATATCGTCGGAGAAAAAATAAATAAATGAATAAATATCCAAATATATGTATGTATGTATGTATGTATGTATATATATATATATAGAGAGAGAGAGAGACTCTTATTTACTAACCCGGCTGTCAGTAAAAACCCTGCCGAAAATGGACCAAAACTTCAGGGGAGTCTTGACTCCAGAGCTAAGGAATAAGTCTTTTTTGCAACGTATTTTTTTGGAAAATGGTAAGGCTTTGGGGTCTCTGTGAAGTTTTTTGCTTCAGTTTAAGGGATGTGTTGGCAACTTTCATCTGGAAGCTGATGATCAGGGGCCCAAAAGGGGTAGCTACTGACCCATCCGGTGAACCAGGTCAATCCAAGATGCCTGCAAACAATTCTTCCTGGCCAACTACCAGGCGGAGGGATAGAGACGAGTAGAATGACGAGTAGATAGAGATGGGAAAAGAGAGATGTTGGGAATGCCAAAATGGATGTGGGTCAAAATGGAAGACCTAGGGGACCACAGATCTTAGTCTAGTTTAGTATTAACCATCCAATTATTGGGGTACCTAATTTTGACCCATACCCAAATGATCATTCGCATTCAGTGGAACAGCTTATTCGAGGCCAGGCCGCCGGAGATCAGCCACATTTGAAGCCTGCGAAAATCCAATGGTTGGGAGGGAGCTAAGAGCTAGGAGTGTCCATATTTCCTTTAGCATGGGGAGCCAAGGAGCTACTAAAAGTTTCCCAACCAATGATGGTCTAATCCAATTGTTTATCCAGCATCAAATTCTTTCCCTTTCGTTCAAAGCCAACTCGAAGAAATCCACTCGCGATATCCATTAGATCATCGCGACATCGATCAGCTGCACAACTAACATCGATAGGCGACGATCCAAATTGATTTTCCGGACGTAATTGGGGACACCACCGAGGCATGTACGAATCTGCAGGAGTGCGAGGCGCGGCGCTTCCCCGGAGCGGTGACAAAACACAAACCTCCAAGAGGGTCACCATGGGATGCCATGGGGTGCAACTAGTACGACTCATAGTTTCACTTTCTTTTTCACTGGGGGAAAAACATATGTTTTTGAATGGAGACATTGGTTTAGCATGGTTTAGCATGTTCGACCAACAAATCGTTGGTGTTCGATACTTCAAAATGGATGGAAATCCTCAAGTTTTCCAGCAGCAAATAGAAATGGATTATGCTTGGCAGTCTCAGGCAAAGATATCCCTGGTTTAGACCCTTATGGGGTTGTCCAAAAATAGTGTACCCCAGTATCCGACGATCATCATGTTCCCCATCAACATTGCCATGTCTTGTGGTATAGCCTATGTTCAGACGCAGCCAAATCCATGAATCACTGGTTAAATCACTATATTCTATGGTTCAACAACTATTTTTATGGTTAAAGAGCTGTTTCTGATGGTTAAACAACTATTTTTTATGGTTAAAGAGCTGTTTCTGATGGTTAAACAACTATTTTTTATGGTTAAAGAGCTGTTTCTGATGGTTAAACATAGCATTTTTCATGGGTATCCTCCACAATTTATTGATCCAACTGGACCCCCCGTGGTATCCTTCGGGATCACTGGTCATCTGGTCATCATAAATTTCACACCGAGGCTTTGGATCCTCGACTTTTGTGTGAACTCATGCGCCCGGACGCCATGGTTGCGTTGCGGTTGCGGGGTCCATTTGAGGGGTGGTTACTTTAGTACTAACATATTTTAAATGGGAATATTAAATAATATGTTAATGTTCCAAAAATAAATGGGAATGTAAAATAATATGTTTAATCAGATCTAGCCTACTAAGGCTAGAAACATGTTGATTTCAAGGTATCCAAGACTGGCATTGGATGAAAGTGGCAGACTCTCCGATCCAACTGCCTGGCGATAGCATGGCAGGGTGAAGGGTAACCCCTTGGTTCCCCCATGAGTTCCATGAATTCCATCCATTCCTCCAGGTTTGAACACCGCCAAAGCGGCTTCGCCCGTGGCCGCGGCGCCGCGCGCGACTTAGATATAGCCATGTTCACGGGAAAAAAGGGGAAAATGTGGGAAAAGATGGGAAAATGTTGGAACATATGAGAAAATATTGGAAATATGGAAAAATCTGGGGAACTATGTGAAAATATCGGAAGATGGTGTTCTAATCCAGAGGAATCAGTTTCAGACAAAACCACATGGATGATGAATTTGATTTGGATGATTTTTTATTTTTTTTTGCCCTCAAGCCTGGTATGGAGCCTTGTGCATGGGCCCTTCCAAATCCGTGCTTCTTAGTGATCTATGGACACAGGATTAGACAGTGCCAGATGGCCCCCCATTCTGTCACATCATGATCATGAATTGGAGACCGTCAAACGGGTCTGCGTCAAAATCTGGAACATGCAAGATTGATGGGTTCCCGCCAAAGACTGATTGGCTTGAAGGGTCTGTTTTAGAGTTTTGCCCCAGGGACCCAGAGAGTTAATTATATAAATAAATCATATGGAGGTTTCCTGAAAAGGGGGTACCCCTAAATCATCCATTTCAATAGGATTTTCCGTTATAAACCAACCTTTTTGATCCATTTTGGGGATGCCCTATAGACACCTAATACTTAGAAGCCAAGTTTGTTGTGGCATCTCCCCGTCCTGAATCAGCATGTTGCTGATGAACCCGCATGTTGTGGTGGTTGAATCAGCATTTTGGATGGTTTTTCACCATGTGAAACCGTGAAAAATCCACCATTTCTGGTGGTTAAACCACGACTCTATGGAGCTCTTGGAAACAGTAGGGCTAAGTGCGGCTGCCAAGGGGTCCACCTATGGCTCCGTCCGGGGTCCTGGAGGGTCTGAAATCAAGGGGTTAGGTTTTAACCATCAAAAGATGGGGAAATTCAGCAATGGACCATGGATTTCTGTGGTTAAAATATGATAAAATGAGGAATTCACCAAGCAACTTTTTGAGGAAAGTGGCTCAAGAATCGATTCCGAAAGTGAGGTTCGAAATTAGGAGTTGTGATACTGACCAGTTTGTTCATGGCTACTATGAGGGTCCACATATACAATATATATATATATGTATACAGTGTATATGTATAAAATATTATTATATATTATTGTCTTATTTTGCCAGTACACGCGAGCAGTTCGAAGCAAGGGCCTTTTGGAACCAAGGGCAGTACCTTCTGTAAGCAAACTTCGCAACGTGGAATCCCACGTTTCAGTCAGAAAGTCATCTAAAAGGGCCAGATTCGATTGCCAGAGTATACCCACTACACCCCAGAGGGGTTTGTTTGAAAATTTGGAACCCCATTCCATCCTTTCCATTTTATGGAGTCGATCCTCCATTTTTCAGACAAACCCATTTCATAACTATGTGTATAATCATCAACAATCATCATATTTTTGGCCATGATATGTCCCGTTCTGATTCATTGGCCTCAGGTAATTTAACATAGCTATGGCAAATGGTCCATTTAGTTCAATGATTTACCATGATTTACCTATTAAAATGCTGCTGTTCCAGTTCGCAAACTGTTAAACTACGGGGGTACATCCCTATGATATCCCGCTGCCGAAAATTCCTCATCGGAGGTCTGCAGCATCTCCTAGTTCTCCGCAGGTGGCCCGGAGTGTGACTTAAGTCGAGAACTTCTAGAAAGGTGGTAAAACCTGCTTATAGGATGCTTTTTTGGGAGCAAACATCCACAAGATATTACAAGATATTACAAGATCCTGGAATAAAAACTTCATTTTTTAAGGGTTTGCCAAAAGGTATCTACAGCATGTAGTTCTGGAATTGTCCCTATCAACCGAAGGTAATTGCTTCCTCACCATTTAATGGAAGATGGGGAGCCCGGCTACGAGACGGACAGCATTCTACTTACCCCACAAAGCTGGCAGGGACGCCTAATCATCAGTTGATATTTGTTTCGGGATCCTCTGATGTTTCTTCCTGCAAGCTCAGCGCTTTTTTCCAGGTCTTGCACAAAAAGACATTCGCATTTGGGGTTCTCTGAAAATAGGGTACCCCAAAATGTCATGTGACATGTGTGATCCTGGTTTTCCCCGCATAGAAAGTGCCAGCTTGGTAAAATGCCTCAAAAGTCCACCTTTTCATACCCACCCTTTCATGGGATCCCGTTGCATCCTCATGTCCCGCTAAATCCTCATTGAAACAGATTGTAACCCATGTTTGTATCATTTTAATTCATTTTATACCATATCCATCCATATCCAAACGTGTTGTTTTTTGTGGGATGATCAAACGATCAATAACCGGGCCCTGACAACTCAGGTGATTCATAGCTCGTCACTGTGCTCAGTGGGGATTTCGGGATCAACATGTGGGAAACATGATGTGAAAATGCATGGTGGTAAGCTTGAGGGCTCAGAACAGCGAAATCATTGGGAAGATATACGTGGGTGTCCAATTGTATTGTACAGACAAGTACTTGTTTGTGTATATATATATATACGTACGTACGTACGTACATACATAATATATACATATAATCATCATACATACAGTACAATGGGCGTATATGTGTCCCAATGCAGGATTCATGAATCAAACGAGTTCAGAAGGAACTGCTTCGGAATGGTCGAGTGAGGCTAGCAATTTTCGGAATCCTGTTCCAGGCAAATCTATGGCCTCCTAAGCAGAGCAAGTCAATGGATTGGTAGATGGGCGGCCCTTTCCCTCGCTAGGTATGTTTTCTTGTTTTGTTGAGGAAATCATGTACTCTCACTCTGAACTTTCTGACTTTTTGGAATATGTATGAAAATGGTCAAATTCCACAAACATGACACTATTTGACTTGCAGTCACCGACCATGTTTGTATTCGTTTTCACTCTCCCTCGTTTTTTGTTGATGCAATGAATATTGCCAATATCCATATGCAATATTATGCAACTATGTACCATTGTACGTATTCTATACGTTCGACATAGCCTCCACCCACTAACAGTCTGCAATGTTGCAACTCCCCTTGAAGAAGAGATGATAGTTGAAAAAAATCAGTGTTTGTGGCTGAAGGTTATGTCCAATCTATATTACTTGTTAATTGTTGATGCTTTCAAATATATGTGTTAATTTCAACAGTGGAAATGCGATGATGAGCCCCAATGATGAGCACAGTTTTCATGGGGGTGAAACCACCGACCAGACTATGATTATCCCAGTATCCCTCTTATTGTTGCTTATCTGTCAATTATTCATTGGTAAATATGGTTAATTGATGGTAAATCCCTATCGTTTACCCTAAATCCATATGTGTATACATATATATATATATAATTATATATAATTATATATATATAAACAATTATGAACACATATATACCCAACCTACACCCCCTAGCGTATATAACCCACGGGGAGGGGTTAGCCTGGTTGGGTGGGGTAATAACTTCAATGTAACTTGCGTTCAAGATGGGTGCTATGTTGGAGCTGCGTTGGGTGGGGTGCGTTGGGGTGGGGTGGGGTAATAACGTCAATGATAAAATAGAGCACCGAGACCGAAATGTTCTTGCTGTTCATTCTTTAAACAAGCAACCCGGCTTGGAAAGTGTCTTGAAAGCATTGGCATTAACTCGTTTTCGGCAGTTGGCAATGAAAAGTTGCCGCAGCCCCGTTTTGGCCTGCAAAGAGGCTCCGTGGGAAGGCTGAAAGAAAAAACGTTGACTCACCTGACCGGGTCACGGATGATCTTGGCTGAAAACTTGGCAAAGACAATTCAAAATTGACATTGAGATGAAGTCAAAATACCTGCAGAAACCCAATATTTCCAACCATTTCTGAATGTTTTCAATCACAGAAAATGTGTATCTCAAATTCAATGGGGAAAGGAAAAACACATGAAGATGAAATGCCATGATCGTATCTTATCGACTTCAACTTTGACGGATAAAGAAAATGGACCGTAAATGACATGTTTTTTCTGCCAAAAAAAAACATGAAAAATCATCCGTTTCCCACTGTAAAAAGGATACGTTTTATCAATTTCACCCATGATAATCTGCCTCCTCTCGGCCAACCTACTCCCCCTAGCTTATGTATATTATATATATATATACCAAATACATATATATATATATATATGTGTGTGTGTAGGTGTATATATATATATATAGTGTATACACAGACACACACGAGACATGACTTGCTCAAAATGCCCTTGTTTCATGGTTTGATCCTTTAGCCGCCGGCGGCTGAGGGGTTCAGCACCGCAATTGGCCACCTCTCCAGGTGGGTTGTTGGGGGAATTCACCCCAAACAGATTAATCCACACAATGGAAAAGACATGGGATTCAACCATGCAAAATGGGTGTCTAACCATAGAACATTTGATTAAATGTGATTAGTTTTTATGGCTTAACTATTTGTATATGATTGCATATGTGTGCATCTCTTCGCTTCGAAATGAATGGATTGGTTGTTGTCAATAGGTTATATACACTAGCTAACCACTTGGTTATTGTAACAAGAGGTTTTGAAGAATATCTAAACCATTGCTGGAATGCCAAAAATGCCCTTGTTGATTGGTCATTGTAAGGAATCATACTACCTGGTTTTTGGGGATTATGAACTAACATGAACTCACCGATATTAGGAGAATTTATAAACCGACTAGAACGTCAGATGGGAAAACGGATATATTTCCCATGGCTCAGACAGGGATTCGTCCCATAGGGGTTTTAAGACGCTGGAAAACCAACAAAAATAGGTAGCCAAAAAAAGAACTGATTGAACACTGATTCATCAGCAAATTGCTTCAACCATATTAAGTATGAAGTCCCTAACAAGAATAGTTATGTCTTAGGACGATGGAGCATCAGCTTTAACTTTGTGAAAATATGGAGTTTACATCAAGAAATGGAGGATTTAAGCAAATTGTATGGGGATATTCGTTGGGAAAATTGGTGGTTTGGACCAGCCAAGATTTAAAATTTTGATTTCTCCCAGAACAATAGCGGTTCAACATGATCCAACCCATGAGTGAATTTGGATGTCCAGGAATGTGGATGTACATTCAATCAGGGTAATCCTTTGAACTTTGAAGAAATTGCCTTGTTTTCAAACAAAGCCAGTTGGAAAATGCGAATATCCATTGTGCACCAGTTATCGATTGGACAAACCCAGTCTTGGACGAGTTTATTGGCCAGTTACTCTATGGAATTCACATCAAAGTGGGCATAGCCTTGCCTGGGTAAACATTGGTTGGGTACTTCAATAGATTTGCGTTGGAAGTAGAACGTTTACATCCTAGAAAAAATTGGATTTACATCCTATGTTCCCTTTTAAGTGCGATATTGCTATGGCTCAACATCAGCTCCTTGAAAATGGTGCAACACTCTCGGCCATGGTGAAAGTTGTGCATCCACTGGTGTCGTTTAAACCACACACCCATATTTTGGGGATATACATGCATCTTGGTAAATTATAACGACCTCACTGCAACCTCACTGGAATCATGGTTAATAAGGGGAATCATCCCAAATGGCCTTAATTCAGGTTAGTGAAATATTATAATTTACCCAGGTGCATATACACTTGCCAGCAACTTGTTACTAGCTGCTGCAGAGATGGTTATGATGGTTCCGGTGTCGACCTCCTTTGTTGATAGATGGGAACATTGAGAGTAGAACAATATAAAACCAATTGACCTGGGTACACCGGCAGAAAGCCAACTTGAAAACGCAGAACATGGTTTCGGTGATTGTCCTAATTGCTATTTTAGGGGGGTTCGCAACATTACTTCTCAAACAGCCTTCCATGTCTAATACTGGCCATTCTGCCACGAATGTCATGTCGATCTCCGTGGAGCGCTGTTATTAAAGTTATTTTGTATGGAACAGCATTTGGGCGTATCAACAAATAAGGTATAGGCGAGGTATCCCCAAAAATTGCATGAATGGAAAACAGTGACCATGAAAAAATCGTGAATACTAACCATTGATACTACCCTCTGGTAATTTAACATAGCTATTGAAAATTGCCATTAATAGTTGATTTTCCCGTTAAAAATTGTGATTTTCCATAGCTATGTTAGTTTACCAGAGGGTAACCACAAATAACCATTAAAAACCAAGAAATTCAGGGCTTTGTTTTGGTATCTTGCCATGTTTTGATCAGCTCTCAGGTGCCAGATCGAAGGTCTGGAGGGGATGGTCTCGTAGATCAGCAGGGTGTTTATATAGAGGTATGTCAATGTATACACACATCATTATGACTCTGTTTACTTCTATTTTTCTTAGTATTATTAATTGTATGCATATATATATATGTACATATAATGAAGTCTTGTTTTATAGTATTGTCAATGTATATATATTTATAATGCATTGTCATATGAGTTGATTTGGTATAATATATATATACCTCCATATATAGCATTTGATATACGTATGTATACCTCGGTATGAGACATATAATATAGTAATAATATATATATATTATATATATAGTTCAAGATTTATGGATTTGAGTGGGTGGAAAAAAACACGTGGATTTTTCATCCACCAAAATGCTGATCTTCGATGATGATCCCAATCCACAGATTCCTTGTTTGCATAGCATAGGTTAAAACCACTACTACTGATATACACCGGGTGTATAACCAGTACCAATGCATGTAGTGTACATTTGTATATACATATATATATATATTACATATGTATATATATATATATTACATATACGTGTATATATATACATATACATATATATATATATACATGTCAAGACATTATCATAAACCACAGGAATTCAACATGAACTATCGTAGCTGGGGTCTTCATAACCATGGCTTGCTTAACTTCTTGGTCCTGGAAGGACTTGACTCTGACTCAGTGGATGGTGATTTCATGGGGATTTAACCAACAATTTCATGGGGATATGTGATATGAGTGGGAATTACCCTCTAGTAATTTTGTTACAGTTTGCTATAGATGGCCCAACAAGAAAGCGATGGTTTAGCAATTAAAAATTGTGATGTTCCATCGCTATTTTGAACGACCAGTGGTTCCAGCTGGTTCAGCAAACCTGAAGTCGGTGTGACTTCCCTCACGCTTCAGGCCCCCATCCACTTGCCTGATGTACATTGTCTCGGGCGCATGTCATGTTTTCACATTCTTGGATCCAAAGATCATTTTATCCTAAAAAGAGATGTGAATCCCAAATAGCTAGTTTTAAAACATGTTTTTTATGCAAGAATCCTCGAGAATCCCTTCGGTCCTCCAGGGTTTCCATGGGTTTCCTCTTGTTCTAGTGCCAGGCTGGACAGTCCCCGCAAGCGTGGTGCGAGGATTTGCAGGTGACCAGAGAGAGAGAGTCTGAGAGCCACAAGTTGCAGAATTCCACAGACAAAATTGGGATCGCTTGGCCATGAAAAACTGTGTGGTTGGTGGTCTAATATATGCTGTAGTTTTGCCAATAAACGGGGTGATGATCCGCATATTTTTCGGGTTGAAACCACCAATCAGTTGTGATATTGACCGACGAAGATGGGATATGAAGCAACCAACAACAAACATGGGGTACAGTGGGTATGAAATAATGGGAACTTAACCAACAATCAATGTATATTGGGTATATGACAAAGGATGGAATGTTTCATGGGTATCCGTGGTTTTGAGACAAAGCCCACGATCAAAAATGTAAGTTTGTGACCGAAGAAAATGAGTTGTTTTTGAAAATGTTTATTGTTCCAGCAAAAATGGGGATCGTTCCAACAAACTTGTCTTGCATCAAAACGAGATGGTATTTGACAAACAACAAGGAAAGGAGCCAATTGGGACTTGATAAATCAAAAATGAACATCTCAAGCAAAAACACATGATGGACTCCACCGACACACACGGTGGATTCAAAACTTAAATCTGAAGCAACATCAATGACGCATTCAAGCAAGACTGGCAGTTTTTACTCGGAGCAACAATGGGAAGATTGAACTTCACCAGTTCTTTGGGCTTGAGGGAAAGGAATCCGTCCCTTGTCTGCTGTTTTTCAGTGTTTGGTGGTTTGGTGTGGATAATTGTGACTATCTATGACATAATCTCTGAGTGTCTCTGAAGATCTCAATATGCCCATGGATCAATGCCTATAAATACCATTTTTAGGGGGTTCACCAGGGTTACAAGGTTTTGACCCATCCCAATATGTTTGTATCCACTCAAACAACCCCACATCTGATGGCTTCCAGGAATCCTCCTGGCACGCCACCTCGTTGGACCATGCGTGCCTTGGCAAAATTGATTGTACACTTTGGGGTTTATAATAATGACATATGAGATATATATGTATATACATATTAATATATATATATATAATTTATATAATACTAATAACAAATAATGATGTATAGTCAATGTTGATAACATATTACAATATATCATAGTAATATGATTGTAATAATGGTAATAACGTGACTTCATATACAATATACATATACATATGATATACCAAATCAGGAAATCTATGGAAATCTCCATATATAACGCACTTGCTGGAGTCCCTTTTTGCCTCGAGGCAAGCGCTGCCAGCATCTACCTTGGCACAGGCGACATCGGGTCAACCAACTGGATCAATAGTTTTTTTCAATGTTTGTTTGTTGTTTCTTTGCTACAATGTGCTATAATGTATCTATAATTAATAATGGTATATATCTATTGGGAATATTCCATATATCATTTTAAAAAAAACTATTGTATAAATAATTGGGAATATAATGGAATAGAATGGAATATATATATATATACACCAGATCTAAGTGTCTAACCAACTAAGAAAGACATGTGGTTTGGGTATCTAAGTTTGGCCGTGATTGGACCAATCGAATGAGGGGATGAACATGAATAAGCACACGCCATTTTCACGTGAATCCCAAGGAAGTCCATGGTGTCTCAGCCATACCTAAATGGGAAAAGTTTCGATTTCTTGTTCACGAGTCCCGGTTTTGATCCATAGACACATGGGCATGATGGGTCGACGTTAGAGATAGAGACCCCATCCCAGAACATGCTCGGGATGAAGGCTAACTGTTTGGCTCATGAGGCTCATTGAGGTCCAAGCCAGTGTGGCTGGGTTTTGTGTGTGTGTGTTCCTCCGAGGCTATAGGACAGAAATGTTCAGTGAACGTCGGAAGGAAGAAAAGTCAGGCATGAGATACTATGGGATAATTGGATGATGATAAAAAATGAAACAACTATACCCCATAGAATATGTATATATATATACACGTATGTACATATATATTGTTTATTATATTATATATATATATACCGCTAGAACCATTTTATTTGGACTTGAGGACCCTATCTCTATATAGATCGTTCTAGATCAATCGGCATGTGCAAAACCTTCACCATCCAATCGTTTGATGTTCGACCAACTAACCGCCCATTCAGGATCTATGTTATAGTTCTTTGCTATTGTTTATGAATATGTATATATATATATACAGATAGTTATAATCTATGTAATGTAGATACTTATCATCATATATCATATATATATACCATATATCCCAGAATTCTCCCATATATCTTCTCTCCAACTCCAACCAGTTCAACGGTGTCAGACAGGATTTAAAGCGCTTGCTGACGGAAGAAATTGCCCCGGACTTTGAGGTGGTCGTGCAAGATGAGGACGGATGAGGGACCCCTTTTTGGACGACTGGGGAGCAACAAAAAGACGGATTGGACCACTAAAAATGGAAACAAAAAAACTGCAAAAATGATGATCTCAGGGGATATTTCATGGGATAAAACAAGATCAATGGATGTGTTTCATCCGAGAAAACCTGCAGGAACACTGGTTTTAGCGCTAAATATGGAGGTTTCATGTAAAATGTCCGTAAACCAATGCTGGGAACTCAAATGCTTAACACATTTTGGTAAGTATAGTTATTGGGTTCCCCAATTTTAGGGAAGCTAAGCTAAAATATCACACTTAAGTTCCACAAAACTGGGAAATGCCCCGAAACTATAATATCACAATGGAAAAATGATGATAAACCAACGCAATTACCACTGGGATTGAGTTTTCGACAAACCTGACCCAAAACGGATGTTCTTTCTCAGACAACAGACTTGTGGGATCTGGGATGACAAAGGCTACCAAGTGCTCTGGTAAGAATCAATCTTCAAAGCCTTGGGGTTGTTACACTGAACATGAAGCCGCTTCAATTCTGGTGATCTTGTGACTTGTGATGCACTTTCACTTCAGCAAGAGGCCAGGGTGGTACGTTCAGACTTTATGATTGTTAGTTAGCCATAGTTTACTGAAAGTCTAAGTTATCTAAGATAGGTCTGTTGGTAGAATAGCTGAGGATCGAGATCTAGTTTCACAATATGTTTGCCTATCTTCAGAGACCAAAGAGCACCAAGAAAAGTCACTTGGTGATTGCAGGTCATTTTGGTGCACAAGTTCTTGATGGTCGCCAGAAGCAAGTGCCCTTTTGTTGCGGCAAGCCTTAACCAGGCCATAGCAGTTGGATGACAATGTTTGATGATTTTTGATGTCATGATTCTTGAAAGATACCCTCCCTATTCGACAAATTGCCGGACATCATGGGACATCATATCCCCCACCACCGGAGGGTCCTGCCTTGAAACCAGGCAGCTAATCGTTGCCTTTTGGCTGTACAGGGTCATGTTTGTTGTAAACTTGTCGCATGTTGGTGGGTACCATCTTCTACACACCTAACATTTCCAAGTTCACAAGAGATGAGATGCAAATACGAGATGCAAATACTGTATCAGAAATGGAAAAACGTCATGTTGCATCCATTTCAGGCTATCCAGACAGCAGTCTGTGCCGGTTTAAGCGTTTGAGCGGGTGCCAGTGGCTGCCGTGTGCACGCCATGCCACCACCCAACAAGAAGCAGAAGCTGAACGAATCAGAATCCAGCTACGAATGGGTACAAGCTACTCCAGGCGCTTGAAAAACCACAGTCCAAGGGCTGGTGTCAGCTGGGTCATTGATAGGTGACATGGGTTGACCATCCAATCCAAAAGAAATTGGGTTACCTCATTTGGACCGCGCCAATATGAGCCATACCTCCATATGGCGAAGTGAATAGATACAATACTAAATCAAGGTTTCTAGCAGGGGATAGTTAATATTAGGGAAAGCTGGGATTACTATCGTGCCTGGATTTGTTATATGTGCATGTGGTTTGTCCTCGCATGTGGAGTAGGGTGGCAATGCATATGTTTGTTGCATGTATACTGTACCCTTTAGTAATTAGACATAGATATGGAAAATCAACATGTTGAAAAGGTAAATCATCAGAAACACATTGTCCATAGCTAGGCTAAATTACCGGATGGTTTACAGTAGTGCCATACAGCAAGTGGTTGAATTTTTAGGTCCACGCTCAAAATCATCTTCGCTTCACTGGCCATTTATGAACATGTTTGCTTGAGAAAGGTTGTAGCAATATATATATATATAGATATATGTGCATTTAATCTATTTGTATTACAGTATACATATATATATATATATACGTATGCGTGTACATGTATATACAACATTATACAACACAGCACAGCTCAAACACTGAGTACCGCAGGGGCCGCTACCATGTGGTCAGTCCTGTAAAAGACGCATCTCTTGCAGCCAGAATCAACGGACCTAAAAGGGTATGCAGACAGGTGCGCTGATTGCGATTTAATATTGGATGGGCACCTTAATCTCAATCATGGATACTTAATGATGGGATATATCTTCATCATAATGGACTGTGATGATGTTTATCCTAATTTGCGTTTTAATTGTTTTAATGATATCCAGTCCCGCATCAGTTCGGTGAATGTTTCCTTTGACCTCTTTGTTCTATGTGTATGATGCATGGGCACATGTGGACTATGAGTACATCAAATCTTATTGATGGTTTCATCCTGTGATTGTGATACTGAAAACAACGGAGTATGCTTGTTTATACACCGAGTACAGTACTCCCCCTGGATTTAATAGCTTTGTATCAGCAGCCATATGATATTTGTTGTTGATGTTGACGTTTTCAAGGAACTAACGTTAGACTCCAAGAATTGCATGAAAAATCACAGGAAATCCGACTCAATGGAGAACAAAAGCTGCAAAGTGTGCCTCAACCCGTTGCTGATTGATATCCTTATGTATCCGCATGACTTTTCGCCTTGCAGTGAATTGCAGTGAATGAAGATAGATATGGACAAGATTGGACAAACCACTATGAAAGTAGATCATTTTCTTTGGTATTTACCCTCTGGTTATGACTAACATAGCCATGGAAGCCATGGCCCATAGAACTAGATGGTTTACCATGGTTTACCTAGCTATAAAATGGAGATTTTCCATGGCAACCTGTTAGACATAGCCATGTCGGTTGTTTTAAACCGGTTGTTTTCCAAGAACGTCCCGCGCGGCTCCAGGTGACCTCAACATTGCCACAGCTGTGCTCTATGAAGCCGTTGATGGACCACGAAGAGGGTCGCTGGGCGATGGACCGGCAATGGCAAAAAAAACTGGGGATAGAGTCATGAGGCATAGAATCTTCTAGAATCAAGAATATGACATGGGTAAAAAGATGGTTATGGGTTGTTTGAAAAAAAAAAAAAAACTTCATTTCATCATTTCATCCACTGGTTGATCATCATTATCCCCATGAAACATTGCAGGTTTTGAAGCGCCCACGGGTGATTCAGAGGTTTCGTCTTGCTTCTTTAACTACCTGAAGGTACTAAAGTGCAAGAGTTGTCCGTGAGTTTTCCACCTCATTCTGACTGAGAAATGTCGTAGATGTTTTTTCATCAACATTGCAGTATACTGTTCAATTCACTGTTCATGTCATGGAATATCATGGAAATTTCAGGCTGCCCCGAAGAAAAGGAGTTTCACTGGCGCCCCCCGAACAAAATCGGGGAGTGCTGAGGGTGATCTATGATGCCTTTGAGCCCGTTGATCACTACTGGGTGGAAGACGAGGACGATCTCCGGTTTACTTGAGCTAGTGTGGAAAAGTTCTGTTTCATTTCCTATTTGCAGTTTTTGGAACACCTCCATTGATAATCATTAATAGGGGAGTTACCCTCCAGTAAACTAACATAACTATGGAGAATCATGTTTTAAAAGGTTTTTGGAGGAATCGAATCCGAATTGATGCTCGGAATAGTGTTCTATTCACTATCTCGACAACATTCCGAAATTGGGAATGATGACCCAGAAGTGACTGGTATGTTGTTCCGGCAAGCTGAAACTAGCCACCAACCGGTGGTGCCGACTTGGGAAGAGCGACCTACAGTGGGGTACCTGTTAGGGTAAGAATCCCGCAGTATCCCACAAAAACTTCATGTTCCTCTCAGAGTTCTTGAAACCAGAAAACCAGATGTTCCGCGCAATTGGGTATACTTTAATGATGTTTAATGTTTCTTTCATCATTTTGCGGAGGACTGTGCCCAAAACTTCACCCAAGACCCCCGGAATTCGGAAAGCATCAAACATCCACCGTTGATGCACGCTCCTTGGGAAATTATAGTCGGTATCGAACATCATCCAACCATGATATTTACTATATATATATATATTGTTTTAACTCAAATGGTTCAGCTAAACCATCCAACATCCAAGATGGTTCTTGTTTACTCACGGGGGGTCCTTAAATGGGAGACTCCAACCCACTATCATCCAAGTTACTCAAGTTATCTATCTTTTCTCATGGGGACACCAGCTTACCCCAATTTGAGGAGACCCAAGAATACTAGGATCTTCTAGATTGTATTTTATGGTATTTCATGGTATTTCATGGTATTTCATGGTATTTCAGTGACCTAAAAAGGTGATTACATATTCCACCTGTGCATTGCACTTGCATATTGACTTGCACTCCGCACTTCTACAGTCTCCTTTCAGTCCGCATTTGAGCGCTGGGGGAATGTAATTCTGGCAGACTCATGTGTTTGCCTTTCACTATCTTTCACTCCTCCTTCAGACCCGTAGTGTGTCCCTTTTGATCTAACCCCCTTCTTTGATCAGTGGGCTGTGGTACTGTACGTTAGCTGTGCAAGTGACACTTGGTATGTTTGGGGAATCATCTCTAGAACTACCCATTTTCAACTGTTCTTCACCACTATTCCAACATGTTCTGTAAAATCATAATTGTTCCAGCGGATTTCCCTCTTTGTTGAAGAAACACCTCGAAAAATGATTGCTGTGTCCTAAATTCCTCCCCAAATTTCATGATGTTCATGGTATTTCCCCAGATTTCACGCTATTTTCCCATAGTTTCCCCCATGTCACCTATGGTTTCCCCGTTCAACATCGCCGTCGCGTCGTCGCATCATGGCGCCGTAGGAGACCTGCGAAGTGGTGCGCACGGAGGAGGGAGACTGCCACGACTTCCACTCGGCAGATTTGAAGGTGGCCAAGGCGGTCGTGGAATTCTCCACGGAGCTGGTCACTTGGGCGCGCACTTCATGGGGATAGTTCATGGGGATATATATTATACATATATATATATACACACAATATTATATACATATATGTATAATATTATATATATACATATATATATATATACATATGTGTATATATATATATACATATGTATATATATATATGTATATATATATATATATGTGGAGGTTTCCTAAAATGGGGGTACCCGAAATCATCCCTTTAAACAGGATTTTCCTCTATAAACCATCCAGCTATTGGGGTACCCCCATTGTGGGAACCTCCATAATACGTGTATATATATATATATATGTTTCTGTGGGATTCCAACTATAGTTAGAGGGTTAACTATATATTTCACCATAGTTAGAGGGTTAACTATATACTCACCATTGTTATATCCATTTTTAACACCAACTATACCCCTAAGCGGGGATATAGTGGGGATATGTATATATATATATATGTGTGTGTGTTTCTGCGGTTTTTAGCCAACTATCATGGGGATATACTTGGATATGATGGAACGTATAAGCAACAATATCTGATGTATCATGGTGAGATTGGGGATATGATTTTTGCCATCTTTGATTACCAGGTACTAGAATGCAACATACTGTACGCGGTCAAACTTCTAACCCGACCAGCACCTGGGCCCACTTTTATCATTTATCCGCTTTGTGGTTTCACGTTGTTTCCATCAATGGAAGCAAAAAGACAAGTCGTGTTGGGATCTAGTGTTTCCCGTGAAGGAAACAATGCATTAACCAACTGAAAACGAGATGTTTTTTAGTATCTTAATATATCTAAGATGATCCATGGTACTATGGTACCGGGGGCGTCCTCATCTGAACAGTGTTTTGTTGAGGCCCAAGGAGCTACAGAGTTGCAAAGTGCCGGGGTTCTGCTGATAGGCTGGGGGTGGCTGCAAAGGTGGACTGTATAAAAGTCCTGTGAACGTTGGTTTGTCTCAAAATGAGGGATACCACATGTCAATCCATTTTGATTTGATTGATTGATTTGATGTGATTTGATTGATTTGATTTGATTTGATTTGATAGAATGATTTGATTTGATTTGATTGATTGATTGATTGACAATTGTCATATATTGTGTTCATCCATGGCTTTTTGGGGTAGCCTGTGACAAACGCAGCTGATTTGAGTCAAGCACTTGGGGATGATTGGAGGATGATTGGATTATTTCTCCAGATACCAGGAACCGCAGGGGAAAAGCACCCAACGCATCCAAAGCATCGATTTTTTCTACCTAGATTTGCTGAAAGTGACGTTTTTTTGTCCATTGGTTAATCATTTAATCTACCATCTGGGGAGTCTAATCTTTCTGAATGTCCCTCTTTTTCGCAGTCATCGATTATCCAGGGTGTAACGTGTGGGTTGACATTCATCGAAGGAAGTTTAGAAGTCAAACTTCCGACAATATGGACAGATGAAAAGCAGAGCAGGGAAGAGGCAGAGAGAAGAGGAAGATTAGAAGAAAGAAGAGTAGAAGAGAAAGAGTAAGAAGAAAGAAGATGCAGATGCGCGAAAAGGTAGGAAAGTCGCGAAACACTGTGTTTTTTCCAATGATTTGGGGCTCCGGAGGGTCGAAAAGTAGGCTCGCTAAAGCGGCGGGTGCGGAGCCAGCTGGCCAGATGAGAGATGAAAATTTGCACGCCGTTGTGGCGCGAAGCACATTT